GCGTGGCCGAATTTTTGGCATCGGTGGCATTGCCCGATGTAGGGTTTTTTGTGGGGGGTCTCAATTCTAACTTTTAGGGAGCAGATTGCGGGGAGGTCAAAAATCTTTTTTGCATCTGGGGTTTTTTTGAGGACGATGAGCACGAGGGGGATGGGGTTTTTAGTTTGGGAGGCGGTGAGACGGTGGGCGGAGATGACTGGGAAATTTTTGGTTTTTAAGTCCTCTACTACACATTCTGTGGGGATTTCAGTGGGGATGCCACGGATAATTACCTTGAGGGGTTTATCTTCGGGGAGGAGAAAAGTGTGATACTGGATGGTGTTTGTGTCCAAGAGGTTTATGAGATTGCGGAAGTCCGGGATAGAAGAAGGGTGAATGGTAATGCCATCTGTGCTGTTAATGGCTTTGGAATAAGAGATTTTTAGGGAGAGTAGGGTGGCGGAGAGTTTGGGCCATAGATTTTTTTCCCTGAGGATGACGGGAGGAATTTTCTGGGTGGGTGGAGGGGGATTTGCGTGGTGGTTGAACTGAGATGAGGTGGAGGGTGCGTCAGACGCTAGGAGTGAGAAGCGGTTTTTCGTGGGTATGGGGGCGTCTAGAGGTGGGGCTGTACGTCTACGTTTTCGTATACTGGGGTCAGAGAGGGTAAGAGTGGGGTCTTCGTCGGTGATGGAGCCGGAGGTTGAGGTTGAGGACTTTATGTCGTCGTCCATTGGGGAAGGAGGGCAGGATGAGGTTGCTTCATGTTTACGGAGGAGACCCATTATTATTTCATATTGATGTTCTGGGGGGACCGAGTCGAGGGTTTCTTGGAGTTTTTCTTGAATTTCAGGATTCATTGTTGAGGGGTTGGGTGTGGTGTCGTGGAGGAGGTTATGAGAGCAGAGAGGTTCTCCCGCCGGCGAGATACCGGGGGAGGGGGGGAGTGGGTGGGGGTCGATTATTAAGGGGGTGATGGAAGTGGACTGGATTATGTTAATGACTTACGTATGTTGAAGCGAAGTGGCCGTTTGCGATTTACACGAGTCAGAGTATTCAGTTTTCGCACAGCGGGAGCGGCAGGAGCGGAGGGCGTCGAACCGAACTCGATTAACCAGGCTCACTCGACTCACTCGAATGAACTGTGACTCCTGGTGAAAGACTCGAAAGTGAAGTGATAGACTCAAACTGAATGAAAGTGTCGACTCGACTGACCAAAAATCCGGCCGTTTACCTATTTATACGCGTTAGGCCGTGTGGCGGCGCACCAATCGCGGCCCACCTCCCTCAGCGTGCATCCGTTCTCGCTCCTGATTGGTGCGCTGGTGTTCCCAACTGCACCGCGCCACGTTGCATCGTGGAAACATAATGAAATGCACATTGATAATAATTTTCGATTTCTTGCAATTTCACATGTATCCTCTTCCAACTTATGAAAAATATAATGAAACCAAGTTACGGATAATATTTTTGCGTCATTTTTGTCAAATTGATCGGCAGATGCGAAACGTAATTATTGAAACATTTTCTAGGTTCTTTCTCTTTCAGAGTACAAAATGCGAAATCATACGAATTCTATCAAATAATCTCCCTTTACATTTTTAATTCGTATAAAATAATATGGCAGCATTTTAAACGGTCTGCTAGAAGGGACGTTCGACGCAGCAGCACGCCATGAATTTATCGCTTCGGTATTTTGTATTAACCTCACCAATCGGAATTATGATTCGATTTTTTCAAATTTTATACAAAACAATTAAGGTTAACAACAGAAAGAAGTATTTATAAACTTATAAACGAATTATTGTAACAGAGGAAAGTTGCCGTTCTCACGCACTAATCGTAGGACGACGAGCTGAAGGCGAAGAAGATCCCTCTTTTAAAATACCTCCTCGTAGTTCGATCTCGAGCCAATTTTCACTTTTACGTACTTTATTATCACTGTTTTCGGTACATCAAGTCAAAAAGAAAGGAATACTTCGATTTTCACTAATTTTAACGTTTCTTCGACGAAAGTGCAATCTAGCCCCGCGTACGGCGTCGAGAACATGACGTATATTCAGTCTCACGAGGTATTTCCTCCAGGGAAGTAAATTTTATCGGAAAGTATAAACCTTCCTTAACATAAAACCGATGCCATTGAGGTCTTATAAATAAAATAGCGAGGTTAAATAATTCCAAAAGCTGAAAATCACGTACCGAGCGGTAGGCACGTGGCGCGGCGCTCGAGGCGCAAGACCGGAGGGGTCTCTCTCCATGGTCCGCGCTCTGGCATCTAGTCGCAATTTTCGGCGGCGGCGGATAATTTTCGAGTTCACTTCGAATCAGACCGTCCATAGCGTTCGAGATATTCGAGGCTGTAAAGGAAGCAAAGGAAGGTTGTTTTTGAAAAGTATGGCAGATAAGTCCGCATCACCAGCTGTAATGTCGGCCGGAACAAACAGCCCGGCAGTTCAGGCTACTCCGAAGAAAGCGGCAGTACCGAGGTCGAAAAAGCCAAGAACGACGCCGTCTCACCCTCCGACATCGGAAATGGTCAACGCTGCTATCACAAACCTGCAGGAGCGTGGTGGTTCCTCTTTTCAGGCCATCAAGAAGTATATCGCCACAACGTACAAGCTGGACCTGGACAAGCAGTCGCCCTTTATAAAGAAATATCTAAAGGCTGCCGTGACTAGCGGAACCTTGATTCAAACCAAGGGAAAGGGTGCAACGGGATCATTTAAATTGGCTGCAAAATCTGAAACCGCAAAACCCAAGGCTCCCGTTGTCAAGGCGTCTCCCAAGAAAGCGACCGTCGTCAAGAAGCCAGCTGCAGTGAAAAAACCAGCAGTGGCAAAGAAAACCGTGGAGAAGAGGAAAGCACCTAAAAGTCCGATTGCAAAGCCGAAGAAGGCGAAAGCAACTCCGACCAAGAGTAAGGCCACAAAATCCCCCATGAAGAAACCTAAGGCACCGAGGCCCAAAAAAGCTCCCGCCAAGCCGAAAGCAGCCCCAAAGAAAGCCGCTGCTGCCAAGAAGTGAAAATTGATAACGATTTTCAACTTCACACGTTCCAATGGCCCTTTTCAGGGCCACCAATAAGATCTTACGTAAAACACTTTCATTTTGCAAATATACCTCTGAAAAAAAAAAATCCCATACCCTTCATACTTTACAGGTATTGTTCTTACATGAAGAGAATGAAATGATGCTGAACATTTTTCAGGGAAGCAGAAATGAAATATAAAGGAAGGAATTTATTTAACATGTACAGTAAATTTACAAAGCAATATGCTGGGCATAAAATATCGATTAATCTCTTTAATCGAGACAGTGTTCACCATGGCAGAATACTATTTTACTAGTTATGAAATAGTTTCACCGTTAATCGTGCCCTCGTTAATTTATTATTCATCCTCTAATAAGGAATTTCATAGCGTAGTTGTGTAAAATGCGAAGGAAAAATTTGCGTAGTTACGTTAGACTTTCTTTCCCCTATTTACTCTACTAAATAGATAATGTTTATCTATTGGTCTGTTTATCTAACTTTAAATGAGATTATGCTTGGATCTCAAACGATGTCTTTAGAGATTGTCGACTATCTATGTTATCAATCGGAAATGTTTATTTACCTGCCATATGAACTTTAAGTAGAATTGGTTTTTGGGTCTTTTAATGACGGACTTAAAAATTGTCAGCTTTTGACATTCAAATAATTTTGCCATACATGCGTTGCACCGTGAAAACCCGTGGGGTTCGATGTATAATGGCGTCGTGGTGGGAGAAGAGTTGATGGTCACGGAGTGGGGGAAGCCTCGCTCTCTGATTGGTGCGGCGCTCTCCGTCGTGAGGGCATAAATACGGGCGTCGCAGCGATTTGACTTCATTCGACTTCTCGAGCTTGTCCTGAAAGCATTTAGTAGAGGTTATCTCTGTATCCATTTGAATCGCAGAAATGCCGCCTAAGACTAGTGGAAAGGCTGTGAAAAAGGCTGGGAAGGCCCAGAAAAACATCAGCAAGACTGATAAGAAAAAGAAGAGGAAGAGGAAAGAGAGTTACGCCATTTACATCTACAAGGTTTTGAAACAAGTTCATCCCGATACTGGCGTTTCCAGCAAGGCCATGAGCATCATGAACAGCTTTGTCAACGACATCTTCGAACGCATTGCAGCCGAGGCTTCTCGTTTAGCTCATTACAACAAGCGATCTACGATCACCTCTCGGGAGATTCAGACCGCTGTAAGGCTGTTGTTGCCTGGTGAACTTGCAAAGCACGCCGTCAGTGAGGGGACGAAAGCTGTCACCAAATATACCAGCTCGAAGTGAGCTGACGATTTTCAAAACGGCCCTTTTAAGGGCCACCAAATATTTCAATACGAAAGAATTCCTGATTATGCAATAAATACTAATTTTTAACTGCCAGTAATATATGTTAGGACTCAAAATCACTATATAAAAAATGAAAACCTAATCGAGATAAGCGTTACGTACAATTTTTAAGGTACAATTTATTTTATGTCCAAACCAATTCGTACTGAATTGTACGATTGATTTTTCTGATTGAAAAATCGTTTTTATTGTTTTACTGAAATGGATGTTTGATTTCTGAATATATTACATAAAGGTTGTTTATGCAAATATTCAGGTCGCGATGTCTTGTATATTCGTAGATGTCAGCGACGTTCGTGGCCACGCTTGAAACTAGAAATGTAGCCTCTAATAAAACGTTATCCCCACTTCTATAACCTCTCTTTGCCCTACTGTTACTTACGCCATCGTACCTTTTCCCATTTGTGCTTCGAGCCTGTTGCATCGTTGCACCGTTTTAGCGACGTGTAAGTAAATAATGTTTGCAGCCTTCCTTACAAATAGATTATCTAAAACCTTTGAGTGATAGTGTTCAACTTAAGTGCTGATTATTGTATACGAATAAATGTAAAACGAAACTTGGCGAACTTGGAGAATGGTAATTGAGGTTATGTTGTGTCCCTTATTCGTTTTTTTGAACTACGAACTCAAAACCTGCACTTCGCTAATTAAAGCATTGGTATCTTCCTCTTCTCTAAATCAATGTGTACAATGAGAATTTGATATTTGTTTATATAAAAATAATTGTACTTTATTTGTGTGACATGTGCTTAACCTCAAAACTCCAACGCGCCAACAGGCGATGGTATGTCATTGAAAAAAGAGGAATGAGATTTTATTAATTTTACCCTTTATTTTTTTTGCAGTTGTCCATCCAAGAGCAAGCATAAAGAAAAAATGGTAAGAATAGTTCAAATGTGTCTGTCGACTGTATCACCAAATATTTTTTACTAAATCTAACTTTGTTTTTGTAGCCCCGTGAAATCAAGGAAATCAAGGACTTCCTGTTGAAGGCGCGGAGGAAGGATGCTAAATGTAAGTATTTTTTGTTTAACTGTATTTAAGAATTGTTGTCAAGAACGTCAGATATTGTAACGATCTTGGTTTGAATCATTTATCCAATTATATTTTTATGATTTATTTAGCTGTCAAGATAAAGAAAAATGCTGAGAATGTGAAATTCAAAGTACGCTGTTCACGGTTCCTTTACACTCTTGTCATTACGGATAAGGAAAAGGCGGAGAAACTGAAACAGTCGTTGCCTCCAGGTAAATCTAGTTCTTACCTCTCGTTATGGTTGCATTCAAAGTCTTCAGCAGAATAACTGGAAATTAAGACAAAACCATTAATTTAAATTTTTCATTTATGCAGGTCTGCAGGTTAAGGAAGTAAAACGAAGTGAGCGTATGTAAATGAAGAAATAAAGAAACTTAAAATATCCTGTTTGTCATTGACCTGATCGTGTAGTTATTTTTTTCTCTGATACGTAGCGACTTCGGTAGAACAGAATGGTAACTTTAGAATATCGGCAAAATAGGGATCTGTATATAGTGACGAGTAGTTCTTTCAATTGCCAATAGAGCGTGTTTCTTGTCTCTCGGGAACGAACAAAAGTGGAAGTTCTAGACAATAAATATTTTTAGTCGAAATGTCAAAAGTACGATAACGTTTGTTTGATTTGTTGTCGAAATTTGACAAAGCCAGTGGAGTAGCACGTGCAATCAACGCGTAATTATGAGTGAACAGGACAATTCTGTTGTGATCGTCAAGGCGAAGCCAGTTAGAAAAGTATTCAAGGCACCAGTAAAGGTGAATAAAATTCCGCAAGAATTGTTAAACGATCCATTGTTAAACGCAGCTATTGCAGTTCTACCTGAGAACTACAATTTTGAGATACATAAAACCATATGGCGAATCAAGGAAATCAAAGCAAAACGCGTGGCTCTTCAGATGCCCGAAGGGCTCTTGATGTACTCTACGACTATTGCTGACATCATCGAGGAATTTACCACTGCTGAAACTGTTATCATGGGGGATGTCGCTTATGGTAAAATCCCTATGGTTTAGTTAGAAGAGTTACAGCTATACATAATTTAAATTTTTTATGGTATTCTGGTTATTTCAGGTGCATGTTGTATCGACGATTATGTGGCACACGCGTTAAATGTTGATCTCTTGATCCATTACGGACATTCGTGCCTAGTGCCCATTGACCGAACTGCTGAAATAAAAGTGTTGTATATATTTGTTGATATAAAGATCGATGCAGCTCATTGCATAGAGTGCTTAAAAGCCACGCTGCCTATTACAACAAGGGTGGCACTTGTAAGTACGATACAGTTCGCCGGTACTTTGCAAGCGATTGCAGCCGAGATGAGAAAAATTGGTTATGAAACTACAGTGCCTCAAAGTAAACCCTTAAGTCCTGGTGAGGTATGTTCGAGATAACTCCTTTTTTTACTGTACCTACAAATGTGTATCCGTTTATCAAAGGGATAATCTAACATTTTTAAAGATTTTAGGATGTACGGCTCCACAAATTCGTTGTGCAGACGCTCTGGTTTATTTAGGAGACGGTCGTTTCCACCTTGAAGCAGCTATGATAGCGAATCCTGATCTACGAGCCTTCCGGTATGATCCATATGAGAAAAAGTTAACCGAAGAGTTCTATGATCATCCGGTAATGAGGGCAACCCGAAAATCTGCTATAGAAATAGCCAAGAATGCCAAAAAGTTTGGGTTGGTCCTGGGAACATTGGGGAGACAAGGGAATCCTAACGTTTTGCAAAACCTGCACAACAGGATAAAAAATCTAGGAAAGGATGACGTTTTCATCCTGATATCTGAAATCTTTCCTGACAAAATGAATCTCTTTCGTAACGTGGATGCATTCATACAGGTACGCTTAGTTATTGCCAGTCGACTGGCAAACTAAACTTAAGCAAATATTTTTAATATTTAATTGTACCCAATTTTCATGTTATGTCTCAGATAGCGTGTCCAAGACTAAGCATAGATTGGGGAACTGCCTTTGAGAAGCCTTTATTAACTCCGTACGAAGGTGCCGTAGCTTTAAAGTTAGCAGAATTGGATGAAGAGAAGCCATACCCCATGGACTTCTATGCTTCGGCCAGTCTCGGACCTTGGACACCGAATCATAAGCCATCGGAACTAGAAAAGCAGGCAGATGCTTGTTGTGGCAAATGCCGTAAGGAGAAATAAAAAGTAGGAAAATATGACAAGTATACGAGCGTTTGTCCGAATTGCGACCATCAAGAAGTAAACCTTAATACCATTCTTGTTTTGATTTCTTTGGGCATGCAGTGATATCGCATTCGTGAATTTTTTTTTCCTCGACAATCCACGTACTCTAATGACATTTCTCGCATAGGTGATCCCGTCGTCATCGTTTGACCGTTGTGCAATGAAAAACAAGGAACGCGAAGCGGTCAGAATTTGTTCGACGAGCCAAATCTCTCGGAGTTAAATATAGGAAAGCTTCGCGACTTTAAACCGTCGTTTACATTGAGTGACGACGGACATGACAGTTCCTGCTCGGACTATATTTATAAATACTGTACAATGTATAATACAATTAATGATCAGCCCTAAATGCTTCAGCATTCCTAATTCCGTCTTTAAAGAGAGTGACTCATCAGGTTCCAGAATCGCGAGAAAGATTTCAGAGCACCGTAGCGAGTTTTTTTCCTATCGAAGGTCGAGGGTCGCCGATTATTGGCGATATAAACGTTTATTAATATGCTTGGATCGTCGAATCGAAGGATGCGAAGTAATTCTTGCGATTTCTTCTACGATCTCGCAGACAGAAGAGATTCTTCCAATGTGCTCGAAAATTGTCCCTGAAACGAGATCCTTTTTTTTCCCTTCGGAATTATAGTCCTACCAAGAGTCAATTTTCTCTCCTTTTATTATCTTAATAATATAGAACAACGTTACAGATATATTATATATTTATATATGCGTATGTATAATGTATAGATGCTCTGTTCCATTTATCTCGTATGTACAATTGTATCGGAGCACGTGGATTTACCGAATGCCCACTCTCGCGTTTTCTCTTGCATCCTCGCGATAACGTAATCACCCCATCTCGCCATGTTTCGAGAGATCAGCTGTTCGCCCCCGCGACGCCATCTTGTTTTTCGTCAGTTCCGCTAATCTCGAAACGCGATTCACGAAATACCGAGGCAAAAGAATATCCATTTTCTCATTTTCCACACACTCACGGACTCTCACATAAGCATGCATCCTCATTTATTGCCCTTCGGACGCATTCTCTCAACCAAATGGTCGTTTCCCCTTAAACGGCACAGTTTCTACAAGAAATAACAATTATGAAAATGCTCCTGCTAATGCGAGGCTTCCCTTACCACCTAAGCGCTTATTTTCCTCCCTCGACTCTCAAGAATGGACAAAATATGATCCTAGTCTTTAATCTGAGCTCTAAATAAATATCACGCTCTAATGTGAATAACTGCTGGTTAGGACACGGCGGAAACATTTTTTATTACCTTGTCGATGCGGATGAAAGGGGACGAATGGATGAAGTTTCATAGAATTTTCTAGAAAATCATTCTCATTATCAGATTATACTTTGTCCACTACCTTCCTAATACTATTGATTCGAGTTAGAACCGTTTACTCCAATGTGCAGGTTCTCTGCCAGAACTAATTCCTCCGTGATCGCAACTTATTATTCTATCTTGGAAGTTTTTGGCCGACATTCGTGTTTGCGAAGGGAGAAGGACGGAAGCATCGTTCGCGTCGATCGAGGATTATTCTGGACCGGGATTTTAGGCAGTTTTTCCTAGTTTCTCATTGACTCGAGAAGATAGCTACGACGGAAATATCGGAAAAGAAAATATTGTAGGAAAGATTGCGTCGAGATTCAGCGCGCTAAATGGACGAAGCTTTGTAAAAAAAAAAATATCTCCCACCGTCTCTTCGCGGTGTCGCGTGAAAATATTCGTTTTGTAGATATATTTCTATTTATTTATATACTTTTCTCCTCAGCAGACACTATCGCGAGTTTGGAAACAGTTCGAAGGCTCGGTCAAGCCGTCTAGAATAAAAATTCGTCCGAAGTTAGGGGAAACTAAGACGATCGTCCGATCTGCTCTGTAAAAGCGATAAATAATCTCTCGCGGCTTTATCAAAAGGATATATATTGCAAAAAGCGACAAATACACGTACTAAAATTCTCTCCCTTTTTGAGAAACTTAACGCGATCTCTGGATAAAATGGAGGAATACCTCGAGATAAAATGGACTGAGTTTCGCGTCGACTGTAAAAGCGCTGCTTTTCGAAAACCTCGCTCAAGAGAGAAAGAAATTAAAAGAAAATTAGGATATTGTTTCTTTCAACGACTAGAGGAGCTACTTCGTGCGAATACAAAAATATACTAACTTACTCCTACGAGATATTTTCGATGGGCCGTGGTCCTCGATGCGCGGGATACGGAAGAGGAAGAAGGACCTAACGAGTGAATAAAAAAATGGCGAAAGGAAAATATGAAAGAGAGAAGTAAAGGACCAAAGGAATTAAGAAGGACGCGTTTCAAATGGCGGACCCGGCTCGCGATTTGTGCGGAAATAATTAGTTACGACGCCCTTAATTAAGACTTAAGGTACTTGTTAACGTACGCGATAACACTTAAGTTACATCCTCCGATAACTAATCGCGGCTCGAAGTCCTTTCCTTTCGTTTATCAACAAATCTCCATTCTTTCCCGATCGCGACAGATCGGCGCACTCGCGGCCTCGAAATTGAAGTGATATATTCAAGAATCGTTAACGTTCGATGTCGGCAATTGTTGTTCGATGCCCGAGAGTGGTTAATAATTTAAAACGGATTAACCTTGACGTAAATTCTTCCCGCAAGGTGCGGGATAATACGGCGTAATGTAGTCTTAACAATTCATCAATCGGCATAAACATTACGGTAGAAACATTACGCGCCTCCCCAACCGCGCACATATATATATATCTTTTAGGTACGCAATATATCTTGTAAAGTATCTCGTAAATAGATCTATAATATATTATTTGTAATATATATATATATATGTGTATATATATAAAATTTCGGAGGCAACAATCGACGATACGGGAACGGAAACATACGTCCGCTTGTGTATATATACATCGAGTTGTACGGTTTCGTTAATGAAAAATATAATATAAATATCTTCCCCTCCTTAGACCGCGCGGAACAATTGACCTATTGTTTAAACGATCGCAAGTGCCGTTTCGGCAGTCATTGGCAGGTGATACTCGATTGCGCGAAAAGTGAATGAATTATTGCTGCTACTGCTATCGGGTGATAGTAATTTCGGGCAGGATAAGAAGTAACGGATTATTGCCCGCCAGAGGAAGGAGGGAGGATTTTTGGCACCCCCTCCGTCGAGAAGGTGGATCAGTCTCTCAATTGTAAAATCGCTACCAACTGCACGATTGACACATCCCCTACGACATATTTTGTGTAACGACTAAAGAAAAATTCAACCGTCAAGGTACCCGTCGATTCCCAAAAAATAATTATCAACATTGAAGCGGAGTCGATAATCTCGTGCCGACAGTTTTCGCGAACGACAGAGAATCCGTTGGAATCGGAAAAGATGACGCCGGACATAACAAGAAAACCTCTAAAAAGTATATTCACAGCTATTAAATATTAACCTGTAAAATAGTTAAAATCCAACTGCATGACATCGCGCGATTCAGTATAAAAGACGTTAACTTTAAAGCAGTCTATAGTTTAAAGCCCTCCGTCAGTTCCTAACGACGAACGAAAAAGAAAAAACGAGAGCTCGATGTTTGGCAATCACTCGTGCAATTGAACTCCGTGAGAGGAACAGCCGATAGAAGGGAACGTGCTAACAAGTAATAAATAACAACGATACTCACTCCTCCTAGAAAAACCAACGAAAGTCTCGCGTGCGATACCAACAACGCGTTCGGTTTGAAATTTAGGAACGCTCCCTTGTACAGGAGATCGAGAACCGAGAGAGAAACGAGACGACCGTTGCTCGCTCGCAACAATTATTGTCGCGTGTCGTATGACGACGCTCGTTTTTAATTTTTCATCAATTTAGCCTCGCCAGAGAAGGATGGGTCCGACTCGGCTTCGGAGGACATCGTCGCCAGTTTTCACGGTTCAAAGCGTCCCGAAGATGAGGTCTTCGGGAAGGTCTTCGGCATCGGTCTTTGCAGAGGGTCAAGGTAGCAGTGATCGGAAGGGCTCTTCTCCTCGACTAGCACCTCCCCAAGAGCACCCTCGAAGGCTCGGTGGCTCTAGCAGGAACATTCTTCCGTGGGTTTCCAGTCTTCGGCACGTTTCTAAAGGTCTCCGAGGCGATGTACAATGGACGTCTACGTCCGTGGCCGGTTCGATGTGACCGAACCATCGGCACAAAAATAAGTACCAAGTTCGCTCTCCCGTATCCTCGTGCCCAGGAACTCATCAAGGTGCGTTCTGGATCCTCTCTCGAGACTCTTCGAGAAGTCAATCCTTCCGACGCCTTCGGGCGCCGCCTCCTCTTTATCCCTTTATCTCCAAGACCCTTCCCGTTACGATTCATCGACAGGACCGAAAGGACCTCCCTTATCAGGATCCTCTTCGGGATGGAAGATGTCTCCGGGCGAAACCGTCGCTGGCGCTTTCCAAGATCCCGATAAAAAAGGGATACAGCGACCCATTCGAGGTCCTCATTCGGGTCCCGCTTTACGATCCAACCCCTGCGTTGTCTCGCTTCATTGTCGCTGGCCAACCAAAACGCGGGCGCAGCTCTCTTCTACCGGAAACAATGGGCCCTGTTATCGGGGTCCCATAATCGAATTCGTGGACCGGCACGATGGGCTCTTCGGTGTGAAGGCTGCACCAAAGATTCGAAGAACAGGTGCAGGTGCGAGTGCTTTGACCCGGGGTTGCCACACCAAAACCGGGAGCGACTATTCCAGGTCCTTGTATCCTGGGTTCTCGGTTCGCCGGTTCACCAGGTCGCAGGTTCCCCAGTCCTAGGCGAAGGTCCGTCGACCTTCTTCGACGTGACTCGGGGGATCCCGTCCAATTCAGTTGGTCCAGTCGAGAGCTGTCCGAAGTGGCTGGTCGCGTCTCGACGAAGGTGCTCTTCGGGTGCTCTTCGGGCGCCTCTTCGGGGCGCAAGGGTCCTCAGTAGAACATAGGTGACCAGTCGTGGGCGTTGGGCGCGGGGGAGGTGATGGGTATGTACCCGATGGGCGAGGCGATGGGCAGGCACTGGAAGCAGTAGTTGGCCCCGGAGTTGCTGTCCCAGTACTGGGAGCCCTTGCACTGGAACCTGACCGCGAATTCCAACCTTTGACCCACTTTTAGGGCGTGGCCGTACAGGACGAAGGTGAACTTGTCGCTGAACCCGTCGCAGGAGTTCGGCACGTAGGTGGCCTGGAGGTCGCTGTAGTTGCGCCACTGGTTCATGGTGTACCGGATGTGGACCGACTTGTGGAAGTCGAGATTGCGGACGCGGACGGTGCCCTGAAGAATGAGACTGACGGGGTCGTGGACGAGGACGTTCTCCAGGCAGACTTGCCGTTCGCGGACGAGGTCGAGGAAGTTGGGCAGACCACCTGGCTGCTGGAACAGGGGGACCAGAGTGCGGTCGGGCTTCCCAGTGGTCAGGGTGATCCTCGTGTCCGGGTTCCTGAAGGTCCATGGGTGGCCGTTCACGTGAGGCACCACGATCTCCTTCGTGGAGAGGTCGTCGTAGACCAGGTCCGAGTATGCCGAGTTTGGGACTCGGGGGATCTCGTCCAGGAAGGTACGCACATCGGCCAGGTCGAGGCCGAGGACGTCGGCGAAGCGCACTATTTTCTTTCTGCCGGGGGTCCCGGGTGGAGTCTTCCCAGTCTTCAGGGAGGAGCATCGGCGGAGTCGCTGAGGTCGGTCCAGCCGGTCCTCTTCCAGCTCGCCGTTCGTCTCGGGCTTGACCTCGACCTCGGCCTCCTCCGCGCCCAGTCTCTTCAACAGCCCCGCGATCTTCTCATCGACGACGTCCTCGCCGGTGTCGCCGTTTGTCACGGTGCCGTCCTTGATCTGCAGCTGCACCTCGTTCTTTAGGGTCTCCTCGAGCTGGATCCGAGTCCCGGTGGGACACTCTAGCGTCAGGGCGCAGGGGATGTTAACGGTGCTACTGTAGGTGGAGTGATCGGTGTCGGTGTCGCTGCTGCTGTTGGCCGGCTCGTCCAGGCCCAGTTCCTGGGTGCTCCTGGGCGGCAAAATTTTGGCCACCTCGCGAAACTCGTCGACGGCCCTCGGCGAGTCCTCGGGCTCCTCCACGACGATTACGTAATTCTTCGCAGTGGCCTCCTCGGCGCTCGACAGACTCGACTCCGAGTACCCGTTGACGAAGTCGACCTCGTCCACGTCCTCGATCTCCAGGATCTCCTCGACCTCCTCCGTGTCCGGCTTGCCCTCCAGCGGCCTCTCTTTCGCGACGATCTTCGGAAGCTCCGAGTCAGAGTGAGACTTCATGACGAGGCACCGAAGTCCGTCCCCTAGGTGACTCCTCTCCGGTCGCTGTCTTGGCTTCTCCTCCTGCGAGGACGCGGTGCTCTCGTCAAAGGTGCTCCACAAGGACTCGTGGCTCGGCGAGGTGGTGTCCATCGAGCTCCTACCGTTGCAGGACTCCTCGGAGCTGCTTTTCGCGACCCTCTCCACCTGCCGAGGTGCCTCGGTCACGATCCGAGGGGCCTCCTCCGCGACTTTGGGCTGGCAGCGAGAAGGCCCTCGCTCGTGGCCCCTGAGCTCGCCGTTCGACAGGCTGGAGACCTCGCTCTCGGAGGTGGCGATCGGGTCGAAGTAGCTCTCCGATCTCTCCACGTCCGAGGATTCGGGGTCGAAGTAGGTCTCGGAGGAGTCGCTGCCAGGTGGGGTGCCGGTCACCGGCGAGCAAAAGAAGCACCCTGACTCGGGATCCCGGTTTCGGTCCGGGGGCTTGGCGCAGCCCAGGGAGCAGTGGCACGCTTCATGGTGGCCGGTCTTCAGGGTTCTTGGATTCACCAGGAGGTCTGGAAGCTCCGAGTCGCTGACCTCCTCGGGCGGTGAGCCGGGCCCGTTCTTTTCCTCCAGGTCGAAATCGAAGCAAAGGTCCGAGTCGAGGCTGTGTCGCGGTTGGCGCTCCAGCACGTGATTCCGCTGGGGCCCGGGTGGCTTGGGGCTCGTGCCCGGACCCTGCAACCAGGAGGTCTCCGTCGCGCGTGGCTGTTTTCGGGGCGCCTCGTCCCCTCCTAGCGAGGTGAGCCGGCGGTGCAGCCTCCTGGCGAAGGCCTCGGCGCGACCCCTGCAGCTGCTCGGGAACAGCGAACTCACTAGGCCGCAGGAGGACCCTCCGCCCCCGGCACCCCCCGCCGAGTCCGTGCTGCCCATCGCAGCGACAGGGCCCCCTTCCGCCGTCTGCGCCGAAGGGGGACTCCCCGTCGACGGCTCAGCCTCGCGCCTCCCGGGACTCGCCTGCAACAAGGAATGAATTGTTACTCCGGTTACTTCTAATTTCGATATAACCCTAACGCGATACAACCAAAATTTCTGTACCTACAACGCAGAGTGAATCGTTACTTTAGTCCGTTCTACTTTCGATATATAAAACGTAGACGTGGTGAAATCGGAAAGCAAAAGTATTCTTTGAACGCCTGGACCCTAAACAAGCGAATTATCCGGTGCGAACGGAGCGTCCTTAAAATTCGGTCGGGAGGGAACGCGACCGACGATCATTTTTATCGTCTCTATCGACCTTGGTTCCGGCATGAGGCCAATAAAAACGCGCTCGAAACAATGGGATGATCGGAATACGGCTAGGCGTCTCATTTGCGTCCGCTATCGTCCTCAGAGCCCGCCAGGACGAGGGGACGCCTCGAGAGGTCGGAGGGCCCGCTCTAAATCCTCACCAATTATTCCCAATAATCGCCGGGCGAGCTCGGCGCCGAAAATAATTACGAGGCCTCGCGACCGATCGGCGCCTCGGACCAGCGTCGAAAGGAGAGCGAGCGTCGTTCCCCGAAATAATGCGTCGCTCGTTCGAAAGTCATAACACATCCTTTGCACCGGTCCGGCATTACCGGTCGTCGGTGTATCGGCGAGGATTCCGACTAATCTCTCTCGCGAGGTTACCCGAGCGCGTGCGTCGGGGTACTCGTTTTTCGAACCCATGCTCCAGAAGCCGACGTATCGCCTCGCCGTCGGCCGCACCTCTTCGGTGTTTTTTCACCTCACAGCCGAGCGGCGACCTCGCCCAATTGCGAGAAAAGACTTGAGAGAGAGAGAGAGGGCAGAAGGTCGTTGGCCTTCTCTCGAGGCTGCGACCTTACGCAACCATTATCTATTACGAGGCCTAGACTTCCTACCAGACAGTAGAGACGTGTGTCGCGCTCACGGGTGGCGCCACCGTGTACGTACGAGGCGGCCTCACGTGTGAACGTGGCCACAGACCAGACGCGATAAAGACCACTCGCTCCACCGGAAATCCTGCCCCTCGATTTCCGCGAAGGTAGGTAGGCCCCCAGCCCCGTAATCGAACGTCGATCGACGCCCATCGATCGATGATACACGTCGGATCGCGGATTCCTCTCGCCCCTGCAAACCGCGAGCCACGTTTGAGGTTACGTAACCGGGTCAAGGGTCCGCACGGGGCGCTGCGCGCGCCCCGCCGGCCAGAATGTCAATTCCGCGCGCGCTAACGGTCTCGCGTTTCGAGAACGTTCGACCCCCGCACCTGCCGTTTCCTAGGCGAGGATCCTCGAAGAGGAGATCGATTTTGCGGTAATTTCACGGAATCTTTTGCACGGCTTGACCGTTCCAAACGAGCCGGTTAATTTTCGGGTCGACGCGAGCGAAAACCGGAACGGGGTGCGTCGCGGCGGGAATTAGGTTAGGTTAGGCACGGAATTCGAGGCCTCCCGGTTCCAAAGAGGGCTCCACTAGTCGTCCTCGAGGCGGTTTTACGCTCGATTTAACTGTCGGTTATTTCTGTCCGTTCACCGATACGCTTAAATCAGTCCGCCTGACCTTAGCAATAGAGTCTGAATTTCAGGACGCATTATCAGCGGCGCTCTCGAGTGTCAAGATGAGACGAACCAGGCCAGTCGCTAACAGATAAGTGCCGACAAACGCTTCGTGTATGGAATGCGCAACACATGTACTCCACCGTTGGTATGACTCCCGTTACTCCGTAATTCACATTTAATATAGCTTTTCTGAGTACCGCATTAATAATGACACGCGTTTGCTTCAGCTCCGGCACTCGGTGTATGCAGGGCTGACATTTAATGGCGATTATTAGGTGAGTATATTTAATGTACTACTAACAGGTTAGAATGGAGTGAAATCTCTTCCTGATTACACGCTAATTTAATCTCTGCGAATTAGATGCAAGGGGCTCGAGGAGGAGTAAAGAAGATGAGCGGATTCGAGAGATAACAGGGAATCGTGAAAAGGGTTATCGTTCGAGGTGAGTGATATAAAACCGCGAACTGCGGACTTCTTGAGTCGTAATGGACGGGTTATCATGAATATTCTCGAATATTTCATTACGCGGTGCAACGTCGCCAAAGGGCGGTCGTTACAAGAAACAGGGCGAAGTCGGCACGCATGGCCGCATCGTAATCCGCAATACCGACCGCATCACCCGATATGCGGATTATGTATGTAAAAAGATTTAGCCATTCCACTACGTAAACGTATTCCGCCGAGCTTAAATGCATCCACTCGACAATCTCCCCGTGAATCATTCGCGATTTGAATGTTAACGTCACCTCTTCTGCATAAGCCGACCTTCCTCGAGCGCTTCTCCCGAAAAACGTGCACTTTAGCTTAATTTACGCAAGCGACGAAGGAGTTTCCTCAATCTCTTCTTTAATTCGTCATTTCTTTTTCACTCGAAACATCCGCGCGTCCGTTTCGAATCGCGCGGCGTCGGTTCTCCAAGATGGCGGCCGACCGCGCGTCGCATCCTCCTCGTCGACTTCTGCGATTTTTTAATTCAAATTCGAGCTTGGCGCGAGTCCCGCGATCCGGGAAAAAGCAGGGCGCCGAGTCATCATCTCGATGCGAGAAACGCGAGTCGTCCGCCATTCGGCGGAAATAAATAAAGCGCCGCGCAAGGCCCGGCGTATATTTAGGACGCGGCGGTCATTTTTAGAAGCTGTCCGAGGGTCGAGGATCGACCCAGAGCTCGTCCGCAAAGATGTTCTCGGCATCGCAAATCCGCTCGTATGTAACCCGAAATCGTAAGTAATAGACGGGGAATAATATCAGAGAGATAAATAAACCAGATTCCGACGGAAACGGGGAAGAGATTTCCCGGAAAGGTAAGACATCGTGGGGAGGATCAGCATGCGCGCGCAACTCGCGCGGTTGCATTTCAATGACGTCTCTCTTTTCCCTCCCCTGTCTACTTGGAATGTAAATTGTGTACTAAGCTCCTCTGGAATGTTTCGTGGCTTTAAGCGGCGGGAAGCTGAAAAGTATTCGCGTGTGCGCCTTAATAACGTCCCGATGGTAATAACGAAAACACGGCTTCTCGATTTCTGACCACCTGACAGAGTCGGTTGCATTAAGGCGGCTCCACAACGCGATCCCACACCTCCGTGCAGTTTTGCCGGCACGTTATCGACGACTTTACGATTCCACGGTTTTTGCATCGCTCCCGAATGAAATTATTCCGGCGGAATGGGCACGCCGGGGACAGGAAGCAATTGCAAGCTCGGCCGAGCGTTTTAAGAGCCCCCCCAAGATGGCGCGTCGCCGCGGAAGGGCGAATAATAAAGAGGCGAGCACATTCGTCCCTTATTACCGACAATAAAGATCGGCGATAATCCCAGTGGGGGCAGATTTCTGCCCGCGGGACTACCGACAGTCGTACCGCGCGATTTGCTCGCTGAAAAAGGCTCCTTCGCCCTCGTCCTCGGTCTCCGGCCGGATGCGCCGCCGCCGCCATCTTGATCTCGGTTTTAGAACCTCTCCCAAGTGATAGCGCGGCGTTTTAACGTCGAATAAATTTGACGGATGCCGAAAACTCGTGGCTTCGTCTCGAAATATCCTCGAGGGTACCTGATCGGGGTACTTTTATCGCGGATTTTCGCGAAGGGTGCAGTAATCGGGTCAAGAAAATATCAACGGGCATCCCTCGCGCTCCTATCCGCGGCGTTCTACGGCTTCGCCGGATAATATTAACAACCGAGTGGAGCCATTACTTATACCGACAATAAAGATCCTAGATAATTTAGGAGGGCTCGCATTCGCCCGCGATATGCCCGCGACGGCCGAGTCGTGGAGCGTCTCGCGAAACAACGACGCTCCCCGACGCCGTCTTGGTTCTCCTCGAGCTCTCGAGGAGGAAAAAAAAAATCAAGAAAAATGGCGAAACGAGGGCTCGGGCTGCGTGGGAAGTCGCCGCGCGACTTTGCTCCTCCTTCCTAACGTCGAACTCGAAAAGAGAGCGTCCGTTTCCGAGACGCTTTACTTCCGTTTCACCCCTTATTAATCCCATCTTCGATAAGCGAGGCCACGATAAATAACGACTGATCCATTGAAAGTTACTATCGCCGGAGAGGTGGTCGCCCTCCCCAAGTTAGCTACTTATTCAATTAAACACGTCCGATAAATAACCATCTTTCAATTGGCGACTCGGCGACGCGCCGTCCGGCCTTATTAAGGCGGGTCTTAACCTCTTTGGCGAGAAACTCGAGTACGGCTTCGCGGCCCGGAGAGGAAATACGGAGAATAAGAGACAGCGGGAAAATTCGAAAGAAAAAAAAAAAATAAGAAAAAATGTTGGAGCCCTCCAGGTATCTTCGGCTCTATCGGTTAGCCTGCTCCGGCGACTATCTCGGACAGGTACACGTATCCAGGATGAATCGCCGGTGGAGGCTGCGCGTCGGTACGAAAGAGTTCTGACTTATCGTCCAGGCTTCCGCCTGGAGACGGCCAGGACCGGCGCGCAGCATCCTAGGCTTGGCACCTCCGACGTTTTAGAGGAGTCGTTTATTTAAATGTCCGCTATCTTCATTCTTATCACTCGGGCGGGAAACGTCGGTCAGATAAAATCTCGTTACGGGAGAGAAAGAGCTCGTATCCGTCGATCGGCACGGCAAAGAGCCGACCTTATCGCGGCCTTCCCCTTTCCCCTGAAAAAACCCCATCAGGGTAGGGGGGGTGGGTTCGTTAACGGAATCTCATTCCTAAGAGACGTCTCGAGGGACCGACAACCGCGAACGCGGAAATTGCGAAATGGGCGACTAGAAAAGAATCCGACCTTGGCGTCCAATTTAGAGCTTCTGCCGCTCTAGAGGACCGTTTTGTCTCTTGTCGGCGATTAGATCGTTCCTCCTTGCGAGGCTTTGAATGTTAAAAGAAGAAAAAAAAAAAATTAGAAAAAAATCGCTTCCAACTCGCGAGGCCGGAAAATCGGCAGCCTGCGGTTATCGCCGATAAATCATCCAGACGATCGTCCGCCGACAGGCGACAAATCGGCGTTGTGAGGGGAGCCTTAGCGCGGCTCATTTGAATTCAAGTCGAGTTGGCGTACTCTTTTTCTCTTTTATTTCCCTTCTCCGCCGGGAGAATCGTAAATACGAGCCGCGAATTTTGGCATTTTCGCTCCTTCCTTTTGCACTTCGGCCCTCTCCTTCTCTCCTACCCGCCGGTGGTTAACGCCATTTACGAGAGGCCCAAAATTTGCGTGCGGAATGCCCTCCGCTCTTCCTCGAAAAAGGAAAAAAAAAAGAGAAAAAGATTTCACCGCGCTATCCGCACTCGACTCTCGGCATTTACGATAATGAGCCCCCACGGAGAAAAAATTCGCCATCCACGTAAATCGGGAATCTGCAAAGTTTACTCAAGCGACTGGTGTCAACGTCGCGATAAGTTTACGAAATTCACGACCGAGACGCGTGACCGTCAAACCGAACGAGGGGAAAGTAATTGAAATTTAACCCGGCGGTGTATGAAATAGGGGAGGGAGGAGAGAAAGTAAAAAAAAAAAAATAATGGGAGGTCGACCGATCCCGCGATTGCTAATAATTCCACTTATTAATAACCCCTTAACAATGGCGGGGGTTATCGCGCTTCTCTAGGATTCGGCCCGTCCGTTCGGCCGAGATAACGGATATTAATGGAACGGCCGATAACGGCCTATCGACGTGATTATGCAAAAATCAAGAAGAGAGAAACTCCCATACGGGGAGGAAAGCGCGGAAAGGAGAGTCGAGGAGTCGCCAGATTGTAGGAGGTTCATGACTTAAGATCACTTTTACCGCATCTCGAGGACGCGAGCGGAGATGCGGATCGCATGCTGCGCGGAAATCACCCGGAAAAGCGAGACAACGAATAGCTAATAAATATATACTGACATATTAAAAAAAAAAAAAAAATAGTAGTATGCGTTACCACTACAGGTCTAAAATATACAGAGACAAGACAGCGAGTGTTATGGCATACAACTGCAGAAGGAGAAAAGTAACATTACAAATTGTATCTTATCTACGATTATGTCCTCTCTTTTTACAGTTCTACATGATCCCTCGTAGGGGTTGGTGCCCATTTCGCGACCACTTTTTTTTTTTTCCACAGTCTATATTATCGTCTATTATTAGCGTTCACGGCGTAAGGTCAATTTTCCAATAAGCGCGGCCAATTGAGACAATAGCACGACCGAGGAGTCGTTTTGCACGCCTATAGATAGAATGGTTTCTCGAATAGATCTCGGTAGCATCGAAACAGGTGCCGCCTGACCCGATCAACGGCGATTAATCGAATAATCTCACCTCGGTCGAGATAACTCGCGGTTGGACGCCCACGATTAGACACCGGGCTACAATTAATCTCCGGTTAAAGGAGGATCCTTAATCCCGCGTTTCTCGGGTTTTAAAGGCGCACGACGCGACGCAGGCATAATCGCGGTTGACAGGCACTTCATCGAGCTGATCCGTCTTTAAACGGCGGTTATTGCCGAAGTAAAGGGCACTTAAGCGGCCGGTTGCGCGAATTAATCGCGGCATTAACATTCTGCGGAGTAATCACGCGTCACCGCGAGGTCCATTCCCCTTTGATGCATCTCCGAGCGGCGTCGCGGTCAAAAGTGCACCTAGACTAGATGCACGTCAAATAAGAAGGGAGCGCGAGAGCCTTTCGTGATATCTCGTTTGTTTACTCCCCGAGGATGCCAATAAACAAATTGCTCCACTTGAGTCAACGGTCGTTAAATGTCACATGGCATAAAGGCGGCGGCTCACCTTGGGGGAAATAGAATTGGCACCGATAACGCGCGTTCGCGGCGCTTCTAATTGTCGTTATCACTTCCGGCGGAAGTGATTTTCTGAAAGTTCCCAAAATCGGAGGTATCGGGTGTATCAAAAACGAGATAATCTACCGGGTCAATTTTCTTGTCATTAATCAATGGGAGGGGGTCGCGGGGTCGTCAGCTGACAGGAGTGACAAGTGCGTCGGTGGACGGCTACCAAACGATGATTGGACAAAGTTGACGAACTGCCAAAACGTATCTACGATAAAACTGGCGCCTCGATAACCGAAGTCATCCCTGTCACCTGTCAAACTGACTTACACTTCATTAAAATTTTTACTTAAATCGTTACCTAACCGCAAATCGAAAAATGCCACTCCACCGTGCGACCGTGGTTGCGTAAATACGTCGACGTAGAGCGATCTAAAAATATTCGAGACGGGGAATAAAAAATAAGGAGACGCGTTCCATTATTAACTCGCGAAACTGAAATAGCACGGGGGGCTCTGGGTCGTTACCTATTTCCGAGAGACCCCGCGTTCGGGTTATCAGGGGTCAATTTCTTTTCCGATCGCTAATCGAAGCATCCACGTCAACGTCGCGGTAATGTTCCGTTGTTTTCCCGAGATTATTTATTATTAGGCCGACGTCTCGCTTGTCTTCGTCCCTTCTTTGTCGCGATCCCGTTTAGGTACTTCGGGTGAAATCCAGAGCTTCGCGGCTCGAGTCGTGGCCTTTAGTTTTGCCAATTCGGTGTCAAGGCGTTCCAGAATCCTGTCGTCTCGTCCTTGTCGTTGTCATGTCCGACAATGCGCTACGCGATGTCTCGACTTTTCGAGCCCACCTGACCTACCTCTACGCGATCGAGATCGATTCGGGTCAGTATCGAAAGCTAATTCTAACGAAAAGCGAGATAACGCGCACCACGACCAGAAGGAAATAGAATGCCGTGATTGAGTTATCATTTTAAAACGCGATAACCGCGAGAGATGATTTCCGACTAACCGAGTCGTAAATACACAGGGGGGATTAAAATTGGAGACGTAATTAGCGCGCTCAATGCGGCCGCTTTTAAAAAAGAAAGATGAGAAGACAAAGTAACCAGAGATAAAACTCGACGATTCGGGGATCCCGGACTTGAAAATCTCGCGGCGATTCGAGGCAATAATTTTATCGCAATTAGTTCGAGCGACTTAACGTGAGGCGACTTTCGAGGTGGTCGGCTCATCTCCTGCGAGATAACTCGTGCATAATATTGGCATTATCTAATCAAGAGGTGTCACGGTCGATTGTGAGAACTTTCGCGATAAAGAGGGATTTACGGTCGATCGAGAACCTTCCAAAACACAAAAGTCCGCCCCCAAAATTATTTAAAAATTAACGTCACTCTCTACAAGTTTCCCAATTTTCGCGAAGCACCCCTCGCTCGAGGCTCTCGCCCGAAAACCGGCGAATTTGTCGCCAGGTCTTTGAGTTTACTCAGGCGGCTGCATAAATCGAAAAGTCAACTTTACATAACGTAGCGACAGCATCGGCATGCCTAATCGATGCCGCGAGGTGTACCTTGGCGCCTTCTCTCTGCAAACAGCGAGCGTATGTCGCGAAAACGCGAGGGCAATGCGATTACCCATTACTCGTCGAGAGTCATACCGGAGGTACCGGCAAATTGGAAACGTAAAACGACGGATACCCTCCAGGGGTGTTTCTTTTTTTCCTCTATGGAGAGTCGACCATAGGCCATTGGTCATTACCCAGTAAGAGGACCTTCTTCGAGTCCGAAGATCGGTCACGATAAGGGGGGTCAAAATCGAGAGGCCCGAATGGAGGTTTCGTGTTTACGCGTTTACTATGGAGGTCCAATAAATAGGGAATTTTTCGTGCGGGCGCGGAAAGGAAAAAAAAAAGAAAAAAAAAACCACTTGCACATTTACCAAAGGACAGGAAATTCCAATCGACGATCGAGGGCTGATTGGGAGTAAACGACCGGGCGAGGGTTTTCGCGGCTCCCGGGCGAAATTGGAGCAAAAGCTAAAACTAGTTTACTACGGAGCGTTCGTTTACCATGGAGTGTCCGTTCATCTGGGCGGCCGGGTTCTTCGGCACGATGCTGCCGATGGTCTCCTCGGTCTGCGTCATTTTCCCCGGTCCTGCGACCCCGAAAGCCCCTCCAGGACTCCTTCACGACCCTCCCAGGTCGATTTCCGCCGCTCTCCTGAGTCCTTCCGAGCTCATCTCCGTCCTGCCCCCGAGCGCGCTCCAAGAACACTGACCTCCCCCGACATGTCGAGATGGGCGGTACCCCGAAATTCGGTGGTCGATAGAAAGAAAAATCGAGTCTGCCCCGAAAACTCTTCCTCTCGAATGTCCAAACCACCGTCTATCGATTGACGCCGACCACCGGCGTCGCTTCTTCCACCGTCGACGCGAAACCGGTCACATGGCACAGTCCCTCCCCATTTCCTCTCTTCCTTGGCACTTGGACCCCCTGGGACTCTAGAGTCCCTCGGGAAAATTCCAGAACTCTTGATATACACGTCCTTCGATTTTTCAGGACAGGTCGCCTATGAAGGGGACTCGGAGACGGAGACAAGTGGACGCGTCGACCGGCGCCGGCGAACTGATTCGTTGTTTAGGATTCGGGACGACTACTCCCCCTTTAAAGGGGCGCTTTTCGGGAACACCCCTCCGTTGATATTCGACCCTATGGCCGTGGGGTTCCTCGGACTCCCTGCCGAGTGTCTCAGGGTCCTTCCTTATGGGGGGAGTGATTTTCCTAGGTCTTTCTGGATTTATCTCGATTCTCAGTTATTCTCCATTTTTCACAATTTTTCTTGACATCTGGCGTTCTCTCTCTCTCTCTTGTGCTTCGAGGTCCCTTTTTATGGGGCTCGATTTTTCTTCGTCCTGCAAATGGGTGGGCCCTTTGAAAGGCCTGTCGCGTGTTTTGGGGGTCCTTTTTGATGCGACTCGATTTTTCTCGATTTTCCTTGCGGCCGGCGATTGCCTGTCAAGGAAGCCTCTCGAGAGCGGGCGGAACGACCCTCCGCGACCGGCAGGCACCCACGAACTGAGTCGAACTGGTCGCGCTAGGTGACTCCCGAGGGCCCCTTCCATATCGCATAGCAACCGCTGGTTCTGCCACTGATAAGTTTTCCGCCATGATCGATCCTCTTCGAGCCCCGATCCGCCGATCGGCGGGCGGCGGAATGCGCGGATCTCGTGGCCCGCGACTCGAAAAATCAACGGGGAGAGAAATCGGGGACTGGCGAAGGAAATTCAAAGAGAAAGCTCCGCAAGTAGAACTTGCCGCGGGACCGGCGACAGCCATATTGTCGGCACGAGAGCGCGTCGATATTATGGAAAGCAGAGGGCAATTTATAAACGGCAGATGCGACGCGGCGCGATCGGCGCGTTCTCCCCGTGCTTTCAAATCGAATCGCGATAACGTGCCCCGCGGAATTTCATCCGGACGCGCCGCGGAATTTCAAGTCTTCCGATCCCTCGACTCCCAGGCGCCGGTGGTTGCCGTTATCTCCGGTGATCGTCGACGGGAATTGAATTAATTAACCGGATTAATTTACCACCGACGGTCAAGGACGCGACGCCGCCTTTCAAAAGTTCCTCCGCCACCGCGTCACGACGCGGCGTCAACATCGCTCTATCAGCGAGCGATTGAAAAAGGAAGAGCCTTGACGATTTAATTACAATTGTTGTTAGAAGCATTCGCGGGCCCAGTGGAAGTCAAAGCCGTGGACGAGGACTCGTCCGATAATTTCTTTCCTTCGTTCGAAAGGGGAAGGAACTCTGACACTTCGCGCGAGATTAATTTACCGTTCAAGGATAAGCGACGTTGACCGTTTAATCCGGAAATAAATCGAGCGGATGAAAACGTAGAGAATGCACTTCCCTATATTTTACTTCTTAAATAGCTCGTCTCGAATGAAAAAAAAAATCCCGGCAGGAATGAGAATAGAATTATACGAAACGTAGCCACAAGATGTCCTCGATTAATATAGCGCCAAGGTTGGATCGCGATAACGATATCACCTCGCTTGGTGTTAAAGAGTGCAAATAATTAGTGAGCGATAAAGCATGAATCGCGTGAATACCCAATTACTTCGGTCGAAACGGTACGATCATAATTTCTTCCTGATTAATATTGCAATCGAGTCCGATCGATCGGAATTCAATATGTCCCGAAGCCGCGGTTGCATTGACCGAGAGCGAAAGCGGTCAAAAAGAGCCATAATTGCCATTCCCTATAGATAACTGCACAATCGCTCGCGATAGTCGCGAATATACGTGAATGAAAAATCTCGTGGGTGTCGTTATCTCCATCAATCGAAGGCATTCAGTTCTTATCGCAAGACCTATAGCGAAACCTCGAATCTCCAACCGGAGGATCAAACTCCTTGCATCGTAACGTTTAATTGCAGGTTCATTGTCGGGGTTACGGCCATTGGTTGACATTGGGCTGAGTCAGGTAATTCGAGGATGACTCAGATTTGTCAGTTATCCTAAGCCAGGTGATTGAGGGTACTCGAGATAATCCAATTCTTATCCCGACTCTAACGGTACGGCTTACTCATTGCCAAATTTCTCATCGTCGTCCGACTAGCGGGCAGAGTCGATTAATATTTAATTATTTATATTTAATTACAGATGAGAGGCCACTTCAAAAGGCCAAGTGCGACGAGTAACTCCATCGTATACATCCGATGCAAAGCGGAATCTCTTCAGGGGTGTCCTCATCCTTAATTTAACGGATTTGGAGTAAACATCGACGCGATTCAGAGGGAACGAAGATCTCCCAGGCGAGCCCACGCGCGTATATTAATACATGTACTCTCGATATGTCGTGACCCAAGGATATCGTCTTGGTCGCATGATCAGCACGTGTTCGGTGCCGGAGGCGCCGAAGATAATTCCTGCATATAACTCGCGCGAGTACATCGAGACGCATTAAAGGGTGCAGGGAGGTCGGCGGAGAGTCATCGAGGACGGTTCGCTAGTTCCGCGATATCCCGACAGATGGTGCATCGTTCGCTGCGGCGGGCGCTTCGCACGATTTACTCCATTCTAGATGGGTAGGTACACTGGGAGTAGTACTATCGTATTTTTGCGCGGATAAATTCGAATCGCGAATGTATGCGCGTTTACTCGCCATCTAACTAGACAAAAGCCTCGAGAAGGCACAGCTTCCACTGTGAACTCTGCATAATATACGATAAAGGGATAAATAACCATAAGGAGATGGAGATATCAACGGTGCAAGAATTTTCGGACTGAGATAATTATTGCTACTTTGAGATGAGTTAGGTTATAGGCAGGGTCGAAAATCGGGGTACGAGATCGAGGAATTATTTCACGGGGTGGGGATCGCTTACGGTGTTTGGCAAGGCGCGTGTTTTGAATGGTCTGCGCGGGGGATTAAATCGGGATCGTCAGTCGCAGGAAAAAAGGGAGATAGAGGTGCGATTTAGCGAGCGCTCATGTAGTCGAAGAAGAAGAAAGACAGAAAGAGGGAAGGGGGATCCGGCGGGACTATTTCCAGCCATGTCCGTTGGCAAAATCCCACGTTGGAGTTTCTCTTCTGGGAGCGGTGCTGGTCTAGGCCTCCAGTAGTGCCGGGCGCCGCGGGGAGCGCTGCGCTCGCGCACGCTTTACACCTCGGTCGACGTCTCGTCTCGTTTTCGTCCCCCCCGCACCCCGTCCCGTGGTAAAGTCACTACCAGAGAGATCTATTTCTGGATCCAGCGAAAGGTCGATCAGCAGGATCGATACAAGACGACGGAGACGGCGGGAGGGGAAAATGTCGGCAAGGGAGAAAAATGTCCGCCAATCGGCGGCGAGGTTAGAGCGACACTTTGCGGGCTGATTACAGGGATTTTAGATACACGACGTTGTTGCGTTAATTGTACATGGTCCATCATTAATACCAGCTAAGAGACATGCCTCCACCAGGTCGCGAAACGTTCCTCTTCGTGAACCCTCGATCTTATATCTTGAGATCGTAAAAAAAGAAAAACCCCAGCTTATCGGGGTGACATTTGTCTTCCTCGCGAGTCAGGGCTCCAATCAGTTCACTACGGTTTAACCGGTCGATCGCGATAACTATTGTCAGGCTACGTGACAAGATCGGTATTGTTTCTCGAAGGAACAGCCTTGTGCGTTCCTCGCGTCCTACTGCGCTTCGGTGACAATTAAGAAGGAACAATTAGCACCGGTGTTATGCAGCGGATGCAAATCGCATCCTCGCACCCTTGCGTCTTACTAGTAGCAGTGGTGTTCAACTCCGAGGTAGTACCTCCGTAAATAATCCCGCATCGAATCAACATCATAGCGTATTTTTAAAAAGGGGGCTAAACGGCATATTACGTTACCACGTGAATATGCTTAAATGTCGGTATTTTCGCCTCTGCGATCAAGACGTACAGACGGCCTGCCAGACACCCTTGCTCGCCGGCGTTGGCGGCATTTACGAGTCTCGCGCTCGAATGATCCGATCGGTTGCGCGCGCCGGCATTTAAATGCGCGCACACCTCGCGGCGAGGACTGCACGTGCGGCGTTGCCGACGTAGGTAGACGCCGGTCTCTATCCAAGTCCATAGTCCGTGCTCGAGTGCGTTCCTTCGTCTCTTAGACGTGACAATGGACGTTACATTGATTTTAAAGCCATGATTCATCATATATATAACTATTTCTCTCCCCTAGAGTCCTTAGGATCTCTTAGCGAGGTATAATGGCGTTGGTAAATATTTTTAAACTCAACGGGGTAAGAGATCGGTATTTAATTCGAGTTTGGGGTAACGAGTTCCCATTAAAATCGCTTCCGCTTCCCTTTGCGCTTCTGGATTTGTGCTCCCCCTTTGCGGGGATCCGATAGCGCGGCTCTAACGGCCAATGACTCCTGTGCGGCCGTTCCTTCGCTCGTTCGCGTCTCGTAAAGAGTAAGAGACTACGAGCGAAATCGTGTGAACGTACTCGTCGGCGCGCCCGGCGCACGCCTCTGCGCATGTCGCCGCGCGCAACACGGCCCGCCGATGTGCACGACTTCCGAGGTAACGGCGACCGAGAGGAACGTAATTCCCCTCGTCGGTAAAAACCAGCAGGGGAAAGAATCGGATCTCCCTTTCCGCGGAGATATCCACCCCCTCGACGGGCGGTACCGGCGAAACGACTTTCGCCCTCTTTCGTGCCATTGACCTCATCCCCGGGGGTAAAGAGACCCGGACCGAATCCAGAAATTCTAATCTCACCGCTCCGACGGATCCCTTTTCCACGGTTCCCACCGTTTCATATATTTCATATGAATACATGATACAGAGATATTCACACGGCGACTGGCTGCTCCGAAATGGACGCCCCGAGGTTTCCGAAAACCGCTGACCATTTTTGGTCCAGTCTCGGGCCTTGTAATTTGAAAATAAAATCCCGTGTTTATAGTGCGTCAAAAGTAACGCGGCCGTAAGAAGAATGGGGCCTCGATAAATTGACGGGTCCCGAGATTGCTCGGCCGTTCCTCTCGCTCCGAAAGACTGGCCCATATTTTCTCCAGCGATGAGCGAGCTTTTGGTTAGGGTCGCCACTCTTTGGTGCCCTCGAGTTGGCAACACTGCGCGCTGAAAATGCCTTCAAGGTGACCCCCAGTAGCTTCGCCGGTACGTAAGAGGGAGAGAGAAAGACAGAGGGACGGTAAATAAAATATAATTGAAGCCAATGGCGTCGGCAATGTAACGCGGTCACGTGACACCAGATCTGACGACCTGAAGCAGTCGATGACGTACAGCGGCGGGCAATAACGACTCCCCCCCCATCCTCCGTTCCTCCACCAGGAATAAAAACCTCGAAAAGGGTCAAACTTGCGAAAAGCTCAACGATAATCCCTCTTAGTCGCCCACATCCATAAATGAATCTCTTAAAGCTGAAATCGACACGTCCAATTCGTCGTTTCGTCTCGACCCGCGGAGTTATCGTCGCCTTATTCAAAATATGAAATATAATAAGGGCCCAGTGGAGCACTCTTCGGACAGTAATGCGAGATACTGTACTCCCGGTCGTACTTACGTTAAGTTACGTCACACGCGTATACGTCGTCTCCCGTGTCTCGTATATACGAGCAAACGGTCGTATAATAGAAGTCGTTTATTCCGATGCCTTCCCGGTGGAACAGTCGTAAGGTATAAAATATAATAATATACTGCCGAGGAATATTGTGCGCGTCGAGAGCGGCGTCCCACGAGTGCGCGTAATCTCTCACTTATCGCGAGGTAAAGACCCCCGTTAGCGACACGTACGGGCGAAATTTGCGGTCACTCCCATAGGTACGCGGTCGCCGACGTTAAATGAAAAGCATCGACATAATATACGCCCCACTTCCAAAATGGGTACAACCGGGGATCGCGCGGTTTTATTGCGAGCAAGTGCCCCCCCCCCCCCCACGTCCGTCGACAAAGGCCTCGGGGTCGCCATCTTCTTGCGCGCGTATCGGCCCGGCCGCCATCTTGGTATCGCGCGCGCTACTCTTTCTTCGCGCTGGTTTATCGTATCGTATATACGGCCGCGGCCAAAGTCGATCGGAAAGCGAGGTCTACGCGGCTCCCGAAACCCGCCTCGACCTCACTCGGGGTTTAGGAAAATACCAGGGAGCGTTTATCGCCGGGAACAATGTGTAACGGCGGAACAATGCTATCGCGAGAAATGGCGCGAGTCTTCCTCGAGATAGATCGATGCCACGAGGGAGAGGGAGCGGAAGATAACTCTGGGACACGGAGGATCATTCGAGAATGAAGTCCCGACGGAATTCGCGTTTTTACCGGGATTTAGGCGAATCGTCACCCGGAGGGACTCCGAATCTCGGTTGGGGCGAATCTCTTCGACGGCGTCTTCGCGCGATCGCGGAACCAACGACCGGTCGACAAATCGAGTCGGTCTCGATCCTGGACAAGGCGCGCCCCTCGTCGAGGCGCAGTGCTCGAAGTAGTTCAAAAGGAGCATCCTCGTTGGAACGCAAATACTCGGCCGATTAGACAAGCTATCGCTCACGTGTATACGTCGACCGGCCGAGGCCGGTCTCCTCGTTCCCTCTCGGCCCTTAAGGCGCGTCCACACCGGCGACAAGTACCGTTGCGAAGTTTGCGATTTCAGAGGCGTATTAACAAAATCGATTCCGGAGAAGCCCGACGTCCGTCGCTATAGAAGAAATTCCCTCAGGACGCTCTCGTCGTCCCGGGGATTTTTCGCGTTATTTCGTTATCACCTCGACGCCCGATTATCTCGATAAATCCCCGTTTAACGGTAAACTCCGAGGGAATGACCGATCCTGCTCGATCACGTGGGCTCATCGCTGGCCCGCGTTTGTCGAGGCTTAACTTTTCATGCCCGATGACGAAATAACACGTGTTAAGGCCTAATGCAACAACGTCCACCGACGAGATGACTCTAAGCCCTCCCCGTAAATCCGGTTGACGAAACTTTCAGGATTACTCGGGATACGTATTGTTGTAAATTATTCCCTTGTATCGCTCTCAAAGTAGCGAGCTGTCTTCGGATTTCTCCGGAAACGTGGGCTTAAGGCCTCGTTCATGATGCAGGCATGTTCGAGTTGCGCTGGCGCGAAATTTTTGCCAACCCACGTGTGCGGTTCGTTAGATGAATTATCTTTCTTTTATTTTTCTAATGGGGATTTTACGCTCATTATGGGACGAGGGTTGCTGTACTTACGTTGGCACGGCCCCGGAGACACATAGGGCAATTATTAACGATACCTAGAGAGTGTCAGGTATGTAATGGTTCCTCGCCAACCTACAGGTGTTTCGGAAACTCGAGGATTTCCGGGTAAAACCCCGTAAGACCTCCTGAGAGGCCGCAATAATACGAGATCCCCCACGAGGGATTCAAAAAGGAAAAGGGCGCCTATTCGCAAAAGCCGAGACTTTTCGATCGGCGCACTTGCTGCCCGGACGTTTCAAAACGCACTGGCATAAGGTCGCAAAACGCTGCCAAAATCTCGCTGTTCCCCCGCGATTGCAAAACTCGAAACTATAGCCGCCGATATTAAGCCCGACTCGCGCGCGAACATCCTCGACTCGAGCCGCGAGGACCGCGGCGTTAATCCGGGATTTTTGGCAATAACGCCGCATTTGGTAAAAAAACCGTATATACAAAAATTGCTGCCTATCTTATTCTGGAAATCTTTCGTTCGGGACACTTTCTCCCATCTTGCGTCGTTCGCGCTAAAAAGGCGCAATTTCCCGACGGGGCGGGTGATTCAGCCTCGTGACTTTCTCCCTTATCGCGGGAGCGCGGATCGCGATCAGGCGACGTTCTTTGCGATTAGTTTAACGACCGTCGAGCTCGCCCGCAAAATGCGGAATTGAAGTGTAACGAAGTCCAAAGGAAGGAGTCTAAAACAAAAGGCAGGGGTCGCTTAACGAGGTGGAGTTTCTACGGTGATAAGACGCTTGAAAAATCCGTCGTTTTCAACGGAGCGAAACCCGTTAGCGATCACGTGGCCGGGGGACCGGTTCTCATGAAATCCACGACTAAATCCGCTAAGAAAAGTCGAAAACTACGTTTTATTTCCCCCTCGGCAACCGGTTTCCCGTCCAGTGGTCGAATTACAATGGCATTCGCGGATCGGGACCGGTTCGCGGCACGGGAGAAGGAATTCCCACGAGAGCTCGTGCAGAATGCACGTAGATTAACTGTATATATGCAACTGCGTTGCGCAATTATGCCGGGCGTTACCGGGGAGCCCCGAGAGAGTGAATTCGGTCATAAACGTCGATTTTTGCACATCCGTAACCTTGAATGAGGTTCTCAAACTCGCAACCATCCCCCTCTCGACGCTCCGAGCGGTGCTCCACCTAGATAAAGTATTTTTAAATTACTCAAAGCTACTGTCTACGCCCTCAAGAAACATCGATCGATCATCCATAATATTTATATCGAAACCTGTTTGGGGACGTCTACAACGCAACATTTCCGGCCACCCATCCGAGAAACGATCGGAGCCCGCGCCGTTTAACCTATATATCTCTCAGATTCACGGAAATGGCGTGACGATAAGAGAGATAATCCCGAGAATTTCAATTGATAGTTAAGAGGATATGCGATTGGCATCCGTGGGGTCAATCGTTCACGAAACATAACAAAAAGTATGAAACGATTCGGTACACCCAGTTCGGAGATAAGTCTCACAAACGAGACCTCATCGCCGCCATTTTCACGTCACCTTAAAGAAGACTATAGGAAAGAAGTGGATTTCGGAATTTTTTCCGATTAGCGACGTCCTTTTGCAGGGATCGGCACGTACTATCGGGTATCGGGATCTCGAATATGGGTGGAATTTCATCCCGGGTCTTCGGTCCAGCGGAATAGGACCAATCGGCGGGCGCCTGCAACCAAGATGGCGGCGCGTCCAAATCGACGTCGAGAAAACGACCGGCGCGAGGCTTACGTAACCGAACTCGAGGTGTCTCGGCTCGTATCGAGCAGTTGGCAAGAAATCGAGGGTCGAACTCACCCGGTCTCGTCCCGAGGCGTCCACAGTAAATCCAAGATATCGGTAATGGGCTTCCGGTTTGGGTTCCAGCGGAAACCGGCCAATCGGGGCCGGTCCTCGCCGGGCGCACTTTTGACTCGCGGAGCGCAGGCGCGCGCGTCGCTCGCAATCGACTTCCGGACCGGTCGGGCCGCGATACGCGCGAGATCGACGGCGTCGCGACGCGCGCGAGTTTCACCGAAAAATGCGAGCCAGCTCCTCGCGGAGCCTCGACGTCATGGGGCGCGCAAGGGCGCCCAAGGTCGCAGCTGCGCGGACCGAGCAGGTACGTCGACGTGCCGGCGCGCACGCCGGCCGCGCATCTCCCACAGGTGGGAGGTCTTCCCTAAAATCGAGCGCTTTTGCCGCGCGGCGCGGGTTAACCGGGAATTAACAAATCCGTTAGATACCGCAAGGTTAATACCTCGACGACCGTTACGTCCGTGTGTGGAAATTCTCAAAGTCCTACCTCGCTCCATTGGGCCTCGACGACGCTCGCGTGGGATTTTCAAAATGGCGGTTCACGGGATTTTCAAAACGCCCGTTCACCAACGGCATCGTTTACGCGCGAAGGGCCCTCTGTGCATCGATTGGGATAACGTTCAACGGAATACGCATTTTTTTATCGATCCTTCTGGGTTTTTCTCCGTATTTCCGACTTCCCAAACGAGGGTGGGAAAGTAAACGCGAGTCGGTAAGGAAGACTTCGGTTCTCGACGCTTCCACGAGGTGCGCGATCAGATGGCGCTTAAAGCATCGGAGAGAAAATTCCAATTTCACGGGGAGGTGAAAGTTTCGCCTTGACCTAGGTCACGCACCCTCGTATACAGTGGCGGATAGATCCATACATTTTTTAATTCATCGTCGCATCCTTCCTGGATATATAATAATCGCGTCATAAGCGAAGGTCCCCGTTGGCCTAGAAACTCAATTTCGGATAATCGACGAGGGCAAAAAGACCCCCGGTCTGCAAGATGTCGGTCGAAATCATGGGTTTCGAGACTCGTTGCGAAATCGTTTCGAAAACGGCTTGCGCACTTTTTTTCCCGAAGTCGTGGAGCGAGGTTGAAATAATTTTCGTTCCCGCCGTCGGCACTTTTCGTTGAATGAACCAGGCTGTTATGTAAATTGCGCGTAATTCAGGCGCGCCTGCGCCGGGGCGCTGCACGCGACAATCACGTGACCGCCGGCGGTTCTAGGTGGTTCGAGGTGGTTCGTTTGTGTTCATATTTTGATTAGATAAAAACCCCGAGCTCGATAACGCGCGCATCACCATTGTTATATTTAAACGCGTACGGTAATTAGCCGATGCGCGTCCAGTGATTGCGCTGACCAATTATATGCCACATATCGGCGTGAGAGTCTCAAAACATGATTGGCTCACGCGTGTGGAATGCACGAGAGGGATATGTCAAACGGATGAAGTAACGGAGTCCCGGGATCCCGATAAACGGAACGTAATCACTTCCCCTCTCGGATGAGTCCAATAAAAAAGCAATAACAATCCCGCCTCGAGCGTTTCGCGAAACGTAAGCGAAGATTTCTCAAATATCCCCCCAGGGTGCGATCAGAGGTTATGTCGGCGACTGAACGCGACTTCCTCGCGTTCGCGCGTTCCCACCCAGGGGTAACGTCTGAAAATGTGCCGGTTGATGTATTAAAATGTATTAAAATGCATTAAATATATCGCATATGTTAAAACGCGTCTCGGGTTCCTCGTAATGGACCGGTGGCCTCGCGTCGCACCCACAGCAATGCGCTACCGGGAGATAAGTCTCGCTATAAATGGCACCGGTCGGTTCCACCTTAGGATCACGTGCACGCGGGCACTCGCTTGTATTTTTGACCGGGGAGAAATGTCAGAAACGCAGTTCTAGAGGTGAGGTCCCCCAACCGCCCGGCGGTGTCTAAAAAATATCGCTAGCGCGTGGCGTGGGTCCCTACGTCATCGGAAATTCGAAATTAATGCCACCGCCTCTGAATCGCCTTTCTGGAAATACTCCAAATATTTTTCAGTTATTAAAAACGACCGAGCGCGGTTTACGCGCTTCCTCTGTCCCTCCTCGTCTTCCGCCGTCCTCTTACCATTCAAGATGGCGGCCGACGCGCTAACGGCCGTGCATAGGGGCGCAGAGATAAAAGGTCATCGTTCCCTCGGCGCGCGTGTACGCCTTCTCTAGGCGGCCCGTCTATCAATGGACTAGACACGCGCCGCTATGACGTCGCCGCGTGCGCGTCGCTATCTTGCTCTCTCCCCTCCCTATGACGTCGTCAGAGCGACTCGCTCTTTCTCTCTCTCTCCGCGGACTGACGTCGCGGCTGCGAAAAAGTGCCGACTGCGCTTGAGGCGCGGCGTCACGTGACCTCGCGTGACGTCACATCTAGGTAACTAGGTGCTCGTGATTTTCACGGTGGGGGCGGCGTTTCTTTCTTTTTAATCCCATGCGTCCCACGGAGACCTGTCTTACCGACCGCGAAAGATAATCTCGCGCTTATCGAAACGCGAGATAAGATCCGTCGATGCGATCTCTCGGAATTAATTGGTTCGAGACGAGAAATTGCGCGTCTAGTATCGGGAATCGGGTGTTCCAGAAATTCCGTCGGCGTCCCTGGCTAATCCTAGGAATGTACCATTTTACTCGCTATTCGGTTCTTATTGGTTATTAGTAATTTTTTTTTTTTAATATTTCTTGGGGAGAATCGACGCACAGGGCTCCTTCATTTCGATACGAGCCTGCGGGTCACCGTCGGCGCATCGCGTGCCGCGCATAATACTGCATTGAATGCACCGTGAAGCGATTCGGATGCAATTTGGCGTCTCCGATCGAGCAAGGAGATTATCGCCAAAAATTAGACGGAAAGTAAATGCCCCTTTACGAGGAGGACCTTCGTGGCTCGTGTTGCACCGAGTGCACTTAACGCGACACGATGTATCATCGCGTCGCGGACGCGTTATGGAACGTCTTACGTTTCGGACGACAGGGTGACGTGCCCGACTGTAACGGCCGTTAAAAGCTAGGATCCTCGGGGACGTTTAATGGCGATTTCGTGAACCTCGTTCGCTCGTAAAACGGACGTGGCATTGCACGAGCAGGTTTTTAGCTCGAGAAAATGATAAATCTTCCAGCATGCCCAGCCATCGATACTCTACTTCCGGAAGGGATTACAATAACGCGACAAGAACGCCACGTGAAAACCTACTCGCTCTTTCTCGGAATTCAAAATGGCGGCGCTCGGACGAGGAGCCCGCGTTTGATCGATTCCACTGCTGGCGCATATTTACGATGCTCTGACATGGAAAAAACCCGATAACCCGGATAAATCGTCACGGAGCAGGCTGGGACATTTACGCATCTCGTTATATATACGGAGTGCGGGTTTTCCGGTTGTTTCCATGGCTGAAAGGGCAAGAATCGATGTCGAAAAAATGCCGCCGTGCACCAAAATGGCGACGGGGTCGCGGCGTCCGTGGCCCGGCCCTGGGCCCGGGACGCCGCGCCGGCGGGCGTCGCGATGCGGCACCGCAGGGCGGCGCAGCCGTCTCGGGCGCACGTGTCTCGCGAGGTCTCGTCTCGTCTCGTTTCGTCTCGCTATGAGGGACGCCGAGGGCCGCGCCGAGGAGGCTCTGGGCTCCGGGGAAGAGGCTCAAGATATCGCGTCGCAAGATGGCCCGGACGAGTCGGACGTCGCTCGGTAGAGGATCGCGAATCGGTCCTCGGGTAACTCGGATTACTTGGCCTAACGAGCCTCTTCCGCGCGTCCCTTCGACTCATCTCGAGAAAAGATGAACGTCCGCCGTCTTCCGGGCTTCATGTACCAGTACAAGGTCCTAGCCGTGCTGCTCCTCTGCGCCCTCTTCCTCGTGGTCTACCTCCTCCTGCACTGGGGCATCATGTGCACCAACCTTGAGGCCTGGAGGCACGTGTCCAGCGTGGTGAGTCGACGCACTTCGCTTCGTTTCGCTTCTTCCTCTCCATCGTATCCTCCCAGCCGATCGAATGCGTTCCTTCCCTCCGCCTGGTCCTCTGCTCTCTTCGGTCCGCGCGGTTGCCAGCCGGCCGACTAATGTCACGTCCACGTCCCGGCAACGAATCCGCCCACTCTGCGCACCTGTTTCGAACACTTTTTTTAGCGACTCGTCGACCCCCTCTGTGATTTCTTTCGCGATAACCCGTCGAAATCCCAGAGGTCTGGATATACGTCCGCTATTTTTAGGTAATTAGGTAATTTAGGATGGACACCCTGAGAAAAAATGCCTCGGTTGACTCAAGGAAATATTGCGGCAAAATCTTCCGATTAAATATCCGGTAAGAGTGAAGAAATCAACGATATTATTTTTCCCCTCGAGGGAGTAATTGTTTCTCGTTGTTATATACGATTAAAGCAACGATATACAATTTCTTTCGGTGAAATAATGATTTTTCTCAGGGTAGCTCCCGTTCGTACCTCCCACTGCCACGATTACGCGACCAGCGACTCGTTCCGTCCTCCGAGTTTTCGAGACTGACCGGTCAAGAGTCGTCAACACCGGCGCGCTCGGAATTTCTTACTCTCCTTGTGAACGACATTCCAGTGGATGTTTTTGTTTTCTTCCACAACCTCGCTCCTTGTCGACTCGACGCATGGTACGAACTCGACACAACGGTCACTCACAGGAGTACTTCTGGAATTCAAATGAAAAGTCGAGGTGGAAGGATTCATGAATTTCTTCCACCCGAAATTAAAGGATGTATACCGAGCAACGCGATCCGAAATTATACCGTGACAATCCGTAAATTGAACGGCCTTATACGGGACGCCATCGATGATAATAAATTAAGTCGCGAGATCGGCGTTGCAAAAGCAAGTTTGCAGTCAATAATTAAGCGTTGACGGTCGTAAACTGGTGTGCGGTAATAACAATGGTAGGAATAAATATCGGCGCAAGGCAGGCCTGAGTTCAAGTTCAATCTCGGTACTTTGTCTGTAAAGAAGCTGGACGGGACATTGACTCGTGGAAAGTACAGAGCACGTCAGCCAACAATCATCGGAAGGAAAACGTAGTTTTAAATCGTCCTAGCTATTATTAAGCAATTGGACACGCGACTGACCATCTCAAAATGGAAAACTGGGATGAAATTTAATTTTCAGGTGTCAGACTTTCGAATACCGGCTCTAGTCCTCGAAGTAGACCGTAGTTAGGATATTACGGGCCTCGTAGCGGCCTTATTGCGATCGTGCAATTTGCATTCCCTCGCATGTACACGCGACGGGCTTAAACAAAAATCCCTCGTTGCTCTTTGGAACTCGTTTATAATGGACCGCATTCGCGGGCCTCGCTGCGACCTTACACGATTTTCTCGGAAATCGTCTTTCGAGAATTAACGCGACGTATCTAAAACTTAAAAAAATAAATAATACCAACAACGTGGCCCTGAAAATTCCATTATTTTTTTTTCAAATTTTTGTATAGGCATTTTCAACATTTTTGTATTAAAAAAAAAAATGAAATTTCACGCGTCTCAGGACCTTCCTTTTGCCTTCATATTCACGCGCGCAAAGTTTGGAGTTCTGCGATTGACTTCTTGGATGCCACTTTCGTATCGCCTTAAGAGTCGAGAATAAGGCGTTAAGAGGATGAAAGAATCGAGAGCGAGGGAATGCTCGGTGTAGTTTAGCACGGATGGGCAGTTAGGGGGTCGAAGACGGATCACTTTTGCTCGCCCTTCCGTTGAGGCCCTTAAAGTCGCGCTCTTTGACGGGGCTAGAGGGTAAAAATACATCCGGCGTATGAAGGCGGTTATAAATACGGCGCGCGGTGAAATCGGCCATTATGTGGGCAGCTCTCGGACCGCTAGGTACAGTATTTACGACGATGGCTCTGCCCACGTATTAAACCTCGTTCACAACGCACTGAAAGCACTTTCAGGTGTCCCGTGGCGTGGCTCGCGGAATTCCTGCGGTTTGCCTCGTCCATTGAATAAAATCGGAATCACGGTCTCGCACTACCGACCAACCTCTAAAGCGCCTCGTCGTATGTACATTGTCGACACAGAGGTTGATCAGGCTGATCTGGCTGATCCATAAAACCTACGTCTACTTAAAGGACCCGCGGCCAACAATGTACAAATCTCGATTCCTAAATGCAATACGCGATGCACCCTACCATTGTCGCCACGAATGGACGCAAGCTACCATGAAAACGGAGCCGCAACTTAATAACGTTATGGGCGTTGGTCGTTAAATGCCGTCCATCGTGCCGTCTGCGACGAGGTCGGCGAACAAAAGGGCCCTGCACCGCATTTATCAATGAATCGGCGAAATTGGGCCGTATCTCTGCCATGATTCCTGTTCACAAAAGGACTTATACTAACGTATTGTGCCTACAATGTGCTCGCAATAATCCTCGATCCGAATATGCGTGCAGGGATATAAATAAAGTTCCTTTCCGCCGGGGTTAACGCTCCTTGCTTCGATTTGCTCCTTCCTTCTTTGTCTGGCGGAGAACGCGCATCTCCCCTGCGACGCACTTCTGCTTTTCGCGGTAGAGTCGGAAGTCGGTGCGGATAACCGTGGAAATTAGCGGGGAATGGCTCGCCGTTGCACCGTGTCGAATCTTTGTCCGCGTCGACGGGAGACACCCATCAAACGACGAACCGGTGCCTGGTCCCCTCCTCTCCAGACGGAACGGGACCAGTTAGTCCCGACACGCATTCCTACGCTGAATTTCTGCGTCCCCCTTCATCTCTCGGGTCTCTCGCCGTTCGGATGAACAGGGACGGTATCGGTAAAGAAATCCTCCTTCTTTTCAGTGCAGCACCCACAGGGATGGCTCGGCAATCGGGATTCTGTGCGGCCCACTCTGTACGGAACGTGGAATCCATTCCCTGGCCTGCGAAAGTCTCCATTCTGGGAAAGAAGCTGTCTTCTCGGCGCACTGGGAAGCCACCAGGCTCGTCTTCAAGGCCCCCAGGTTGGCGGCTCGCTCTTTTCGCGGAAGGACCCGCGACACCGACATCGGGACCATTTAGCGTGACCTATCGATATACCCGGGCGTTTTAGACCACCTTCCCTTAGTTTGGATTTCTCTTCATATTTTTCACGTAGAAAAGAGACATTACAATGGTTCGCTTCTTCATCTCCAGGATCAAGTCTCCGTCCGATCGACTGGAGTCCCTCTATCCGGTGGACGAACTCGGGATGAGGCACTTCATCTCCGAGGAGGACTTTGCCAGTGCCATCAGGGACCTGGTGGTCAGCAGGATGAACGCCACGATTTCCACGAGACAGCTGCAGAGGTTAGCCAGGTTGAGGACCCATCGCGTGGAGACGGACCCGTCCAGGCGTCGTTTGGAGATGGAGAACGTGTGGCCTCTTCTTCAGAACAACGAGTACATCATATCCATTCTTTACGAAGACAGAGACGTGTTTCCTCAGCTGATCGGGACTTGCGGGACGTTTTACGCCGTGGAGTACGTCAGACCCATAGAGACCCCGACGACGGTCCTGGCGTTGTCGGACTCCAAGCCGGAATGGGCCAAGAGGGTGAAACTGGCCGTGATGATCATGGACCTGCTGGAGGAATTGGAGAGCAACTTCCCCGAGCCGTTTCATCTTTGCGATGTCAAGATTAATCACTTCGGGCTGCCCCTGGGGGGTCAGAGACTCAAGTTCCTGGACCTGGACGCCGTCTTCCCGAGGAGCGTCGTTGGTAAATTGATCGCTGATAATAGGCACTGCGAGAAGCACCAAGACTGCGACTACTTCGACTGCCGGTCGCTCTGCTCCAAAAGGAAACGCTGCGAGTCTCCGGTGGTCAACAACAATCTGCAAGTAAGGGACTCGGAATTAGTTCGAGTACGTTGTCTCGAAGACGTTGAATAACGCTGAGGACATTATTACAGGTGATATGTGAGAAGATCTTTCTGGGATGGACCCTCTCGGGGACGATCATCATCCCGGGGCTATTGATGTCGGAGCACACCACGAGTACGCTGGCCGTACTTTTGAGACAGTGCGCCAATCCCGCTGGCGATTCGACCCAATTGCCCAGAGCTGCTGTCCCAGCCAGTCTTAAAATGCGGCTCTACAATATATTGAGCGAGATGGAGCAAGAATATGCCTCGGAAGTTTAGCCACGTCCATGCCTGCTGATTGCGAAGTCCTTCGGGGCGAGTGCCCCGAAGTGACTTTTCGACAGCCGTCGAAAATAAGACTTTAGATGAATTAGATAGGGTTAGATAAGAATTCACTGCATCGATGCAACGCGAGTCAACCCGAAGGACGGGATCGTCCCTGTTTAAGAATCCTTGGTAGGTAGCATTTAAAATTGAGGACATTAAATCTACATTTAGTGTTACCTTGGTAATAACACAGCGAACGCACGCAAATGTACCGTCACTATTAAGATTTTATTTTTCACGAGTACTTTACTTGGAGGTGTTTCCGTTTTCTAGATATTTTTTATAAAAACCAATTTCTCGCTACATTACCTCCTGCACAAGTCAGATGATAATAAATGCAAGAAACTGTTCGCCTGAGTAAACGGGGTTAATTATTAATGCAATCTACTTTGTATTTTAATTATTCCCTCGAAAAAGCAACATTCGCTATTATCCGTTCTAGGTGGCAGCACGTTCTTCTCCAGGAAAGTGTGTAAAGTCGCCGATAGATGGCACGTGCAAGCGCTTGGCTGGTATCCATCGACTCGCCGTCTATATAGCTTGTTAGACTGTGCATAGACTCGGCGATCGATTATGAGATAGGCTCGAGTTGGGGATTCGGGTCTTTCGGGAAATCAGTTCGCCCGTCCTCAGGACTTCCGATTTCGGTGCTGAGTTCTCCATTTAAGAGGTCTCGCCATGGGGTTTGGCGATTATCCGGCGGAATATAACCCATCCGTCCATGGACCCTACGATCCTGCCCGCTATTACGGGAAACGTGAGTCTTCAGAATTTAACCTCAATAAGTGCGAGGACCCAAAATTATTCTGGCCATTGTGGAACGTCTGATACGTTTTTTTTTTAACAGAGGACACGAAGTTTTTCGACCTGAAGCTCAACGAAGTCGGGGCCTGGTTCGGAAGACGGCAGAAAACTCCGCAAGCCTTTATTGCATCCTGCTCAAGAGGTAAAAAGTTTCTCAGATTCTAGGTTAGGTGTCTGCCATCTTGCTCCCTTCAGATAATTGCATAACCATCTCTTACACCGTTAAACAATGTTATGTAATTTTTATACATTTCATGATAGTTGAATTTATTCTTGTTCGATGGTTTGTTTCCATACAGCGTTCTGGCGTTGGCAGCATAAATATGTGTTACCAAGGAAGGCAGGTGTCGCGCCATTCTTGCAGCTTACCTTTGGCATGATGGCTTTCTTCTATATAATCAATTATAAGAGACTGCGTAAGATTCAAACAAATTTCTTTTATGAGTATTTTTGGGAAGGCATCTTTGAGTATGTTGAAATGTTGTGTCTTCACATTTTAGGCCACCACAAGAGCTACAAGTATCACTAAGCCTTGTTAGTGAAAATTAATATCCCTTGGAGGGGTATAGTAGCGGGGCTCTTCGGGTGCACTTTCAGAAAATCGATCAGATATACACGATGGTCGGAAGCATTGTTATCGTACAGTAAACACTGTCTCTTTAATGACATTTTTTCCCTAGTCTCTGCAAAATGTAACTACTAAATAAAGTCTTTCGTCATTGAGAAAGTTTTGAGATGAATAGCATCTCATCTGAGTTAAAAACTTTTAATTGCGTATTTCATTCTAGAATATAACAGGAAAAAGAAAGGACAGTCGCAAAAGCATCCGCCATATAAGGTATCATTGATTCACTTGTTTTCATTTAATGATATGTAAAAATCTGAAAAGTCAAAAGGTTTCAAATATTCTAAATTAACTAGCAATCTGAATACATTTCAAAAACGGAATTTGGCAGACTATATGGAATCACTGCCTACTGATAAAACATTCAATATCTGTACAGCAAATAATGAAATTGAGGAAGTAAGTCGGATGTAAAGTACACGCATGAAGGTTTTTAACATCAGAATTTAATTTGCGAAAAAGGTCAAAAATTTTTTGGAGCAAATATGCGTTCTCTCCAAGGAAGAATATCGGATTCAATGTGAGAAAATCGAAGTGGCTACAAAAGCTATGAAAATTCGTGATGAGAAAATTTTCCTGGATTGCACCCATCTTCCATTCAAACCTGAAGTGCAGGTATTTTAAATGAATAATTCTCACTTAAATTAATTAAGGCACAATGTAAATTTTCCAGTTAAAGGAGATTTTCACAAAAGCGATTGCACTGATGGAAGAAGGTAACAAATTGGAAGATCGCGCTGCAAGGTTAAAAATGAACGAAACCGATCTAAAGTTGAAAAAATTATTCCTTGAAAACGCGATACGATCGACCTCTCATAAATGAAATTAAGTGCACATGGATCAGTAAAACCAAACTCTTAACAGATTCATTAAAATATTAGAGGTCACACAATGATAGAATAAGAATGACACGTTGGAGGAAATTGTAGTCCTCATGTGGCGGTTTTCCTAGGAATTCTGATGCAGAAAGATATACCTTGACGTTGGATTGCGTAATTTCAGTTTTTTTAAAAAGTTCCTCTAATTGCGCGTTGTGTGAGACTCTGTAAATACTGATAATAAGAAACAAAGAATGGCATGCGTCTTGTTCCAAGGAACCTATTCAAAGATAACAATCCTGGAAAGGTCTTGTACTCGCATAATGAAAATTCAAGTCGCTTATGCATAAAGTATAACGTCTTCATTGTTACCCTTAACATTCTTTAATCGTCGTTCTTCCAGTTACAGATATTTACGCATCCGACGAGAGTTATGGCTTTTAACAAAAATTAAGAGAAATAGATAATAGAGATCTCGAATAACGTTAAGAATAAGAATGACACGCATAAACAACAGTTTAACTGAACGTTGATGAACAAAGGGGGCAGAATTTGCTCTTAGTCCGAGACATATACATCATTGCATTTTTCCGCCGATTGTTAATTATTTGCGCAATGAACAAGAAAATTTGTCGACGGCATACCGTAGTAATTCTTATAAATAATTCAAGCACTTAACACAGCGGTCACGTCAAGTTGCGGAAAACTTATTACCTGGAGTAATCGGCACTCCAAGAATTCGATCTATCAGCGCAAGTTTTTCCGTTATTTATGCGGATAGTGAATCATAGGTTAACCGAGAATAACGAGCAGCGGCGGCGTAGCGGAGGAAGGCTCTCTGGAAAATTGCCAAAATTGTAAAAAGATCCCCTAGTACTATCACTCCACCCACCGGCCGCGGGCTCGTTAATCTATTTACTATCGACAACAAAGCCTCGAAATATCCGCCGCGCAAAATCCTCCGATTGTTCTATTTTCGTCCGGAACATTAATTCAAGCACTTCGCAATTTACTACCTTTCTATATTTCATTAGTTCACGTGCAAAGTGGAATCGGCACGGCTAGCCACCCCTGGCTCGGAGTTGTAGTTTGGTGCAGGAGGGACAGAGAGGAAGCGGGGCGGGATCGCACGGGTGCGAGAGAGACAGGGAGCGCGGCAACACGCAAGAGTGACGCTCACCTCCCCTCCAGGCTCGAGCGGTGGCGATTACGCGTGCGCGCGCCACCGCCAGAATGTCACCCCTGCGACGCACGGGCCGAGACCGCCTATTGGTTTCTGCGCTCTCCTACGACCTCCATCTCAGACGGCTCGCGGGGTTTCCGTCCGATCGGCACGCCGCCATTTTCCGAGTTTATCCGCCGGTGACGCGCTCCGACCTGCACTCGCGTGGTTCCGAATCCAGTCACGTGACACGCCCTAGCCGAGGCCAATCGCTGCATCGCAATAACTCATCCGACACTCACGAGTTTCCTGGTCGCGTCTTCCTCCCGAGTCTCTCTCCTCCGTCGACCTCCCCGTCCTCCTCTCGTCCTCGGGCCTAGCCTCTGTACGTCTCCGAGTTTCGTCTTCATACCGGATTACCATGCAGCTCGTCCACGTTTTTTAGCATCGGTTCACCTTCTACTGGGAGACACTGCGGTGAGTTCGCGGACCGGCCGTTAGAGGCGCCAGCGTCGCGAGCGCCCTATTCCCAGGTACGCGGGGGTGCTTCCTCGGTTTTCTCCTTTTCGTTTGATTCGCTATTTCTCGTTAGTTGCATCCCATTACTAATCCTAGAGGCTGAAATCGAACATGTCGGAATTTAATATCCCGGGAATATTTTCCACGAGACGCTACACCTGTGGCATCTTGCGCGTATGTTGCATCTCGTTCTACCGGCATTCCAAGACCGAACGGATGCGGAGATTTTTAATTATTTAACAGGGGAGACTCGCGAATTAGTAAAATCAGGAGGGAATCAAGCGGGACGATTGAAGGGAGATTCGAGGGATATCGAGCCACGGGAGTGCCGAGTGCAAACGGTGGAAACGATCTCGTCAAGTGTGGACGCACTCGGGATCGATAGCCGCCATGACGGTTCGACGCGCCAGCTGACCGCGGCTTGAACCTGTGTTTACAAACTCGAGGGAGACGCCGGATCATTCGAGAACCAGCCCCAAATATTCCATGGAGAGATCAGTAAACCGAGAAACTGTTGGGCACGGTGATAGTCACGGTAAAATAAATTCACCCAGGCTTTTAAAAGTATTTGGCGAGGAACTCTATCGAGTTTCCTGATGGTTTCTTTTACTCGGAATGTAAACATGTATATGTTCTCGTAGGTTCTGCAACAAAAGAAACGAAAATGGCTCGCGCGAATACCGGTAATTTCACGATATTTTATCATCCGCTTTGACACATATCTAGTGCATTTCACGGCTGTTGTAACATTTAATATCTATAGCGAGGAGTTAAGTAGACCTTAAGTATCATCGCGAGAATGTATTTGAGCGCTGTTTAAAAGTCAGGCCAGAGACTGCCTTTCGTTGCCGAGGTTGAAAGTTGTTTACATTTTTTTTTCTAAACACGAGTGGAACATCGTCTCGTGTATTGTTTTCGAGGACAATGGAGGAAATAGTTCCTTTTCCTGTATCCCGTAAATTGTCGCGGTAGATTACCAGTCGGTAAATTTATGTCCGTCAATCGATTCGGATTTATGATCCGTGCGCAGTATCGACAATGGAGTCTCCAATAGTGGTAAACGTGCGGTGGAAATCTCGCCTTTTATCGGGAATCTTATTACGCCTCCTGTAGGCGTATCGAATTAATCTCAAGAAAGCAGGCGCGTAGCGCGATGCCGATTATTCAACCGACGAACGTGTATCGCCGTTGAATTCGAAGAGAAAAGTTTTGCAGATGAGAAGTTCCGAAGTCACTTCAAGACGTTCCCGCGGCCCGATTTTCCAGTAATCGAGGAGGAAATATCGGACGAGTAGGATGCATTCTCGGAAACGCATTGTCCCGGCGAGTTTCCGCGACGACGAAAGAATCGAAGATTACAGGAAGGACGTCCCACCTCGTCGGAAAGAAATGGAAAACCCATCGCTTACGTCCCGCCATGTTATTTCGCGAGTCCCGATTCCTGGAAAATGGCGGCCCAAGTATTTTTTTTTTCCTTGGGCCCCACGATTAGTACGGAACGTCGCATTAATTGGCGCGCAAATCGCCAATCTTGACCGCAGTCAAAGGCGCGGGTTTTCCCGAGGATAACTCTCGTCTCAAAACCGGCAATTTCTCGGCGACTCGCAGATAAGACGCCTGATAAATGGCGAAAAGGAACGACCTAATCTCCTCGTAATAACAGGTGAACAGGAGTGACCGGCTGGGGTAATTAATTACAGGCGAGGAGGGAAATTAATCCCGCCCTTGTAAACGCGTGGCATGAAATCTGAATGGCTTTGTCATTTTCGAGTGCCTTATTAATTTTCTCTCTATTGATAAAACGCCGGCTTTGGCTTTGACCTCCTTCGCGAGGGTCTCGGTCCTCGGGGAAAGGACTTTTTTTTTTCTTGTCAGGGAAACTGGAGCACGTAGCCCAATAGAAATCAAGTGGGGATCGGATAGACGGAGGCTCTCGAGATAATAGCATATTCTGCATGAAGTAGGCTTGACAATCCTTTGACATGGAGAGAAGTCTGTCGTTAAACAGGCTCCGCAGTCGAGGACTCGTTACTCGAGTCCATACCTCGAGCGAGGAAAAGCATTCTCTTCTTCCTTTTACGCGACTACCCCCCTCGTTTCCCTAAATCGTAAAAAAGAGATTCCATTATTCAAAGGTGGAATTATTCTAACGCCTTGACCGCTACGATATCTCGTTTCTTTCCTTTCCCCGAAGTTCGGCCAAAGGGGAGCTCCGCCCAAAGGTGTCGCAAAGTTCCCGGAATCCGGCACGTAAACGTCGTTTGCGTAATGAGATTCGATGACTCTCATTACGGTCGATCTTCCTTACCAGGCTAGGGCTTCGCTTACACAACGGAGCGACGCACCGGGGCGTTTTCCTCGATCCGATCCGTCACTTGGGACGATTTCGTCAGTTTTGCGCACCGACGTAAGGAGACGCTCATAAGAAAGTCGAGAAATTGTCATTCCCGCCCGATTGCGCGCGAAAAGGAATTTACAAAGCCCTATTGACAGCGCAAAAATCCGGACCCAGGAGAAAGTTAACGCGATAACCTAAGTAAACGTAAGAAGGAAGTCGAGAAATTGTAATTCCCTCCGACCGCGCGGCGAAAAGAAACCGCAAGTCCCGAGAGACAACGCAAGGACGTCTCGGCCCAGGGGAAAGATAAACCGACCGGTCTTCCGCGGTCGAAGTGAATCACCGAGGTACTAATTCGATCGTAACGCCGACGTGGAATCTCGCGTAAATAAAAGGAAAGAGAGCCGAGGAGGAGGGCAGAGGGAGAGAGAGGGAGAGAGATGGAGAGAGGCGTCGGCTTATCGGGCTCCAAGGGAGAGAAGTCGGGATCGGCGGTGATTGAGGGACAGTCGGGTGGATATCAGCCAGCGCCGCGCCGACTATCAGTATTAGCTCGGCCATCCTCGGGCGCACTCGACTCGCGAGCGCGAGTGCGAGGGCGAGTGAGACCGCGAGAGCCGCCGCGGGACGAGATAGAGAGAGACGGACCGAGGGAACGCGCTCCGATGTCGGCTCGTTAAAGCTCTCGCGCGACCAACCTGCCTCCGAAGTACCGGCGCCGGAATAAGCCGAGTGAGTTCGATCGGTCGTTGGAACGATTTCTCGTTGACGCCTCTAAAAACGTCGGAAACGTAACGACAAAAACCTGATTCGAGGGTCCGTCCGGATAAATACGAGATCTTCGATTTCGTCCCCGAATTGAAATCCGTAACGGTCGATTGGTCTTGATTTATCGTCAGGATTTATCGTTGCGTTGGATGAACGCCTCGACGGTAGTTACACCCGCGTGGAAGGTCCTTAAAGCGATTTGTCCCGATTTTTCGATTATTCGACCTCTCCTCAGACTCGGTTCCTTCGAGCGCTCGTCGAGGGGGCTTTGGCGGGACGATTCGAAGTGCCATCGACGTCGATGGCTTCCCAGAGGCTTCGAGTCGACCGTATTAACACCTTCCCGAGGGTGGACCTTTCGGCGAAGAGTCTTTCTTTGGGAGCGTCGAGCACGGTCGAGGGCCCTCGAATAGGCTCGAGGAGAGGTTCCAGTTTTCTCGGGCGATTTCCCTCGGCGAGCTCCAGGGCTCGCGGTTCTCGAGGGAGCCGAATACTGGGCAAGGTCGAAAGTCCGAAACAGTTATTCGAGGAATCTAATCGCGGGATGTACTCGGACGATAAAGCCGAGTGGAGCCCACGTTGGACTCCAGGCCGCTTCGGATGGCGTGAATCGTGGTCGAGAGGGAGAGAGAGAGTACGACGTAGAGAGGCAGAGATACGAGGGAGAAAATGAGGAGAAATGCAGGAAAGCTCGAGGAGAGACCGATTTTCTCTTTGCGAGCCCACCCGGGAACCATCCTCCACCAGTGGACGATATCTCGGTCGAATCGGTCCTCCCCTTTCGAGAGATCGATTAACTCCTCGATTAATCGGTCGACTCCCTCGAGCTATTTCCGACTCCAAGTCGAGTATTTACGCGGTCGGAGCACGCGGCGCGTTTATCTCCAGCCGAGATTACAGAGGCCGACTTCCAGCCGAAAGTTCACTGGGTGATCGACCGACGTCAGATGAGCCGATAAGTCGCAGATACGATGCCCGATAATTCCCGACGATCTCGAGTTCACCCCCCTCGTGATAGCGTTATCGCCGCGCCGATTCGACGAGTAGTTCGGAGCTTCGTCCTCGGGACTTCTTCTTTTTTCCTTCTTCTTCGTTTTTTTTTTTTTTCTACGACCGAAGACGGACGGAGCGAAAATTTTGCGATTCGACTGCCATCGTTTCTAACCGGTCTAGCTTTCGCTCGGCTGATAAGCGAGTAGTTGCTATCGTCAGCTCGTGTAATCCAGTCGCGCGTGCCCGATAGTGGAGAATGCTCCTCCTTAGCCCCCACGTTGCGGGTCTCTCTCTCCTTCTTTTGAGCTTTTTTTTTTTTTCCTTCCAAATTTTCTACAAACCGAGTTAAGCGGGCGAAGCTTAAACGGCGAGCGCGAGTCTCGAATTTTTGGAGTAATCGATCGATCGCGGCTTGTTAAGATCTTTTTATTATCGTAAATTTTTTTCCCCCTATTTTCTATACATTCGACGGAGGATCTTCGCGAGCGAAGGGGGTCGTCCCAACCGGGTTAATTCGATGTAACTGGATTAATTAAATTAGGTGCTCGTGCAGTCGATACACAGCGAGGACGCATGCGCCTCGATATAGGCCGATATTTCTAACTAGCTCGTGCCGGAATCGATTTAAATGCGATTCTACTCGCGAATTCTCTCCCACTGGGAATTTTTATTCACATTCGAAGTTCCCGGATAATCGTTAGTTTTTTTTTTTTTCCAGTTCGAGTCTTGACTAAGCCCGTGTCCGAGGATTAGCTCTGCATTGACCTCGGCTCGGGGTATCGATTTGCCACTAAGCCGAGCACGCTTTGACTTCGGAACTTAAAAATAGCCCTCCTCGGACAAGGCGAAAGAGTAGCGATTACCTGTACTTTTTTTTTTTTTCTTTGGCTTTCTCTCGGAGTTCGATATCGCGACAATGGCGAAGATCCTCTGGGATCGTAATTGCGATTAAGCCGTATCTTATCCACTCGGTGATCGCGTTTAAGACCTCTAGAGTTTGTAATGGGCGAAAGGTCGAGCTATCGATCCTTGCACTACCGACAATAAGTTCCTAAATCCATCCCCTGACGTAAGCGGCAATCGCATTTAGTCCTGTCGGAGGAATCGATCCGAGCCTCTCGCCCTTCTTCCATTGTTTTATTTTTTTATTTTTTTCCCCTCGGAAACATTTTCCCTCTGCCTGTTTGAACGTAGCCCTTAAAGCTGCGCGCCAGTCAACCGGGGAAACTCATTAACGAGATATTTGAAACGTCGGTTATCCCGAAAGTAAATACCAATTACGTGGGAAATGTAATATCGTTATGGAAGCTGCCGCTCGCTGTCCGTCTCTCCGAGCTCTCCCTTAAATCCTCTTAAAGTGGACCTATCCGAATATTCCGGGATAATTCCCTCCACCTCTCTACCGGAGGGAACGATTTCCTGATCATTTTCCCGGAAGCTATTTCCGTAGGAAATTAAAATACGGAGCAAGAGTGACGACTAGTCGGGATGACAAGCATGCCGCATGTAATGCACATTAATCTTGAAATCTAAATCGGCCGTTTCCGGCGACCTAGATCCCGCTCGTCTTAAGTCGATCATTATTTCGATAATTTACCGGCCGCCCAGAAAGTTTCCACTTTGAGAGGTGGGCCAAAATTGCCTCCAAGTTCCTAGATGGGATCATGGATAAAAAAAAAAAAGTGAATTAAAACGGGATCCACAACTCGAGGGCAATTTTCCGAAAGTCGAGGAGAGCTCGCCTTTGCAAATTGTACGATTAAGCCGAAGAGCGTTTATTTTCCGGCAATTCATTCATGGCCATCGATTAATCGCGAATGTTAATAAGATCGTAGAGGAGAACCTTTTCAAGGGAAAAAAAAATTTTTTTTTTTCAGAATTTTTGGTCTTATCGCGAAGACAGAGAGGGGAGGAATTACAGGGAGGAACGTGTCGCGCACAGAGAGTACGTACAGAGAGTGACTGCATGCTTTGTGTATGCTCCATTCGCTGATCGTGCCCGACGTTAAATCCTTAAATTGATAGCAACTCGTACACAATGAAAGCCATTTACAATCGGCGGTTCTAACTCGAGTCGCTCTCTGTCGGTTATGAAATGGCCTCGGCGGATTCCTCGTCCCCGGGCGCGGTGCGAGCTCGCGATCACGGTTTACCGCATTGCGGAATCCGCAGCATCCGCAAGGGTCTTTTCCCGGGACCTGGCAGGACCGTTTCAAAATTCAACGCGCTCACTAGGTCCCTTGGTATCGTCATGCGACTGAACCGATACGCGTCGGATAGGTGATTCCACCTTTAAGTCGTTTTGTCGGATCGGTGCCGGTACGTGACCGAACCGATACGTGTCGGATCGGTGCCGGTACGAGCCGGTCCGTGTCGAATGTTTATGCCGTCCGTATATTTGCAGTGTACACCGCATCAGCCAAAGAATCGTTCGCCGCATGGGTGCCTGGGTTGACGATCGCTTCGAGGAGGCGGAGGAGGCCGTGAGAACCCGATTCTCCAGGAGGACCGGAAGAGTCCTTCGGGACGTCTGCGATGGTGGCGGTGCTCGCTTCCCGGTTACGTCGTCGCTGCTACCGCTTCGCCGTCAGTTCTCCAGGCAGCTTTACGAGTGGCCAGTTTTACCGTTGTTCAAATCAAGGACGAAACTAGTCGGTGAGACAGTAGCTCGGCCCAGGACCCTCGTTCTCTAAGTTCTTCCTTGCCTTTCCGTTCCTCGAGTGCGAGCGTCTCGGGAAAGTGCGGGAAAAAAAAAGGATATTCGCGAGACCCCTGCGCGAGGGCGCGCCTAGAAGAAGAAGGATGAGCGGTAGAAAAAGTGGAGAAGGACCCGGAGGATTCCAAGGATAGGAGTCCAGCGTGTCGTGAGGAGGCGTCGAGAAGGAAGGATTCGATCCCGGGGACCAAAATGGCCGATTGGGCCAAGTTCAACGGCGCGGAAGGACGGCCGATCTCGGAGAAGGCTTGCTCGGAGTCGGGGAAGTGGACCGACTTGGCGAGGTCCGGGATTAGCTCCGACTCCAGGGCAAAAAAGGACGAGGGGATGGACGGATTCTGGTATCCGGAGGACACGGGAGCGAGGAAGAGGTCTCGCGCGTCCCGCCTCGAAGAGGACCCCGAGGACGACTCGGAGAGGCAGGGAGAGTACCGGGCGAAGGTTGCGACAGGCATTTCGATAGCGGAAGAGGAGACGACGAGTCCAGGCTCGAGCCATAGGATCGAGGTTCCCGAGGAGGAGATGATCCTCGAGGTCGGGCAGGACTTCGAGATGTCCGGCTCCCAGATCCGGAGGGACGCCAGGCAGGAGCTGAAGGACTCCACGCAGGGGTCCCCGAGGAGACCCGCCAGCCTCTGCAGGGAGGACTCGCTGACTAGGCCGAAAAAGCTGAGGAGCGTCCTGCTGGAGGGGAACGGGCTGTACGACTCCTCGAGGATGAGGCCCATCAGCGAGAAGAGCACCGAGCAGCTGGTGAACGGCGGCAAGTCGCCCAGGGAGGACAAGCAGGTCCTGCACGTCCAGTTCAACAAGGACTCGAGGAAGAGGCAGCAGCCCTCCGAAGCGAAGCCCCATCCGAGTCCCTCGGCGTCCATAACGACCTCTTCGTCCAGCAGCTCCGAGGACAACTCCAGCTTGGGCCAGTTTGCGGAGGCCAGACCTCCGGATGGAGGATGGGGCTGGGTGGTCGTGGCAGCCTCTTTCATGGTGAATCTCATCGCCGACGGAATCACCTTCTCCTTCGGCGTGATCTACGTGGAGTTCCTTAACTACTTCGGCGAAGGCAAGTCCAAGACCGCCTGGATAGGCAGCCTCTTCATGGCCATGCCGCTGTTGTCGGGCCCTGTGGCCAGCTTCCTGACGGACAGGTACGGCTGCAGGAGGGTCTCCATAGCCGGCAGCATCCTCGCCACCACGGGGTTCCTCGTCAGCTCCTTCACCAACTCCATGGAGCTGCTGATATTCACCTTCGGGGTGATCGCGGGCTTCGGCCTCTCCCTCTGCTTCGTCGCGGCCATTGTTATAGTAGCGTATTATTTCGAGAAGAAGCGGTCCTTCGCCACAGGACTCTCTGTCTGCGGCAGCGGAATAGGAACTTTTATTTTCGCCCCCGTTACGCAGTACCTCCTGGCGGAGTATGGCTGGCGAGGGACTACCTTGATCCTGTCGGGTCTCTTCTTGAACCTTGCTGTCTGCGGCTGCTTGATGAGGGATCTGGAGTGGACCACCACCAGGGCCAAGGCCAAGACCGAGGAGCGCAGGAAGAACAGGGAGAAGAAGAGGTCCAGGATGCAGAGCTCGAGTGCCGATTCCTTTTCCGGAAGCAGCTCTGCCAACACCACCACGCAGACTCCTCGAGGGGATCCTAAAAGGACCTTCGCCTCGGCCAACGCGGTCATCATCGAAGGACTCCGCTCGCAGGACGAGGAGCAAGACGGGGAGAAGCTCTTCTCCAGCCTGGTCAGCTTGCCTACGTTCGTGAAAAATGGAGAGAAGGTCCCCCTCGAGGTCCTGGAGCTCCTGAGTACCAGGAAGAACGTCTACAACGTCCTGCTGCAGAACTATCCCAGTCTGCTGATCTCGTCCAGGAGCTTCAGCGACTCTGGCGCGCTCCACGATCAGCTTAGTATTCCCTCGGCCAGGTTCGAGCAATCGCCGAGTCCTCGGGCGGAGTCCGCGAGTGGGCAGGATGATTCCAAGGAGCGGAAGGAGCGGAAGAAGCAGGAGCAGAACGAGCAGGTCGAGCAGAACGAGCGGAACTCTCAGGTAACCTCGATCTTGAGCTAGTCGTCCCAAAAGGAGACGGGCATCCTTGGATTTTAGGGATTCGGGAGAATCATCTCCTACTTTTCCCGGCATCCCTCTAACCGTCCATCCTTTCAGCCGCAGGACTCAGCGTCCAGGCAACACACCGACGCGGCATACCTTTGGTGGCTGAAGAAGATCCAGCCGGAGTGCCCGTTGAGAAGGTCCAGCACGGTCGTGGAGCATCCTCGCAGGCTCCCCACCGCCTATCTGAAGGACATCCGAGTCCACCGGCACAGCCTCACCTACAGAGGCGCCATGCTCAACATCAACAGGTACCGGCTGAGGGCTTCCAGCTGCCCGGACATCTACAGGAATTCCATGACTACCATCGCCAAGACCAAGATGGTCTGGTACGCCGGGCTGTGGGAGTTCTGGGACCTCCTCGTCGACATGCTCGACTTCTCCCACTTCGCCGACTCCAGATTCATCCTCTTCTCCATCAGCAACTTCCTGCTGTACACCTGGTACGATGTGCCTTACGTCTACCTGACGGACAACGCCATCGAATCGGGGTTCAGCGAGACGGACGCCTCCTTCCTCATCTCCGTCATCGGGATCACCAACATGGGCGGCGAGGTATGCCGGGCATCTATGTGCGTCATTGGTTATTTACGTATCGATGGATTTATCCGGGGCGTTTCAGGTGATTCTAGGATGGGCCGGCGACAGAGCGTGGGTGAACGCCTCCCTCGTGTACGCGGTTTGCATGGCATTCTGCGGCGCGGTTACGGCGGTGATGCCCATGATGGTGACCAACTACTACGTCCTCTGTGCCATTTCCGGTGCCTTCGGCCTCTTCATTGCGGCGAACTACAGCCTGACCAGCATCATCCTGGTCGAGCTGATCACCCTGGAGAGATTCACAAATGCCTACGGATTGCTTCTGCTGGTCCAGGGACTCGCCAACCTCATGGGACCACCTCTGGCTGGTGGGTGTCGCCGGGATGGTCCTGGCTCTCCGCAAAACCGACGTTAATTATCGATTCCTGGGAAACCGAGCAAGATGCCGCAGCTATTCGTGCATCCCTACACCCTTGCATCCCTGCATCCTTGCGGCTCTGTCATTCTTGCTGACGTTGGCCTAGCCAAGGTCGCCGGGGCCAGGATCAATTAACGTTGCATCGAGAGGTGCTTTGTTCCTCCAGAATCTCAGCACTCTCGACCCTGCCTTATCGATTCCGGTCTAATAAGCCTCTAGAGATGATGCTGGAATCGCGTTAATTGCTTCCTAAAGGCCGGGGATAACGTTACGTCGAGGGGTAAAATCGCGACCCGTGATGGGGACTGATATTAAGATACTTTAGTATTTTTAAACCCTTTGCGGATGATGTATGATGTATGGTGGCGCAACATTGATGCTAGATCTCATCTTTGCTTCCAGGGTGGCTTTACGATATCACGGGGACCTACAACCTCTCGTTTTATCTGGCGGGTTTCTTCATCGCCCTCAGCGGCGCTCTGCTGATGGTGACGCCCTTGATGGAGTGTTACAAGAAATGGCGATCCGGCGGGGACGCTGCGCTGCCCGAAAAGAACTTTTCGGCGATGAATAACGTCTGAACGCCACGACGCGGCGGGATTCAACGAAGAATGGGGAGAATTAAGGATTTTATAAGGTCGCGCACCATGAAGGAATTTCAAGGGAGCGTTTACCTCCTGACAGGAATTGCAGATGCCTAGCTCCTCTTTTTCACGGTGGAATTTCATTTTCTGCCGATGATCGGGCCCCTGGCTTTTCGTTCTAGCTTGACACCGAAGGACGGAGTAGAGAACGTCCTTCAGCTTGAAGCTTGAAACGGTCCGCAAGAGAGATCTGCAAGGCATATCGTAGGAGCAATTTTGAGTTCCCCGGGGACTCCTTATATCGGGCTGCCGAGATCTTTCTCGGCGTCCATTTTGTAAAAAAAAAGCCTCTTCCTCGCCGCTAGACCTTTTTACTTCGTCGGGTCGACGCGGCGACTCTGTATATAACTCTGTACCGTACAATCGTATCGTAGGCTTTTAAGGGAACCACGAACCCACGCGCGGTGGCCATCTTGGAAGCCGCCGGCCGCGTGTCTCCACGCTAAGGGATTTGAGAGAGGGACAGAACTTTAGTATTAATTACTTAGTCGTTAGGGATTTATAGTTTAGAGACATGTACAAACTAGGAGGACAAGCTTCCGGTGGTCGCGGGCGTTTCGCTCGACGTCAATGGAAACCTGAAGACGCTTAAGGCGGCCATCTTGGCCGCCGCGAGGCGCTCGACCAACCGGAGCCGAAGAGTTTCCGAATCTCAGGAGATTAGCCGCTATCAATTGTGATCGCCGATTGTGTTAACGAATGCCAGAATTCCTAGTGCCGTCGATCTCGGCATGAAGTAGGTCTTAATCCCCGACCGAGACGGAACTTCATTTTTTCCTCGTTCGGAAATTCCCTTGCCTCTTAAACGACCCAGCGCGTCGCTCGCCTCTCGTTTCGAAAGACGCGTCACTTTTTGCCCGACGCTTTTAAGGGCGCCGATTTCTCTTAGGACCTTCCGTTAGTGTTACGGCTCTTCCGTGATGTCGGACATTGTGCGCTCTTCTCTATAGGAAGATGCTTTTTTATCGGCTTCTCCTTCATCGTATAGAAGGAAGCGACCTCTACATCGAGAAACGATGTATACGAGTCCGCCATGTTTTTCCACGGCGTCGCTCGAAGAACTCGGACGCCGATTGTGATTATTTAATCTCTAGGCTTCTATTTCCTAGCAAAATATCCCCGAATATCTTTAGTAGTGCTCTGGACAAGTGTTTTTCGAAACGTCGCTAGACATAGAGGTAGGGCGGCCGTCGAAAGGACGATTTTTCCAGAACTATGGTCGACTTTATCGCGCTTGGCACTTTCAAGCCTGTCTTTGGAATTGATTTTTTCTGCGGTTGTTTTTTCTTTTCCTGTCATCTAGCATGTGGATTAATTGTCGCGGAATTGTTCGGGAATTTCTTGCAATTTCGCTCGCTAGGATTCCGTGGCTATTTCGGGGCCCAATTCGAGGTGGAAAAACGCGACGCGCACTCGCGGCCTTAACGGCGCTCAATCGAGAGGTGTAAAGCAATATTTTATTACGGTAATTAAAGAGACCATGGCGCACTTCGGCCGCAGTCGTTACGAAATTAAGTTTCTCGACTCCCCTTGGCCAAAGGGCCGTGTTCCTTAGTATTAAGTCGCGACGAAGGTTTAGACGATGTTACCTACTCTGTACATATTGAAATATCCGAAAGGGATTGCTTTGAAATATTTACGGATTGTCGCGCAATCTCCGCGACTTCGAGTCTCGTTGTTTAAGGACGAAGATGGATTTTCGACTTTTCGAAGGAAAAAAACAAAAAAATGTATATCCTATATACTCAGAGAACTCTTTTCTACGCCCCTTGAAGTGTCGTTAGGTCTAGTGATCGACGATAGTCTTTATTCTCTCAGCGTATTATTAACGAACACCGGTTTTGAGCTCCGGAGGCGCTGCGATCGTATCTCGCGGTCAGGACTCAAATTTTGAAAGCGACCTCGGCCTTTAACGGCCAAGCGAGCGTTGTAAATATTAATAAGAGCGTAAACAGAGACTTGCATGCCCGCAGTGCCTGCGAATTCGCGTAGAGATTTGTAAAAAAGAAAGGGAAAAGAGGGAGGAGAGTCGGGAGAACGGCTTGTATCGAGGAAGAGGCGCCCTCCATTCAAAATGGAGGGCGCTTGGTCGCCTCGAGATTTCATAGTCAAATTTAGAATCGGATTTTTCGACTTCTACACCCAGCCACACCTACACCGACACTCGAACACGGCACGTGTATGCACACACACGCGAAACAATCGTATTTAAAGTAAAATAAAGACGATGCTGTAATTTAATTCCACATCGAGTGCCTCTTGTTCGTAGTTACGCTCCCTCGGGCATAATCCTAGACAGCTCCCTAAAGACAATAGAAACTACGTAAACCAGGTCACACCACTCATAATGGGGCCGTAAATCAGTTCAGGCTCTAAAACGCAATTCCTTCTTCGCGCGGTTCCCCGGATTCCTAGGAGGGAGTTCGCCATAACTCCGCGGGATGGCACTGGCGGGCGCGATAATGGCAGCGCGCGGCCAGACCGCTCGATAAACCCGAAGCGGAGGCACCGTCGTAATCGATTCCTCGTGTCGAAACCGTCGGTTTCTCTCGCTCCCTCGTGGTCTTCGCGACGCACTTTACGGGGCACCGAAAATCCGCTTCGCGGGCGCGGTTCGAGGCTTCGAAGTAGCGAGGTGAGGCGCGTCCTCTTGTAGGACCTCGGCAGGCGGTTAAAGCGGCAGGTCTTATCGCTCTATCATTCGGCCTCCCTTTGGGCCGCAATAAATCAAGCCTCCGTTCCCGGCTAATGCGCAAGACCACGGGACGCGACGGCATGCGCCGGGGGTCAGGTGGTTGCTCGTCCTTCGTGGACTCAGTGTACTCCAGGTACTCCTCGACGACTCGTCGCGACTTCCAGCGCTGCGCGCCCGGGTTTACACCCTTCGGTAGAGCGGAAACTCGCGCGATACCGCCGCCCGCCGCCATCTTGCCGGTCCAGGAGGATCCAGGAAGTCCCGAGGACTCGTCGAGGCCTATCGAACCGCGCTCCCCCGGATCGACGACCCCTCCAGGGGAATATATCCGACTCTTCGGGGAGGTTCTCTCAACTTCCGGTACCACCTGCCCCAACTTCTGGCAGATTTTTGAGACGCTTCGCAGACTCTCCGGCGCCGATTCTGGGGAGGGTTCCTCCGAGATTATTTATCCAACAAAGATCGACCTAAGGACCTCGGCTAAACCCATCGCGGTGAGTCGAGATTTTTCGCGGCCCTTTGGTCCAGTATTCTGTCTTTTTTTTTTTCTTTTCTTTTCTTCTTCTTCAGACCTAACGCACGCTGGCTCGTGGATGCCGCTTAATTTAGCTCCGTTTTTTCTTCTTCTTTTAGTTCGCTTTCTTCTCGATTCTTCTTTCTTTTGGTAGCTGGCTCGCTCCCTTAAGGCTCCCCCTCTCGGAGCACTGAACGCCATGGCGAGGTGAATATCTTTTTCTCGAGATTTTATTTTATCCAACGGACTCTTGGACGGACGCGGCTGGTTTTATTCAATATGTTTTGGATATATTAGTTTTGAGAATCGTTGTTGCATGCCTCGTTGACGGAAATTCTGGATTCTCTTGGTTTTCACCTCTAGACGGTACGGAATTATGTCGGGTACACGCCAGGCCGAGAAATCACGCAGCCTGGTTTAGTCATCTCCGAATCAAGTTCAACGTTGTAATTCTTTTTTATTTATGAGCCACACATGTCGGCCGACCGTCTCTCTCGGTGTCTACCAACAAGATAAGGGACACCGTCGATCCGACTCCTCCGATTCCCCGGTAAATAGCGCGAGACGGTTTCAAGGCCTCCGGAAAAATTACCAAAACCTTTGGGGACCTTCTTAGACGAGGCGAGCAAGATTTTCGAGACCTAGCCGGTCGCTATCGGAATTTACTTCGGCGATAATTAATATGATTCACTTAATGGTTCTAGGACCTTATCCGAGATACGCGCGCGATACGCCGAAACGCTGGCTCGAGTCTCGAATATTTTATTAATCGTTTCCTAACTTTTCGGCAGACGTTTTGCGATTTATCTCCCGCAAACAAAATCTGTGCAAATAGATCGGCCTTTTTTTTCTTCCTCTTTTTTGTCGGCGCGAGCGATCTTGGCTCGCGACTCGAGGCCGACTAATTCGAGAGGCTCCTCCGTGGAATTACTAAAAATACTGGGAGTATGTCGACGGTCCCCCTAGATGTAGGCTAGACGCAGGTGCGACGTCAACGGACACGTGTAAATCGGCATTGACAACTTTTCTCTTCCTTCGGTGAATTTAATTACCGGCCGGGTGTCACCTGCGACTCGGCCCCGTTATCGCGACATGGCCATTTTTATTGCCGAAAACGACGAGAGACGTCCAGACTTTTTTTTTTTAAATCAAGTACACGTTTCTTCTCAACGGGTGCATCCGGGTTAACGACTTACGAGATTATGTCAGGATTATTTCTGCCTGTTTTACCCTTGGCGCAGCCGCAATCGATCTGTCGGTAGCCATAGAAACCCCCTTTTCGGGCAACCCCCCTTCAAGCGTGCTTTCCCCTCTTTCCTCGGTTTCCACGATTTCCTCCAATTGATTTACCTAAATAGAAATATTTCCCGATCTTTCTCAATCTGGTTTAGGAGTTAACCTCTCTTTCGACCGATCCGATTCGTATGCCCCTCTATTTTTTTTTCCGGTTTCCACGATTTTCCGAAATTAATTTATGTCACGTCAGATATCCCCACGATTTTATCCTGCCCCCTTTTTTAATGGTAACTTCAAATATTCCCGCAATTTATCCTGCCTTGTAAATGACTGCCAGGATTTCAAGGGTCACTCCGGGAAACCTTGGCCTGCCACTCTTTGTCTTCATCAATCTCACCGACTCCTCTTAAAAAACAGGGTCAAGCAAGTTCGCGTGCCTAAGTAGAGCGATAGGGGTCGGGGTTAAGTTTAGGGTTGCTTTGCGTGTCGCTTTCAATGTCCTACGTCGAACTTCCTGGCCACGATTTTTTTTTTCTTTTTTGTTCCCCTCTTTAATCGACGATTCGTGACCCAGGTGGCACGCCGGAACTCGGTAGTGCAATTAATCCGGCGCGTATCCGGCATAACGTCTCAAATCCAGTTTACGATAAGCGCCGTGCATGTATGGAGTTCAACGGACTTGTACGCTCTTTGTCGCGGCAACGTGTACTTGCGCACTTAGGCCCGGTTAGCCGTGTAATTGAACACGTGGGTACGAAGACGACGATGTCACTTAACGTGGCTTAAAACAACATCCGAAATTAAAGTGCTCTCGTCCTGCTCGCGATTCGCCCGAAAATATGAAATAAAAGGCCTATTAGGTCGGTTTCCTGAAATACGGAAAAGAAATTATTCATCAAAATTATCGACGAACCACAACTCGAGTGATTTTTGGCAGACTCGTTAATGAAGTCACCTGTGATTTGGAATACGAAAAAGAAAAGAAATTATTTATCAAACTACACCTCAAGCGACTCTTGACCGACTTGTGAATGGAATCGCTACCACTTGCGACTTTATTAAGGAGAATTTACGTCGCGGCTTTTAAAATTGGACCCGACGGCTATTTTCGGAGTGGCGGGGAAATTTCGCAATTCCGGACGAGGTGGGTTTCACAAAATTTGGCCGAGACCGAGGTTGAGATGGATTTAGGTCAGTGGTTCATCGATTTCAGACGCGAAACAAGGCGGTCGAGCGCTGCATGGATTCCATTAACCGAGGATTCTCCACAGGGTAAGGCAGGAAATCGGAGTGAAAGCTCTTTAAACCGAGCTTTCTGACATTTCTGTTGACCTTGACACCTGACGTCAAATGGTATTCGAGGAGGGGACGGAGTAGTTATTTCGTAATTTTTTTTTCCTAATTTTTTTAATTAAGGTTTGGGAATCGGAGCGCCGAGAATTTGAGAATCCAGGAGGGGCGTATCCACGTGTATCGCCGAGAGACTTTTTTCGGGCTGATAAAAAATATCCGATGGCAATTAACCGGGATTATGCCGTCGAGATAGTGGAAGGAAGATTTTGGAAAATGGCCCCGACGGTTGCGACGTCGTGACGCACTTCATCGCGACGGCGACAAACAGCCTCTCGGACGTCAGACCTTTCAAGCTTTTTATGGTCCTTCGGACGTTAGATACTAGGTTTGCGCAAGCCCTCGACCAGGTCGATATTTCAATTAATCGATACCTATTTGCGATGCAATCGAATTATAAGCCGATCGGTTTCTCGGCCCCGAGGGTGTTCAGAATTTCCAGAGACTCTTTCGAACTCGAACCGCATCCGTCTAAAGGACATGATATGGAATGATAATTAACGTTTAACAATTATTTACACTAATTGCGTGCCGTTTTTCAGGTACCATTATGTATGTTTCTTTGCACAATTAATTCGGCCTCCGGAAAATGTTTATTTTTCAGGAAAGCATTAACGCTTCACTTTCAGGCAACCTCGTCGGCACTCGCAGGGTGACCTAGTTGAGGTGCTTATTTTAATTACTGCCGCGTTAATGGCGCCGGATAAAATGGATCCGGAAGCTAGGGGCACCGTGTGGCATGCCGAGCATGACGCATCCTTCCTCTGCATTAGATGCACCCGTTGTAATTAATGTTAGAAATAATTAGCCCGCTCACACCCAGTAGCGATAGCACCTTTCCGTACCAAAACACGCATGAGCACTACCACTTACCTAACATTGCCTCGATGGTGAGTACCGAATCTTCATTTGTACCTATTAATATCGTCTCCGGCAAAATCACTAACGCAGAGAATTTGTAATAACCCTTAACGTTTAACCATTTATTAAAAATAATTCCTTGCGTTAGTGATAGCTTTCTTTCATAAATGGAAGCCTGGTCTCGAAGACTCCCACGAGAGTATCGAATTGACTCGAATCGAATGTAAGGGAAACCTTATACCTTAACGAGGCTTATTACCGCTTACGTTTATCTCCCTAAATGGAAGGCTTCCCCATGTCGTGAATATTTGACGCCGATTTGACGCAAATCAATGTCTCCAGGTCGAGGTCAGCGAAGAAGCGTGCATGCTGAGGCGACCGGGAGCACCTGAGAGCTCGAAGACCCATCCGGAGGTCCTTATGGTAGGAGAAGGGAGTGCGGTGGCCTCGAAGCAGGAGATCTACGGTCTGAAGGGCTGGCCCCGACGTTGGTCCCACTCGAAGAATCCCTACATTTAGAGAAAATGGACGACAGGAATCGGAACTTCCTGCGCGAGACCAGCCGAACTAGCAATGCGGAATCGCCGAGGCCACCGACATCCTTGAAGACCGCCATAAACCACAACCACAACCACAACAACAACATCGACGCGACGAGTCCTACAAGAAAAGAGGGCCTTTACGCGAAAAAGGGCAGCGGTCCATATTCCAGGACCTCGAGTCAATCGAGAGATTCCCACGTAAAAAGGGAGGAATACCCGAAAGGACCCGATTCAAAGGACACGAGGGAGTCCAGGAAAGGACTGGCTCCGATAGTCGGGTGGCACAATGGCAGCCCCACCGTGTTCCCCAGTTCACCGAAGAGCCAAGAGGGTCTCACCTCCGAGGATCCCAGCTACCCCACGTCCAAGGACTCGGGGAACACCGAGGACCTCAGCAGCCTGGCGAACGAACGACTCTTCGCCTCGACCCCAGCCCTGACCACCGATCGCAGCTTCGAGTCCTTATCCCCCGACAAGGAGACTTTCCTCAGCTCTGCCTCCCCTGAGATGGGCCCCGACAAGGACTTCGACCTGACGGACGATCTGGACACCAGGACGAACCCGTTCACTCCCGGGACGGATTGCACGGTGGACGATTCCCCGACCTCCCCAGTACCGGAAAAGAGCCCCGAAGAGGCCTATCAGTCTCGGAAGGAGTCCCAGGATCCCGACCAACTACCAGGAGTCTTGGTGTACCGGAAGGGCTCCGACCCCAAACCAGGGATCATCAGCAATCCCGGGTTCCAGAACAAGGATAGACCCTGGAGGGACTCCATAGACGGGTCGGAGAGCATCCTGGAGATTTACGACGGGGAGGACGGCGAAGGTCATGGCGACAAACCCGGCCAGAAGCCGAAAATCCCTGACGGTGGTTGGGGCTGGGTCGTGGTGATGGCCTCGCTGGTTATCTCCATGATCGCCGATGGGGTGTCCTTCAGCTTTGGCCTCTTGTATATCGAGTTCCTCCAGGAGTTCGGCGCCTCCAAGTCCAAGACCGCCTGGATCGGGTCCCTCTTTATGGCGGTTCCGTTGTTATCGGGCCCCGTCATGTCCGCCCTGGTGGACAGGTATGGGTGTCGCAACATGACCATCGCCGGGGGCCTCATCTCCGGCCTGGGATTCGTTCTCAGCTCCTTCTCCAACACCATCGAGGTAATGTACTTAACCTTCGGTGTCATCGCGGGTCTTGGTCTGGGCTTGTGCTATGTCACTGCGGTGGTGAGCATCGCGTACTGGTTCGACAAGAAGCGGACCCTAGCTGTAGGTTTAGGGGCCTGCGGAACAGGGATCGGGACCTTCGTCTACGCACCTATGACCACCTTCTTCATCGAGGAATATGGCTGGAGGGGCACTTGCCTCTTGCTGGCCGGCACCTTCTTCAACATGATCGTCTGCGGGGTCGTCATGAGAGATCCCGAATGGTGGATCCTGGAGCAGCAGAAGCAGAGTCCTGCCTCTCCTAAGAGGTCCTCGGCAAGGTCCGAAGGTGGGAGGTCGGCTGCCAGTCCTGTCGAGGACTTTCCTGGAGTGGAGGAGCTGAGGAGGTTACTGAAGAGTGGCAAGGCTCCCGAATATCTCCTTCAGAGTCTTAGGACCAGCACCGAGGCCAGGACAAATAATCAAGGCGGGACCTCCTTCAGGAGCGTCGTCAACTTGCCGACCTTTGTCAGACAGAGTGAGAAGGTAATGGTGGTTATTCTTATTTCTATTTTTTTTTATCGTTGCAAAGGACGAGGTTTTCAGAGACTCCTGTACCGATTGTGCTTCGCCTTATCTCAGGTTCCTCTGGAGGTTTTGGAGTCCTTATCGGCCAATTCCAGGCTCTATCACGTTATCCTCGAGAACTATCCCAGCCTTCTCCTGTGTCGAAGTTCGTCCGACAAGAAATTGGAGGACTCGGTCGGTGGAGAGGTCTGCAACAAGAGTGGAGTCACCATGTCTATGAGGTTACACGGCTGGTCTGATATCTGCATCTTGCATCCCTTTTATATATTTAATTTAATTTAAGTTAAATTAATTTACACGTTAATTTAGTTTTAGTTTATTTCTATTTCATTTATATCCTTTTTTTATCCACGCTACTAATAACAGACGCAAGCATGGTTCGATTCCTAGCATCCTGGGGTGGTTTGTATCCGCATGGTGGTTCATTATTTTTAATTTACTCTTTGTTAAGTTATAACCTGCACTTTAGTAGGTATTGTCTTGTGTTATCGAGGAATCGAATTATTTTTAAAACTTGGCGCTGAAACTTTTAGGATCAAGCAGGCTACGGAGAAAGCCAAGGCCATTTCATCTCAAGCCAAGGACTCCCATCCAGGATCCATGAACGCGTCCAGTAAAATTTTGGCCAATAGGAGGATGTCGAGGAAGGATCTGGAAGAGGTCAACCCTTTACTCGCCAAAGAAGTCGCGCAAGCTGTGAGTTATCTTCTCAGGTGAAGGAAGACGTTGCTGGAGATAAACGAGACTACTCTTCAAGGTGGCGGATGCCGAGAGGGCCAAATCCCAATCCAGGCACCACCTTCCAGGATTCGGAGGCGGCGTCGTAAGGACGGACTCTCTTCCCTGGTTAAGGAGACAATTCAACACGAACACGCACTACTTCAAGGACATCCGAGTCCACAGGAACTCCGTGATGTATCGAGGGGCCGTTCTGAACCTCCACAAATATCGTCTGCGAGCCAGCAGCTGTCCCGACATCTACAGGAACAGCATGACGACCCTGGCGAAGGAGAACGAAGAGGTACGTCCGAGTTATCTCTCCTTTCTTCCTTCACTATCCCCATTTCCCACCTGTAGAAGTGGTACAGCGAGCTGCTGGAGCTGCTGAAGGGCATGATGGACTTCTCCATGTTCCTGGAGCTCCACTTCTTGCTGCTCTCCATGTCGACCATCTTGCTGTTCACCTGGTTCATCGTACCCTACTTCTACCTTGCCGAGCACCTCACCAGGAACGGATACACCGAGTCCGACGCCGCCAACCTCCTCAGCATCATCGGCATCACCAACACTATAGGCATGGTGAGAACGATCTCTGGTTCCCGAAGACCGTCTTCGGGGGTCTTTTCAAGGTGAACCACGTCCCGATTCGTCCTTTTTCTAGATCGGTCTCGGCTGGGCCGGAGACCAGCCCTGGATGAACGTGACGAAGACGTACACCGGATGTCTTTTGGCCTGCGGAGTGGCGACCATCTTGATGTCCGTATTTACAAGTTCCTACGTCCTCCTCATGATCACGTCCGCCGCGTTTGGGCTCTTCTTCGCCAGCAACTTCAGCTTCACTCCTGTCATCCTTGTCCAGCTCATCCCTCTAGAGAGGTTCACCACGGCCTACGGTCTGAGTCTGCTCTGTCAGGGGATTGGAAATTTATTGGGACCTCCCCTGGCAGGGTGGTTCTTCGACGTCACCGGAACCTGGGACCTGTCGTTCCTCATGGCTGGGGGATGGATCATCTTTGCGGGGTTCCTCATCGGATTCGTCCCCTTCACGAAGAACCGGAAGATCTGGGGCAGCGGGCCCGTTGAGATGGAACGGGATAGGGAAGCCGAGGCTTAGGATGCTCTTGATACGTGAGGAGTTCGAATTAACTTGACCTACCCCCGGTTCCTCAGGGTCTGAAATGTATAACCGAACGCCATGTATCCACGAATCCACAAATCCACTATCGGAACATCCTAAAAAACGCGACTCTCTTGCATTGTTAAGCGAGAGGATGAATCGGCCATTTTGTTTTTTATTCTGAATTGGATTAACATTTTCGTTAATTCTGAAGAATCTCACGCGTTGACCGAGATGTCCATAATTTAGGAATCTCAATGTCGCATCCTAGTTTATTAATCCGGTACCTGGTCTCCGGATTCTCTTTTTTTTTTTTTCATTACATTGTTAGCAAGTACTGTTGTTAATCAGCGGTAATCGCTGTTCAACGAATCGAGAGGGAAAGTGTAGTAGTTAGATATTAGTGGTAATCCAGAACGTTTCGGTGGTGCTCGTTAGTAAATCAAATGGAATTGCCGATAGATAAGGTGTTGATAGTTTAACAATGCAATTTCCACGCCGTGACTTAAACACAGACCGTGTCGTTTTTAGATAATTGCGAGGCATTGTAATTTATCCGCACGTCCTTCGAGACGGCGGAAATAGTCATTCGACAACGGATGTTCAATTGCGTCTTTAGTTCCGTTATTATCATCTACCTCTTTTTATATTAATCAAATACCTTAGATATATGACGTAATATTTATGTACAAAGGACTGCTGAGGGGGCAATGAGGACGGTTTAACTTCGGGTGGAATCCCACCTAATTAACGCGATTAAACAGTAATTAACGACTGAATTGCATCCACCCTCCGTTTGTGCACCATTTTGACGAATGACATTATGCCCGGTGTTTCCATTGTTGAACACGTTTCTTGAGCCTTTCTTGTTTCTTATCACTGGATCATTTTTACAAGAGGAAGCACCGGTCTTTAATGAAGCTGTAAAGTATTCTTCGATTGTATCGATCGACGTTGAAATTAGACATCTTAATGATGTTGACAATTATTTTACAATACGACAAAGGAACGGAATAGCTATTGGCGCGAGATGTTAATTAAAAGAGATATATAAATGTATATATACATATATACTAATTGATTTTGTTAACGAGTCAAATGTATTAGACATTGCGGTTCCGAAAATGTTGCATTTCTGGAAAATCTTGTTATTCACTTGAAAATTCCGATTGGACAATTATAGTAAGGCTAGTTCTATAAAACAAAGTGCACTGAAATGTCCAGCTCGATACCGCCTTTTTTCGGATTTTGATATCCTGATTTTCGAAGAAGTCCCTCGGTAGAATAATTATTATTGTTAAGAACTTTTGACACTGCAGCCTGTCGGTGGGGCGAAAGTGTCTTTCTCTGTTTTTTTTTTTTTTTAATCTACAACCGAACTTGCCTTAACGATCCGAAGCGCTTTGCAGCGAAGTTATAATGTAACTGTATATAAGGGAAAAAGTATTTAACAAATGTTTGTACGCATTTATAGAAACGATACACCTTATTCATCTCGTCGCAGAAGTTCATCTCTTAGAGATCTCTAATGTACGTTTTGGTCGTCAATCTGTAATGCACGTATATTCACCATGTTCTCCAAATTTGCCCGATGCGTCACATGTTCAATTAACAAAGTTTATCCCAACACTTCTCTGTATACAGTTAAATAAATTAAAATACGTTTGAAATTTCAAAATGTCTTGGATTTTCTGGTGACGGAGGAAGCGTGAGTTGTATTTATAGAAACATTTATTTAAAATACTTATTCCACCTCTGGCGATTTGTAACAGGATCATAGGATAACCGAGGAGGTGGCACGGAGTTTCTCCCGAGCAAGAATTTTAGGGGTTGAAATTTCCGATTTCTAACAGGAACATAGGACAATCGAGGAGGTGGCACGGTGTTTCTCCCGAGCAAAAATTTTAGGGGTTGAAATTTCCGACTTCTAACAGGAACATAGGATAACCGAGGAGGTGGCACGGAGTTTTCCGCGGGCAACAATTTTAGGGGTCGAAATTTCCCACTTGTAACAGGATAATAGGACAACCGCGGAGGTGGCACCGAGTTTCGTACTCGTTTAATTAAACGTACTCATTGTTATCGTTCAATAAGTTGCTTTATTACATTAATTATTTTACAGTTTATTATACCTCAGGTACCGCAAGTACATACATTTTTGAGCACGTTTAAAAGAATATTAACAAATTGTCCAGTCTTGTCGTCGGCTCCTTCTCTCGTTTCTTCTGGTTGAGACCTCGTAGAGTATCCGGCCATCACCCGGTTACTCGATGTAAAATCCAAGGATGACCGCTGGTGTACTACCGCGTCGATTGTTACCGTAAAAAAAGGTGCATCGATCAGGACGCATCCGATCCTTATTATCGAGTTGCAAAATTTATGACAGTGATAAGGGTCCTGGTAAGGATTAAAGTCCTGGCGAGATGGCGGGACTGGTTTCATCCGGGCTGGGACTTCTGCTGAGACTTCTGGGGACTCCAACAATCTGAGCCATGTGTTGCAGGACCTTCGGGAACATCCTCGTGATAACGGCGTGATGACTTAACATAACGTCCACCATAATCCCGAGACGAATTTCCTTTCCATGCCTGTGCAAGGTGAGCGACATGCCTGGAAGGGCCGATTAAAAAATAATCAAGCATATTAAAAAATCCCCTTTTCACATTTTCAGGATCTTGCGCAGAAAAAGAAAAGAAAGAAAAGACTCACTGGAATTTCCTTGGAAAGGTCTCCAATAAATGGCATCGTCCACACCCTCCACCGGCGAATCGCCATCCACGTGGGTCAGTAATAAGGAATACCTGCTGGTCAGATAATTAAGGACGAGCTTGATAAGCAAGGATGGCAAGCAGGAGGACAGGAGTCTGCGAGAGGACTCCGAGGCTGTGATGGCATAAATCGCGCTCTGCTTGGACCTGGCTTCTTGGATATTTCTCTGGATCACCTGAAAAAAAGGATCCACTCGTGGCAACAAAAAAACGCCACGAAAAATTCGGTCGACCCTCACCTGAAGGATCTCAATGAGGTCGTCGTCGAAAAGCGGGGTCCTGGTGGGCAGAGCGACGCACAGTAGTCCTCTGGCTTCGTGATTCTTGACATAAAGTGCCCTCTGGCTGACAAACTTGGCCGTGGCCAGGATATCCTGCGGAGGTTGGAGTCCTCTGTGTCGGTAATACTCTTTCAAGGACCCGACAACCGCGGCGAGAAGGACGTCCGCTTCGGATGCCGCTGTGACGTTAGAAATCATCCTGACGACCTCGACATCGACCTTCTCCGACCAAGATACGATTTTCCTGCCGCAGGGGGTGATGGTTCTCAGGTTGCTATTCCTGGAGTGGCTGAAGACGAGCTCGCCCAGGATGGCCGCGGGCGCCTTGACGACGATCCCGACGATGGAGAGGACCTCCATCGTGGCTTGGAAGATGAGAGGAAGGTAACAGGCGAGGACCGAGGTCAAGGTCTCGGGGTAATGGTGCTTCTGGGCCGAGCCGAGAGCCTTGATCTCCCGCAGGATCAGGATGGGCGTCTTCAGGGTCAGGGTCACCGCGAGGTACCAGAGCCAGCGCAACGCACAGTGGAACACCTCCAGGGGGTTCAAGGCTCGCAGGGCCGCCCAGAGGATGACCTCGACGTCGAAGTTGCGTCTCCGGGCCTCGCGCTGGACCACCGAGTACCAGAAGACCGGCCAGAAGCCCTCCACCCTGCCGGAGGTCTTCGTGATCTCTCTTAGGCTCGCCAAAAGCACTATCGTGCCGATCTTCAGACACTGGAAGAGGCCGATCGGCTTCTTCAGGATCTCCGGCCGCTCGGTCGGGTCGTTGTTGCAGAGGAACTCGTTCCAGTTGTTGCTGAAGCTCTCGGTGAGCTTCTGGTGCAGGTGCGGCAGGGCCGAGGGTGCCGAATAGAGGTTGCAGAAGGGGGATTCGCTCGCCTGGCAGGCCCAGGGCTCCGAGGTGGACTTCAGGGGCAGGAAGTCCCCCAGGGTTAGCTGCTCCTGCCGCAGGAGAACGTGGTGCGCCCGTACCAGGCACACTTGACTCTCCACTCCGTTCTGCAGGCAGGTTATCAGGTGCACCTGCCAGGGTGAGTGGTTTGGAGAAAGGAACTTGGACGTTATGTCGCTCACGAGGTCCTGGAAGAAGAAGTAAAAAAAATTAGCTATCTATTTTACCCTGAAGAAAATTCATCGATTATGGAGGTCGGTTTAGAATCCCATGAAGAGGGAGATAAGAGTGATTCGATCACCTGAATGTTCAATTCCGTGACAGGTCGGCCTCGGTAGGTGCACGGCGAATTTATCAGGTGATTGTCCACCGAGAACTCTTCGAGGCTCTCCCAGGTGTAGAGGCCCCATTTCGTGTTCAGGGCACATCGCAGGAACGGCTTCGTCGAGGTCAGGTGCAACAGGTGTCCTCGAATACCCTCGCCGAGGGACCTTCCTCGAAGCAGCAGCGTGTAGACGGCCTAGGGACGTACATCCTTTATTTCCAAGGGTACCATTAAAAAATCGCCTCTTAACCGAGGAGCTAAGCTCTTGGGTAATAAAGTGCTCTTCTTATTATTAATTTTAATTTCATCATCGACTCACCTGGTTTCTCCCCTGGTCCAGGATAGTCCTGATGCTGTTCTCTCTCACGACTGTCCGATTTGGGTACTTCGACTCCACCAGGCGGATCCAACATTTCCGCGACCATTTCACCACTGCAATTGAAAATCCGCGAAAAATGAAGGAAAGCGGTGTTTGCAGTTCTTTTCTTTAGGATTCTTGACTTTCAAGGGAATCGGTTTAATTAGTTCATTAACTTCAGTGGGTAAATTAGTGGCCGTTTCCGTAAGAGCGGCCAATGGCACGCCCGGGTATATCGGAAGTGACTAATCGCCGGGGAGAGACACTTGTCGCGCATTCCGCGCAGGGTCGTGCCTTATCGCGACATGACACATTTATTGACACGTCATTATGCCAACTTAGTAAACTTAGTAGAGCAACGGTACAGCGAGTGTACTCATCGAAAGGCAGCGCCTCTCGGTCGGTTTGTAATCGCAGGTCGTCGAGGGCCATTCATTGAGTCACACGTCTCGCGGTCGTGTATACAAAGAGTACAATAACGTGCCCCGATAGCGCGATAACTCGTTAATTTGGGGCCCGATAACGCGGAGCATTTCAATTTTTAATTTGATTCGAATATTCGGCGCGAGATTGCGAAACATCTCATCAGCCGGCGACATAACAAACAGATCCGACGTGTCGAGTACTGATCGACCCCGCTCTATATAATTCACTAGGTCCTTCCTCGTGCTCGTTTAACTTATTCAGGATGTCTTTCGGGTCTGAATCGGGATGACGGTGATGAGAAAAAGAAAAAAATAAAAAATAAGAAAAATGTCGATAATATTTTCAGGCTAATTTACCGGGATAACTGACGAGCAGAGCGGGCACGAGGAAGGCGGCGACGACCAGGGTGAATCCGGCGTTGAAGACGTACGACAGCCCGGGGATGTCCATGTCGAGGACCTCTCCTCGGACAAGAATCCTTGACCTGGATACCCTGGGTACTCTTTTTTCCGACCGACTACTGCGAAATTACGCGAAAATCCAGGACTCGACGACCGGGGACGATATAAGTACCACAGAACCAGAGTTACTGGCGAGCTACTTCACCGAGATACACCGAGTTCCGGACCCGACCTACGACCCCGGCCAGAGAGTAGAGAAATCCGAGGAGATATCGAGAATATCCTCTCCTCCTTCCCTCCGTTATCGCGACGAACGATTACGAATCGGTCGGTCGCGATCCGGACGGCCGAAACTCGCGGACTAATTATAGGATTCGCGATTTCGTTATTCGGCCTTTGCTCGGACCTCGTTGCATCCAGACTTGGGATCCGCTAATTATTCCCCTTTATTCCCCTTTTTTCCCCCGACTCCGATTTCTCCCCGACCATTCGAGACGTCACGTGCGACTCCACGAATAATCGGAGGGCCCGAGAAATTTCTTTATTTTTATTCATTCCATTAATCGCACGCACGAGTAGCAAAAGTAACTGAATACAGCTTTGTCCTTTATTTATGAAAATCTTCGAGTATTCGAAAATCGTTTAAGAGTACCGTACAAGCGAGGAATGTCTCTCTATTTTCAGGAACTTAAAAGCATTCCACCTATACCCTGCCTTTATCGGGTTAAATCACAAAAGAAAGACGCGGAGTTCGATGAAATAATCGAAACCGATAGATCTAGGAATGTACTCTAAGTAATAATAAAGTACTACAATTATTCGGCGAAGTCATAGAAAAATAAAGCAAACTCTTCATCGTGTATGTGCATCACGAGCATGTGCTTTGTACTGTAAAACAGAGTCGGGTCTATAATTGCCAGATTCGTAGATTAAAAATCGTTGGAAATTAATCGAACACATTTATCTCGTTGAGTATCACTTAATAGCTATCGGTGGAATATAAAAATGAGAATTGGGCATTTCCAACGAATCTGGCAATTATACTCGCGTTACAACTTTAAATGGCAGTATCGCGATACTCTTTCACGCGCGAGATGAGTAAGAAAGAAAAAGTACACCAAGTACCCCGCGATCGCGTCGAAATTAACAACTTTCGATAAATATTATAAATATTTCACGGACCATCGAGATCTGTATCAGCACGTCACATCAAAGTACTCGAGAACGAGCGGTCTGTTACACGTTCGTTGTTACTTTTTTTTTTTTTTTTCAACACTTGGGAATTAACGAGTTAATGAATTAATGAACCGTCACTCGCAATGTGCGCACAATATTTCTCTCACTCTCAATCTTTACACATTGACAAATATCCTTATCGATCATAGCGGCTCAACAATTATTGTCCGGGACTACATCTTCAAGTTCTGACTAAGTACATTCCTCGGGACACAGAGACAATAATTTGTTACATTATCCTCTCTTATCGGACGAGAACGACTTTCAAGATATCAAGAATTCTCGCCAATGCTTTATCGGACTTTAGGCTAACAAAGTCGAACGGTACGACTTGATATTCTATGGGCACGTATCCTTGATTATCATTCAGAAATCCTGAGTTCCGGTGAACTTAGCGTTATACATTTAATATACATATACTATACTTTTGTTAAATTCGGTATAAAGCGAAGGTCGGTGATTCGAAAATATCTCTTCTCTGGAGTTACTTAGTCCTCGGCATGTCTATCCAACAGGGAACGCGAACGATGTCGAGTTAAGAGTTCTTTTGGAATTTTTGGGGGACAATCTCCCTTTAGAAAATCTCCCCGCAGTTTTCGTAGACTTTTGGACAATGCTTTTGGGCCACCAGAGCGTATGGGGCGTTGCTGCCCACGCGGATGGTCTCGGACTTGCTCAATTTGTTCCACACGTGGATCGCCATTGCGCCGTTAAGGGCTTTCATCGTCTCGTTGACGTTCACGGTGTCGAAGTACTTTTTCCACTTTCTGAAGTGTATCGGGTAGAAGGCCGAGGGCGGATACACGGTGAAGCCGTTGCACCTGGAGGCTGTCATGTCGCGGGCCTGAAGTCGTTAAGTGTGCATGAATTTCATGAATGAAAAACTCCACGAATTACATGAAATTAGCATGAAATGCATGAAGGAAAAAACACAGGAACCGCGTTTCCATTTTCTCGTTCGATACTCACGTATGTCGTGGCGCAGATCTTTTGCAAGGTCCTAGTGATAACGCCCGGCCCATTGTTGCCCCAGACGTCGCCTCTGAAATTCTGTTTGAGGTCCTGAAGACAATCGGCAGCCATCTTTCGACCTAAGCCCTTCGCTCCGAAGCTCATCACCCCTGCGGCCACGTATTCCCAGCTTTCCGCACCTGCGAAATTCTCGAGCCTCTCCAAGGACCTGTGAAAAGGACGCTTTAATCCATCTCAAGTGATTGAAATATCGAGTTACGATTGAATTTCCTTAATCACTCACGTGGTGACGACTACGTCCAGGTCGAGATAGATGCCACCATACTTGAAGAGAGTGAGGTACCTCAAGATGTCGGACATGTGACTTCTCGGCCACCTGCTGCGCTTCAGGGCGCCGCTGGCGTACCACTTCTCTAAAGGCGTGTTCTTCACGTATTCCTCCACCGAGATGCGTCTAATCCTCACGTTCTTGTAGCTCAAGAGCTGTCTCACCAGCTCGGCGGAAGAATTCGAGAACTTGAGGGGGTTTATGTAAAAAAGGAAGACCATCATCGAGGGGTTCATCCTGGCGGCCGATTCTACCGCACAGGCTTGTCGAGGATTCAGGATGGCGCCGTCCTCGCCGAAGCACGAGGTCTCGTGAAAGAAGATGTTCCTCCCAGGAATCGGGCTCTTCGGCCCTGGAAAATCCAAAAAAGAAACCGTGAAAAAAAGTTCCTCACTTTCGACTAACCGCATATCATGACATATCTAAAATCCTACCATTCTCCGCGTGGAAATCGTGCAACTCCCCGTCCGTCGGTTTTGCGTCGTAACAGGAGATATCGCCCTCGGCGTATATCCCCAGAAACGGCGCCATTTTGAGGATGAATTCGTTATCGCTATACGACAAGATCACCAACAGCAGCATCGCTCCGGCGCAGACTATCGCTAGTCTCTTCCTCATTCTGGCTGGTCTTAATTTCCGGAAAAACGTCCGAAGACGTCGGTGCAGTCTCGGCTTCAGGGTGTCGCTCTAGGCTGGCATGCTGCGAAAGCTGTCTACTCGTCCATGTAGAAACGTAATACAGATCTTCATATGTATCGTCCGGCATGGGAGCGATGTTGAGAACCAACTGTCATCTCCATGATAAGCGAACACGTGTCCATCCTGGCTTAACCCACTATAGCATCCCAAAGGCCAGGCTGTGGCTCTGAAAAAAAAAATTAATCAATTAATGGTTGACCCAAGTGGAGTCGATAAGGCATCGACGAAAACTAAAGCAATTGAACATCGCCGACGAAATTGAGCTTAACCAGGAAACCGAGAGCAGCGATTTCACGGCTAATAACCATTCCTTTGATTATCCTTGAAACGGATCATATAAAGCTTCAACTGGAAGCACAGCTTTTTCCGCGAGTCCGAAATCGGCCCAACTTCACCCATAATCGTCTGCCCGGAACGAGAATTCCGGTAGTTATCAGCGTTATCCGGCTTGTCGGATCTATCGACTTCCCGTGTCATTCGTCAGCTCTGAAGCACTATTCCCCAGCTTCTAAATAACGTAAAACTCACTCTCGTCCCGCTGTAAAACCAATTTTATTCAAAACTGACTCGGTGTCTTTGAAAAATTAAATCGAGAATGAAATAACGTCGCAGGATGTCGAGGATGTGAGAGATGGCGTCTAAGTTTGACGTTTTTAGAGGCTGGGCGATAATACCGTTGAGGTTTTAACTAAGTTTAGTCGAATTTCTTCCCTCGAGAATAAAAATCAGCTTCCAAACCGGTTGCAAGGTCTCGCAAAGTTGAAGAATATTGATTGCCGCCCGGCCTCCGCGTGGTCAGACGGCCGCCATCTTAAAAGTTATATGCACCGTGTATACGCGTCTACTTTTTGACGACGCGATGTTTTTACGACCCGGCCGTGACACTCCGCTGATATAAACTCGCGTTAGCCATCTCCGGTCGACAGAAAGCCGCAGACAGGTTCTGATATGACTTAATTCGTTTAATAGGCTGATCCGGCGATCGGGGATGCCGGGCGGCCCTCGGCGCATCTGCAAACCTTCTCTCGTAAACCTCACTGGGACCATCTCTAATCGTTATTCCAGCCATCTTTTCACGTTTCCACTTCCCCTGAATCAATTTTCATCCCCACGCCTCTCCTTACCTTCTCGATTAAGCTCGCAGTTCGGAAATTCAAGCGCGCGTCTCTCCTACGCCCCCGAGCTCACCCTCCGCCATCTTGGAAATCTCTTCGCACTTATCGAGCCCCATTAATTCCTCGAATCTCGATAATTAAAACCATCCCGATCCCTCCAGAGCTACGAATGTCCAGTTCACGTTCATCGTTATGCCCCGAGTACTGAGATACTTTTTTTTAGACGATTCCTTTTTCACGTTACATGGGCTTTTCTTATCTTATCGGACGTGCACGGCTAGTTTGCGATCTCTCGCGAGTTTACGAGCTTTTATGTTCTTCTGTTTTATCACGTCGTGCCATCTCGTCATGTGGACGGTCTTCACGGCGACTGTTTTCTCCTACGAACCTAACGTTGCAGAGCAGTTCGAGAACAGCATTGCGCATGCTTCGAAATAGAGCCTTTAATATTTGTGGAGAGGGATGCACATCGCGCATGCGCACGTGGGAACTTTTAACCTTCGAGGGGAGCATCACTGGGGTGGTTCCACACCGAATTCAAAACGGTGGAATGAATGGATCGAGTATCTGGGAAAGGACGAAAAGGACCTCCGAGGATGGGTAGCACATTTTGAAATATGTGACAATGACCTAAGTTAATTTAATTATTCCTCCTTCGTTTCTTTCCAGCACAGAAATTAGCGCACACAGTTTATGGCTCAGCCTTCGTGCTAAACAACACGTGTATTAATGGTATCGTTACAGCTTGTACACTAACTAGTCATTAGTCACCTCGGAGGCTGTTCGTCCATTTCACAACCTTGACCACAGGCTACATTTACATTTCTCGGTTAGACCGCGAAAAATCGCCTTGACGTTGAGGCTGTTAATTAATTAGCGGCATCTCTTACGGCTAAAAGAAATCCTCGCCCCTTTCAATTACAGAGGGTCTCGCAAAGCCGGTACTTATATACATTTCAGCTCAACGGAACGTGGAGTGTTTCTGTCTCTGTATAAACGATATTTAGCCCCCTATCGCCAAAGCACCTCTAACGATATGTCGGTACATCCACTACGTGTGTAATTCTCGATACAAATCTACGTTTTCTTATTTCACTTTTTCATTAGTACCGCCAAGGTACGAGCTTCCGAAACGGGATCGTTAGAAAAATTCACCTACGACGTATCCTCGGTTTTCATTTACGCCTCGAGTTATACAAAAGTGTGTCTAGCTTATCGTTAGTTTCGACTTCTAGACGGCACCTCGACGGCGGAGGTGAAAGAAATTGGTTTGGGTTGGTCGGGTTCCTCGGATGCTGTCTATAAATCGGGCCTAAAAGCTCTCGGGGAATTTCGGAGTTATTCCGCGGAGTGACTGGAAGACATTGGCGGTCGATACTTAAGTGTACTCGAACGAAAAGAATCTCCCCTTTTTGTCCACCGCGATGGTCCCTTCACGACTCCTCGCCCACTCACGTTTCATTCGATACCATTCTCCCCCAAGACAAATAAAAAATAAGGAAAGTCCCAGATTAACGAGTACTCGATAAGATGAGTACGCGACAGCGTGACTTCTTGGCATCGCGCTAACCGTGTTAAATAATTAGTGCCATTTATAACGCGAATTACTTGCCGCTCAAAGGAAGGACGTGAGAGGAGATCCTTTGGAGTCTGAGGAAATTATGTAATAACGCACTCTTAATATTATAATTACGAGTGGCACGGAACTTAAGACGTTGCGAATCATTCGTCGAATATACAAGCAAGGAATTACGGATGACGGTAGATAAACGCGAGGCAATCGGCCTCCTTAAAAACGGTCTAAAAGATGCCTAATAGTAAATTGGTCTTTACTTTATAGATACACGTTTCCTCTCTACTTCTCTAGACTGATAATAGGAAACAAAGGAATCGAGTAAACCAGTAAAGGGGCAGTAAAAACGATGCGCATCTCTCTAGATAAAACCTCGCCATGTCGCTAACGGTCTCTAAGAACTTGGTCTGCGATTAACAATTAATTTAAACCTCCTAAATGGCTAGATAGACCCGAGAGACGGGAAAGACCTCGAAGAACGTTCTCATTCTACATTTTTCGTCGAATCGAACAGGAATTCCCTTCCTTCCCCTGGAATCCATTCAATTCTCGCCTTATCTTACATAATACGAATATATTGCCCTCGCTATGTTATTAATTAACCGCTAAGCCGTACGCCTCTAATCCCTAAGGTGTATTATCCGTGGACATTTGGTTCTTCGACTAGTTACTTAATTATTTCATGTTGCATATGTATATCAGCGTGTCGCGATAGTTTAAGTTATTGCCTATCCAGATGCTTACGCTTATTCCGGGCGCCATGTTCACGATTTCAACAATGATACGCCTTGGATTCGCCTCCGCGGACGCAAGTTGCTCTCGTGGAATAAATGGGAGATAACGCAGCGCGATAAAAGAACCTTTGATATAGGGTTTAATTGTCCGTTTCATCTGCCTCTAAGTACTGGAAACGAGGAGTGTTGCTCGTATGCAGTAATATACCTAGTTAAGTACAATTGCAACCCGTGTTACCTCCTTACAAACGATACTGTTTCAGTTCTTCCTGACATGGAATAGAGTCGCGTCAAGCTAAGAACGACCGACACGACTGTTACTAACACTAAAACTACCAAGACGGGTCAAAATGACTTGTTTCAAATGGCTCATCCTATAAAAAAAAAAAAATATCTGCCGGTCGTTCTAGTGTTAAACGTGCTACGTAAACGAGTAAAACTAATGAGATCAACATTGGATAGTAATTTATCGCTCGATAGTTCCGAAGGAACTGATATGCAAGTTCAATAATAATTAATCCCTCCACCGATGCCGGTAATGATATGTCCGTAACTGGTGATCCCTTCAATTAACGCGATCGACAAGACTAAGACCAAATCGCTTTTCCTGAATTTCTCCTTAACGACGCATTCGACCGATCTAATTGGTTAATTTCTAATTTCGCCCCATACGAGCGCTTACTCTTCTTCTTTACATCTACTAAAAGAACGCCGTAATTACGAGCCTCGTCTCGCCCTTGTTAATGGTCTTCAACTAAGGCCATTACACGTTTCTCGAGGATAAGTGCCCCATGACGGGGTGGAATCGGTCCGCGATTCCCATAAAAAGAGCCTTAACTATTCGACTAAACGTCTATGGGGTCTATCGCCGACTATCTCTTCCTTTTTTTTTTTTTTGATTCCGTCGTGCCGCGCGCGAACCCGCGGCGGAAAGGGGAAAGAAAAGGGTTCAAAGGCACGTTCCATGACTCGAAACATTTCCGTGGGGTCGGGATCGAATTTTTAGTGAATTTCTTACGCGGTACTCCCTTTACGTAACGGAAGTATTACACGTGCGAGGAGAAGAGAGACGGCACCACCGAGGCGAGCGATCTAGCCCGCGATTCTCGATCCTAGAATGTCACGTCGAGCCCTCGATCGCGATTCAGCTCGAAAACCTCAAAGTCTCCATCGGCCGCGTCCGCGATATCGACGGTGAGTTGCGATCGCAGCGCCACGCAGTCCCGTGGCGAACACTCGACTCTCCCCTCGGAACCGCAGCTGCACTCCACACAATTCCCGGTAGAATGCGGCAAAGTCTCCCCTTCTCGGTACTCCCTCCCTAGAATTCATAAAGAATTAGTACCCTGCCACGGTACAGCTTCGAAATGTCGCCTGGAAACCGCCCAACGATATTTAATAACCTAATTCTCTCTAGATATTCATTCGACTGGCGATACAGATCCCCGTGGAGTGATGTAAAGCCGACGTGACCTGTTTTACCCGCAGTAGGAAATGTATATATGCCTTGTGGCTCGCAAGATAAATTCCCTTCGTTAAAGAGTAACGAGACCACCTAGAGTAAAATGAAATCCCCCGTTCCGTATTAATTAAATACGAAAAATAATTGAAACTCACCCATAACGAGACACGTCGTCGGCATGGGAGACGACCCGCTCGAGTTCGTCGGGTTCACTTCGAAAATTTCCGCCTCTTCCGACGAGCTCTCTTCGGGCTCATCCGAGGTTCCAGGGTCCTCCACGACCACGGTGCTCCCATTTGAAGGTAAAACCTCGTTACTGTCCGTCGACAAGGTAGAGACCTGCCAGTTATGGGAAGGTGGAAGGTCGGTGCTGAGGCGATATCGCTGCCACCAGCAATAAACCTCGCCAGCCACGCAAAGGCAGTGGGAATTCGAGTCGAACGATGGTATCTGAAAATGGGAAGAAAAAGGTTATCACTTCCTACGTATCTATCTATAGGAGAGGAAAAGAACATTTTTTAAAATCATCTCCTCCACCTTTCCTTCTTATCCACGAGAGCGCCTAGAATCCGCTCCCGGGGGGCGTCGATGTTAATGAGGGCCGCGAAAAACCGGGCACTCCTAATTACATAGACTTTCTGGAAATCAATTGACCCAATTCCGGGAACCGATGTATCCGATTAACCCATTTCACGTAACTTGGGCAAGCGGGATAGCTGCATTCGCACGCGTCAAGTGCAGCGCGTTGATAGGTGGCGCTGCATCTCGCTAATTAAGCCCGGCAATAAGAGGACTGCATCAACGAGCGGTGCATTTCTAGCGCGCTGCATATATCGTCACCAGCTGGGGGTCCTCTCGCGCCTATACATCGCCTCGAAAAATAAAAGGGAGAAAGAAATATGAAAGATAAAAGATAAAGAGGCAGAACTCATTCACCGAGATTTCCGCGGTGCTGATGTCAGCGATTAAAATTCAAATGCCACCGGGAGTACGGAAAAGGGCCGATGCACTGCTGCAACTATAAGTGCAATATTTTATATCTCACTGTTCATGCCTTACCGCCTGACTGTGCGAGTAGGATTTCCCGTCGACCATGCATCTCTTGAGGAAGGGCTCTTCCGTGGGAAACTCGACGTCCTCGTCTGGCAGGGCGATGTCCACCTGGCCCAGGAGTACCTTATCCGAAGACTGCGCAGGTGCTGGGAAAAAAAAAAATCAAATAGTACCGTCAAAAATACCAAAAACGTTAACGGGGTGAATTTATCAACCGGGAGGGGAGGATTTTTCTCCGGCGACGACCGTCGTTGTCTCGTTTATTTCGGAAAAATCGAGAAGGAGAGATCCCGGCGAAAAGCGACCCATTTGTAGAGTCCGCTTGCCGCGGAAATGGGCACTAAGTGCAGGGATCGATTTACAGCAGAGACACAGCCACCCCCGGGTTGCATTGTTACCCCCCGACTCGAAATGCTCCTATTTCCTTGCCGTTCGTTGTCGTAGACACTTCCGCTTTTTCCTTTCTTTCCGGGCGCACTCGTTATTCAGACAACGAGTGCGCCGGACGCATCCCAAACTTCCGTAGGAATTGTCTCCTGCACCATTCCTAAACCCCGGGGAATCGTTAACAGGGAGTCCCGTCTAGGGGGCTGATAAACATTTCCGGCGGTAAATTGCACGTCTTTATAAAATTAAAAATTGAAATAAATTAAATCAACCAAACAATTTAAATGAAACAAATAAACTACGTAAATTAAATATATCAAGTAAACCATACAGATTAAATTAATTAAATAAATCAGATACGCCTAGTTCCATGCCCAGGACTGAACGACCTCACACTCTCTCCTCGGAGAAAAATGGGGAGAAGAATGGGGAAAAAACGATGAAAATAAATTTTTCCTCGGTGGGAAGCGTCGAGCGAAATTTCCTCCCTTCCTGGGTGATTGTCGCCCCGTCAAGGAAACGGCGGGATTAAAAGGAATACTCGGTTTACGGGCCATCGAGTTCTCCTCTCGCTCTATTCCTGGGCCGCCAAGTCCGCGGCCATCTTGTCGGTGCGCGAGGAAAGCAAGCACGAGAAAAGGGGCGTAAAAGCTCGCGGCAGAATTAGAGCCGTCCTCCTGGGAGACAGGAATTCCCCGAACCCAAGACCGAATCCGACAATGGGGATGCGACTCGGGATATGTACAGTGCCAAGTACCGAGTTGAGTACTCCGCATCGATCCCCGCACTTACCGTCCCCCCTCTCATCCCTTAAGACCTCGTCGCGAGTCCTGCATTCTACGTGTGTACATTGTGCTCCGTTAACGGGGACGTTTGCTTTCCGTGGCTCGGTTTCCTCCAGGAACCCCTGGGGATTTTAAGGCGCCCTTATACGCCATTGAAAACGAAGCCGCGTAAGCCCCGTGGGAACCACCCCCACCGTCCTCCTCTCGTCGCCGAGTGCGAACGCGGATTAAAGGGTGTCGCGGGTCTGAAAAATGCACGAGGTGGAGTGCATTTTTACCTTCCCCACCTGAAACCAGTCCCTCTGAATATTTTATCCCGATATTCCGAGGGATATCCGCGCAATTTGTCATCCGGTGCATTTCGGAGCGCGATCAAAGGCAGCTCCGATACGCGCCGCCGATATTGTTGTCCAATTATCGGCGAATCGGCGCGGTCGAAACGCGCGATTTTTCAAGGAATTACCCGAGGGGGCGTAATGGAACGTGCTTTTCGGGGAGTAGTTCCCATGGGACGAGTATCGTATAGCCGACCATGTCCTGGATGCATCACGAGCCGGAACTGGCCAGGGGAAACTGCCGGGATTTGACAGCCATGGCTAGCCCGATTCTTGTGAAGTGACTTTGGTACCGGAAACGGTTAAGAACCACTGTTTTATAGAGCGCGAAGTCTTCGGCTGACCGCGTCGTGGATTGATCACTTGTTCCGGCAGAAGTACCCAGGGGAAACGGTCGGAGTTTGTTAGCCACTCGGTCGGTACTTTGTTCACCTCCACTTTGCCGTATCCCCGGTAAACGTAGCGCATTCGATTACACCTAGAAGGGGTCAATTTATCCGGGAGATGGAATAAATCCGGCAGGAAGGGGGGCGAAAGAGGGATCTCTGACGCCCAGGGATGAAATCACGGCCGAAGTCGCAAATCCCCCATATGGGAGCCATTCGAGGTTTCGTCTGACCGTGTCGTGGATTTATTACTTGGCCCAGTAAAAGCTCGCGGCAGTAATGGCCGCGTCTGGCCCAACTCGCGATTCGAGCACTACAGTGGAAGCGGAATTATACGTCCGGCCGGACATTCCTCATGGCGTTTGGACACTCTGGCGGTATCGATTATCGATATGCGAGTGCTTATTCAGCTAAACGACTCCGCTGGTGGCGTTTCGCCATCAACTTGCGATATTTCTCGCAACAGGCCGTAACTCTTTATTGGACGTCTCCCGTCGACCCCAGGGAGAGAGATTCGCCCAATAACGGGGAAGGGAGAAATAAAAAAGGAAAAAAGGAAGAAGCCCTCCGTTAACCGCGACCTCGGAAATGCGAATCGTCCTTCCAGGACGACCACTTGTTCCTTTCGGAAAGTCTGACCACTTGTTCGGCCTTTCGCTAGAGAACTCGACAATTGTCGGCAATTTTATCAGACCCCTCCCCGACAACCCCTTCTCGATTTAAGAACGACTCTTCCACATCTCTTTTCGAGGCATGTCCATCTCGATGAACGCGGACTGTGTCGGTAACTCGACGTTCACTGAGTTCATTCAATTACCCGGCCATGTCGATCCCGCGTCTGATAATCCGACGAGCTTTATCACTGCCTCGGGCCGTCATTCATGTGTCTATTAGGCCATATTCACACCGACAGACGCGGCGAACACCGATTCGATCAAATGTCCTGTAATAAGCCAAGTACGTCCCTGTAATAACAGGAACATGCCCTCGCCTTTTTTTTTCCTCAACTATATTTTGGTCGCGAAATTCCATTTTAAACTCCAGCCATCGACAGACACTTCACGATTTTTTTTTTTTTCCTTGACACCACCGATCGGGCGAATCGCCACGATTTTTTTTCTTTTAATACAAACGATCAGCAAACTATCCAGGAATTTTCTTTATCTCAGGGACTGGTCGACTCGAGGTCGGAAATATTTTTTTTTAAACGCAAGCGATCAGCTGATCGATGCACCTGGCGCAATGGGACGTCTCGCAGGGCCGCGACTGGCTCTCGGGGTGCATCAGCGTCCCCATGGTCGACTGACCTAAATGTCGACACGTGTAATCGCGAGTGCAACGCCAGAATTGCAGCAAGGGGTGCACCGTTCGCGCGTGTGCACGAGCCACTTGTCCCGGTGACTTACGTGTACGCCCGAGGACTGGCGGCGGAACCGGGGGCCTAATTAAAAATGCTCGTCAGAAGTGAAGACAAAAGTAGCGGAAAGTTATGAATTACTCGGAGGACACTTTAACCAGAGTCGCGCGTCACCGTTCCCTCCCCCGCGGGTCGGAGAATTTCGAGTTCCCCCTGCCCCTGGAATTCCCACATCGCCATTCCCTGAAATAATCGGCGCATAATTCCCGGTGTCAATTAATCGACTACTACAGCCGGGCGTTTTGTTCGGATATATCGCGTAGGCCGCGAGAATTAACGCCGCGCTAAATGGGGAATAATTAAGGGTGTAATTAAATCCGAGCCCCATCGATCTCACCGGGCGTTATCGAGTTATGCGGACTCCTATCTTCGAGATAAACTAACCAGGGAATTTTTCATTCCATGGCGTGGCCTCGTATAATCCCCCGAGAATGTAGGGCAGAATTAAGGAAAGGTGCGATTCGGTTTAGAAATAATCGATACCAAGGGGGAGTTCGAGGCCTCCTTGAGACGGCATATATTAATTCCGAAATTTAATTAAGCCCCCGAGGTTCAACTTCCACCAAGGGCCATTTATTGTCCTTAAACGGGAATACCAAAGCGTTCCGTCTCACGTCCTCGAAATTGCCCAAGTTTTCCATTCATTACGTACACCCTCTTTAATCTCGCCCGGTGTACGGTGGATTATTTCGAGCGGAAATATTAATCGAAATACAACTCGACCCGTCGTGGTCAACTATAGGTAATTGGTTAATTTCGGGCTTAATTGACGGGAATTAACCGAAACACCGCGATACGCATACATATACGTCGCGATCGAATTTAAATCGTCGGTCGGAGATGTGCACGGCGTGGTGGAGGCAAGATGGCGTCGCGGCGGAAATAGTCGGGCGAATTGCCGTAAGGCTCCGAAAAGGGGTGAAGGTTAGGTCGGATCTACGCGACGTTCATTAGCGTTATGGCTAAGATGGCGCAGGCTTACGAGGCATTTAATCGTTATTTACGTTAAAGGTTGGCCCGAAACTCCAGGGGGTGTGCTGCCACTCTAATTAGCGCGCCACCTGCGAACCCGTCGTATCCGCTGGTCGCAGTTTCGTAGGTTAGGGTCGACCCCCGCCTCCCCTACGAGGAGAAAATTGCAGAACCCCCGTTGTACAAATGTAACGTTTAATAAAAATTCATGGAATTTTCTTTCAAGCTCCCCTGTCTCGCCTTAACCGAGAAACTGGTTAAAAATTAAAAAATTCTCTGGTTAGGAGAGGCGAGTCGCCGGTCTCGACATTTTTGGTCCCGTCGGGTACATCCGGATAATTCCAGGGGAATTAATTACCCGGGGAAGGGAAAGTTCCGAATTGTCGAGGCGTACGAGAGGGTATATGGAGAGCTCCATGGGAAATCGATCGGCGAGAAGGAAATTGGACGGCGTAGTGCCGGAAAACAAGTGAGCTCGTGATTGGCCCTCGGCCCGATACAGAGGAAACGAAGAATAAACCGTTCCCATTGGCCGGGCGCCATTGTCAGGGGTACCGACGGCGAGGACGCTAATTTTGCGTCTGACTACTTTTAACGGGCCGTCCTAACCCGATATCTCCGGAAATTGCTCCTCGTGTCCCTCTACGAATTATCGCTCTCGATTCCTCAAATCAGCCGAAGCCCAATCGGAATAGGGAAATGGACGATGGTGGAGGTGTAAAAAAAAGTACCGAAGGGAGCCCAAGGAAGGCCGGGGGAAAAAGGAAAATGAAAGTCTTCGCACGCCTCGAAGTGCTCTTTGGCCGCCCCAATTGCGGCCGCTTCCGGTGCGTCGCGCTTTCGGTGGGGAAAAAAGTGAGCTTCCCCTCGAAACGCGTGCCTTTCACATCGAAATTGGGTCGGGGCTCGCCGGCATTAATTTCCACGAGGACGAGTCCAATTAAAGCGCGATGGCCGATGAATCGGTCCGAATTTCGATCGCGTTCCTGACAAAGATCCGGCTGATCGACATCTTCGATCGATCGTCAGGCGTCGATTTATTCGAATCGTCGTACTGCATCCGCCCTCCGACGCGTTCCTCGACATATTCCGAATGAAATTCCAGCAAAACGATCGCGGCCCTCGGTGCAAAATGGCGGGGCTCTCGGCAAGGCTCCCTCTTGTTTAATAACGCCGGGGCTAGGGATTTAATATCCCCGCGCCGTGCTTGAATTCCCCCGCGAGGTTCTGCCTCTCCCTCCCAATTTTTTTTTTTACTTCCTTCCGGGACGATTCGACGGGAATTCGTCCTGGGAGCGTTTCCGCCGTCGCGGGAATTCCCTCGGATCGGTGACGAGCGATTGGCGCGGGCATTCCTTCAAACGAGGAATAAAATAGAGGCGCCATAAAACGAGAAAACGTCCCTAGGGACTTTCAACCCGGGACGCCTCGAAATTCCTCAATTTTCTACCAAATATACCTAGGGAGAGAAAAATCGCGACGGATGATTCTATACTTTCAGGGCTTGAAAACTCGTTAACACTGTAAATACAGGTAAATACGAGCGAATGCAGGTAAATAAAAGTGAATGCAGGTGAACCCTCGTCGAGAGGGGCGTCGAGTATCGCGCCGGTTAAAGCGGCTTACCGTGGAAACATTTAGGGAAAGAGGGGAAAAAACTGGAAAAATAATAAACCGGGAAAAAACGAAGAAACGAGAAGGCGGCCACCCCGAGGCGTTTCCCACTAAAGGGCTTTTAATATTTCACTTCCATTTGATCGCCCCTACCTCATAGGTTTCCGCTTCTATTTCTTCCCTCCATCTCTATATATCCATATTAGAGAGATCCATCTTCGAGATTTACGATTCTTAACGCCGGTAGGGGTTATCGGGGTGGATGATCACCTTGCAGTAAGAAACTAGGACACGCCACCCCGTGAGACCTGCACTAACAATAAGCACCTGTTCGGAGGGTAGGGGTGCACTTTGGAATTGATCGGTTCAATTTCGAGGCCCGATGGCCGAGCAAATAATCACTACAGAGCTGGGAAAAGGGGTGGGAAAGCTCCCCCTTCGTACAGGACCGTAAACGAGGCTACAAGCTCCCTAGAAAAGCCCTTCATCCTCGGACGAGCTGCGCTCTTCCGCGGGATTATCATTTCCATTAAGAGAAGTGGGGGGACGTATCCCCCCAGAGGGGAAATTCGACGTGAGAATCCAGGGGTTAATGGGCCCCGCCACGCACACCCCATTTCTCCGGATTAACCGACATTCGAAATTCGAAAGAGACCCCCCTTTGTCCCCGACCTCCGATTGCCAGGATTCGCTTTTCACCGGTCCTGAAGAGGCGATGAAGATGGCCATTATCGCCGCCAAATCGGCCATGGTGATCGGCCACCCCCTACGCAGCCTCGACCTCGACCCGGGTGCTTTTCTTCCCGAAAGGGGGGAGTTTCACCCCACGTGAGATGAACGACTCTTCCTGGCTTCCAGACCTCTGAATTATCGGCCCAAGTTTCGCCCCCGTTAATTTCCCCCTCCCCGATATCAAGGAGAGGAATCGACCCCGAGTCGTGGGATTCCTCCCTCTCGATCCCACCCGATTCTAATTTTTTTACTCCCCTTGTTCTCTCGGCTCCGACTCGGGTGGTCATTTTCTCCCCTTCTCCGTTTTTCCCGCGACCCCTCTTCTTTTTATTCCAAGCCGTAACGAGAGCGGAGAACTTCGAGCTCGGGCCGAAAAGCGGGGAGAAAACCGCCCCTTTTTGTCCCGCTTCTTCGGGAATGTCTCCCATTAAACGGCGGAAAGGGAGGGTTTCCTCTGTTCCCGGGACGCGTTGGGAAGGGAAAAAGGACGAGAGGTTATTCTTTCATCCCCCCTTCTGACCTCCGACCTCGTCAAAGGGAACGTTTTACGAATAGCCGGGTAAATAAATCAAAGGCAATTTTCGGATTTAAGAGGGGTGTCCCTTTTGATTTCCTCCCGGCTACTTTCCCAGGGAATTTCCTGCGGAATTTTCGGGAAAACCGGAAACGGTGTCCTCGGGGAGAGGGGACGCGTCGCAATCCGATTATTCCTGGGCAACGAACCCAAGTAATCCTCTCGGAAAGTTCCTCGCGAGAATGTTTAATCAATGGGAACACGCCGACTCGACTCGGGCCGAATAATTATAACGTCGTTGGGAAACCGTCCCACAGGAAATTTCCCTCCTACCCCTGCTCCCCTTTTCTCGTCCCTTCTCGTGAGTTTCCACTTCTCGGCCGATTTCGTCCTTTTTCGCGACTGCCACCGGTACCCCGTTCCTTCGGACCGGGAAGGAAAGTGCGGAACGTTCCGCCCTGGCCTTTAAAAAACCGCCCCGAGGAAGAGGCTCTACTCCTCTGGTCGTCTCTTTTTAACGCGCCACTTCCCCTTTACCACTTCGAGTGCATTCCGAGAGTTACGGGCGCCTCGCCGAAGATTTTATACCTGGCGCGACTGAAAGGGGAAAAGAAACGAGATGGAAGCGACTGAAAGAATGGACACGTACCATCGCTCTGTATGCACCAATGGAGTTCTAGAAAAATCTCGTATATTGAATTCAATATCGAATTTCCAGCCCACCCTCGTTCCGCATAATGCATTGAAATATTTAATAAAATGCTTCTTTAAATATGTATAATATATTCATCATACGTTTCAGCCTTTTAAAGAAAAAACTCGCGTCAACGTCTTTTTTCCCCAGGGATCGGAAATTCCGAAATTGAGCCGAAATCTGCGAGAATCGCAATCGACGAGGATTCAACCTCCGACGCGGCGCGCATGTTGCCGTTTAATTAATCGAATATATCCGCATGTTGAATATTAACAAACCGAAAGCTGCGGTTACAGCTCCGACACTGTCAGCAGCTGATAGCAGGAAACAGGTCGAATATATACGTCCATATACACGTTATACATAAACGCATGTACACATTTATCCGGAAAAATGGTTAAAAATTTCGAGCTTATCTCGCGAAGTGCAATCGACTGATCCGCGCTTGGTGACTTACGCCCTTTTCGCCGTAATGCGGCTAATTCGCATTTCGTACTCGCCGGAGCGTGAAATCGCGCAAACGTTCGAGAGATTCGAAGCCAACGGACATTAATTAACGCCTCCTGTCATTTCCCCGAAAACTCGGTCCGCGACGGACGTCCGCTGCGAAATTAATTCCCGAGTTAGGCCACGGAATTGTCGGACGATGAAACTTTGACGAGGGCCGACCGTTCCCCTCGAGTGCAGGAATAACCGAAACATATAACGGTTCATAATGATCAAACATGAACCACGTGACGGGGCCGCCATTTTGTTTCTCGTTTTCGCGTAGTAACGGGTAGTGCGGAATAATCTCGACACTGGAATTTTTTTTTCCCGCTAATAACGGATGATACGACGAGACGTTGATAATTACACAAATTTATATCTGTATATCGAGTAAATTAGAAAGATATGTAGAGGTTAGGAGAGGTTAATAAAAATCGACTTACCGGTGTGTGATCGATCGAAAAGAGACAGCAGGGAGATGACTGCGAGCAGCGTCGATGCGACTCTCATGTTTGAAATTGGCGTCGGAATTGAAATGCTCCTTTTTGAGGAAAAAGGCTTCGAGGGAGGAGGGAGGAAGCTCGGGTCAATCGTCGCGATCTTCGCTCACGTGGCTACGAGATTTATAGGTTAGGGTCGTTGAAGCTCCCTCTGGGAAGCTCTCGATAACGGGGAAGCTTCCGGTCGCCGGATTTCAGAGCGCCGACATTGGGAACCGCGAGACTCGACGCGATCCTCCCCCCGCGAAGGACGAATGCCGACTAACGGACTGGCGGAGCGCTCGCGTCGCGCAGGCCGGCGCCGTCCCGCACATGCGCCGCCCGTTTGCCCCCGAGACTTCCTCCTTTTCTTATTTATTTTATTCTTATTTAGTCCTTTCCTCCACCGCTTCCTTTTTCGCCCTCCTCGTTTTTTCCTCGTAATGCCGGGCTCTTTTCTCGGCAGCCGGAAATTGGTCGCGGCGAGTGGAAAATGGGAAATCGAAACTCCCGCCCTCCGAGAGTTATTCCGAGTTCGCGAAGTCCGAGGCGATTTGTTCAACGAGGTTTTCCGAAATCATTAGGGGGGAATTATGACACTCGGTAAAGGGAAACGAACTGCGAAACTCCTTACCGAGTCCTATTTCCATAAATCCGCCAAAACTTCGGATCGCAGAGGTTTACACGAGGCTTACACGAAGTAGGAAAAGTTGGAGATTGTATGAGACGAGACGAAACCGGAGAAAATGTGTAGAGGTTTTGGGAGGAAAATTGGAAAAGGAAATGTCGATCCGCAAATTAGCTGCGAAGTAGAATTCAATTAAAATTAAACTTCTGCTGCCGATGTTTACAGACACTACCAAGGAATTGATTCATGGCGAATAAAAAAAAAATATTTGCCGAAACCCGGGATCGAACCGGGGACATTTAGATCTTCAGTCTAACGCTCTCCCAACTGAGCTATTTCGGCTTCTTATCATCTCATACCTAAATAATCCACATAACCATCCAAAATTACATTTAATACTAAATAAATAATAATCACAACGTTCAAATAAATATTATTACCTTGTTCATTAAATCGGTACACTAAACATAGAACAGGGTGTCAAATTAATTTCGTACCGCTGAACTCCGTGGCTCCATCTCGCGGCAGGAGGTCGTGCTGCATAAATTAAAGCGTCGAATACTTTTCGAAATTATAATCACTCTACTTTTACCCTTCATGATTTTAATAACGTTGGGTTTCTTTGGTATTTCCATATTTCAGGTGATTAGAGTCAGACACTTTTAGATTTCTGTATGGTGTAGTCCCGACCGGTTGCGACTTGCCGATCGCTGTTGGCCGCCATCTTGATATCGGCCGAGTCTCGTCCGACGCCATTTTACCGACAGATCGGGTCTGAACAGATCTGAATTCGAACCCAGCGCCTCGACTGTCACCGCCGCTTCCGAAAATCATTCTCGGCAGCGCTCGCAGGGTCGAACGCGCGTTTCCGCGCGCGTTGCTTTCAGTTCCGCGCGGATCGCGCATCGGAACGGGGATTTTTTGGGAGTTTCGGGCGGTCCGCGTCGTCACGTCTCTCGGCCCTCGGCAGCGCGCGGCGACCCCGCCGAGCGAGACACCGGGTCCGTCCTGACATAATGGCGAGTCTGAGACAGACTCCATTGACCTGCAGCGGCCACACGAGGCCCGTTGTCCACCTGGCTTTCTCCGATGTCACGGATTCCGGCTACTACCTCATCTCCGCCTGCAAAGGTAAATTTTTCTAGAACCTCCTATGTGCCTCTAGAGGTTAGGTTCCCGGGTAACCGCTCGGCGCTCTCGTTGTCCTGCCCGGCGCATCCTTCCTCTCTCTTTCCGACCGTTCCCTCTTTGTTACTCGTATTCAATTACCCGATCGATTCTTGATCACCTTGGCCCACTTCCGCGAGCCGACTCCTCAAGGCTCTGGCCCGAGATCGAGGACAGACCGTGAGGCCGCAGGGACTAGGGCTCATCAACCAGGGTACCTTTCCATAGACTAGAATCCCATATCAGGAATAGTCGATAGGTCTCTGTCCATGCAATCGATGCAGGACACAGGATGACCCTAGCTCCTTAGCTTCTCTTAAATCTTGAGGTTGGGGACGCAAAATGATTGACAGTTTCTTATTTTTACAGATGGAAAGCCTATGCTCCGCCAGGGTGATACGGGTGATTGGATCGGCACGTTCGAGGGACACAAGGGTGCCGTCTGGGGAGTCGCGCTCAATCCTCAGGCAACTAGGGCTGCGACTGGGGCGGCAGATTTCAATGCCAAGGTGTGGGATGCCATCAAAGGGGAAGAGATCCAGTCGTTCCAACATAATCATATCGTCAAGACCGTGAACTTCAGTAAAGACTCCGATTACCTTTGTACCGGATCCAATGAAAAACTGGTGAAGATTTTTGACCTGAACAAGCCAGAAGCTGCACCGCAGGTAATTAATAATTGTTAGATTAATAATAAGTAACTATTTTTATACCTTCTTTATATGAAGCATCTCTTATTTTATTAAAATCGTTCTTTTATAATTTTACAGGTATTCTCAGGGCACACGGGTGGCATCAGGCACGTCACGTTCTTCAAGGATGACACTTTATTGGTCAGTTGTGCCGACGACAAGACCCTTCGGGTTTGGGACAGGGCTAGTGGCCAGGAAACAAAGAAGCTAACCTTCCCAGCCACTCCGAGCTCCATGGAAGTCTCCAGAGATGGAAATATCATTACTACCACTCATTCGAATATCGTCACCTTCTGGGACAGTAAAGAGTAAGTCATATTCCTGAGACTCCAAATCGGTAGTAGTATTTCATTGCCTCTCTCTGTACGTGGCGAAAAAAGTGGATTAAGGTTAGCAAAGGATCGGCATTAGGTTGGTACTTTCACAAGCGTCTGAGTAACAACTTCCTGGTAATATGTCCGTGAACACTCTTGATTCAACCTTGGCCTAACAGGAACTACTTTGTTTATTTCCCGTTGCTGGCTGATTTTCCTTCGACTCGAGGCTTTGGCTACCAAATTAAGGCCGAATCGTGTTTATACGGTGCACGTCCTTCGCAAAACCAGTCGTTTGTGCCGCACTCTGATATATGCGCCGGATGAGCCGCGATAACAGCGGCCCGATCTCGCATTTTACGAGTCTTCGCCATATTCGGGAGAATCCTTGTTTAAAAAAAATGCGAAAAGTTTCGCACGAGTGTAGGTTTGACGGACCTCCACTGACCAGTTCCTATAAATCTGCAGATTAACCAAGATTCGGGAATTCACCGTGCCGACTCAGGTCAACAGTGCGAGTCTTCACCCGGATTGTAGTATTTTCGTATGCGGAGGAGAGGACCTGAAGATGTACAAGTTCGACTATAGCACGGGAGCGGAGATCGGTGAGTGCCTTAGTCCTGTTCCTGGCAGTCTATACATTCGAAGGATCCTTGACCTACCAAACTTCTCATTTCCCTTTCTTCGCGACTCCGACCTTGAGTTTCAGAACCTTGTATCTTCGTACGAGAACCTTTATTGCCCATTTATCATGAACGCTGCTTGTTTCAGAATCCTTTAAGGGCCACTTCGGACCCGTCCATTGGGTGAGATTCTCACCGGACGGTGAGCTGTATGCTAGCGGCTCCGAAGATGGTACCCTGAGGCTTTGGCAGACCACGGTGGGCAAGACCTACGGGCTCTGGCGTTGCGTAGAACAGACCCCGGCCATCCAGGAGAACGCAGCCGTGTTGAACAACAAGCAGGAGGTTCCTGCGAGCTAGTCTTACCGGGACAGCGAGACTTCCGGCCCAAGGGAAACCGGGAAAGGATCGACAGGACGCGAACAATCCGCCGATAAACTCCTCAAGGACGTTCCTGGATCGCTATTGATCATCAGCCTGGATTAGCGGCTCGGCCGGCAAGGTCTTAAATCGAAAGCTTGGAGGACCACGAGGGATCTCGAGGTCCGGAAAAATCTTCCTCGTCGGGAAGGGATTCTAACGCGTGCCAGAAAACGCAAGGTCTCCGTTCCCGATGACCCTGACGTTCCTGAAGAGCTCCGACGCGACGTCCTCTGTTCTCCCCGGGGCCTGAAAGGAAATTACGCGGGGAGAGAACGGAGTCTACCCTGAGGATCGAACGGTCCGAGGGCCTTGTGACGTCGATGCGTGGACGATTGATTACGATTTATCTTGGAAGCATTTCTTCGGCGTGCTTGAATTCGCGGTGTAACTGAGAAATAAAGGGTGTAAGGTCGAGGCGAGAATCGAATGTATGACGCGCCGAATAGAGCGAATTCTCTCCCGGCCAAGGACGCGGGGTTCCTTGGACATGTGAATCACGTCTTAGGCCGACGATTTCGACATTGCATTACACATTTCGATGCCTTGCGTTTATTCGCTCTATTACGTGCTAACTCGCGGTATCCTTTAGCATTTTGCCTTTCGCTTTGTCAGCGCTCGACGCAAAGGTCAGCCTTACAGCCGCCATTAGCGACCGGACCTGGTTGTGTTTCGTCGCAACGGGTGGCGTGCGAATTTTAGAGCGATTTAAATTTACGCGATGCCCCTCGTCTCTTCCTTGCTTTTAAGAAAGGCCCTTTTACGAGATGTGTAAACCGCAGGTTAAGATTCGCTTCGTATGAGGATCGTTTAAAAAGATATAGAAAAAAAAAAAAAAAAAGACGTGTGTCGAATGCGGGGATTTTTCGGGAATTCGGGAAAATTACTGTGAATCTTTCGAAATTAACAGTTGTACGGTAAACTCTTCGGGGATTATTTTAAGATTTACTATACAATCGTGAACGTTTGGGAAGTGATGTCTTCGTGGTTAATTTAACGCCCCTTTAAAATTCAATCATTGTATTTCACCTTGTCGCAAGATCACGTAAGTCTTCGTGGCTTGATTAACGTTTGCCCGCGTAATGGACGCGAAGACGAAGGACATGAAAAACGCATAATTGCGTACCGCACCCGAATTCTAGTACGGGAGAACTATGCATGTATATATACAGGGCGACCAGCAATTATCCGGGTGATCGTTTAAACGAGAAACTGAGCCTGTCGAATGCAGTCATGGTTTTCCGAAAAAGAAAAGAGAGAAAGAGAGGAAAAAAAATAACAACAAAATGGCGTCAACATTCAGGGGTGTGCGGGATTCGGATTCCCGATTCGGCCAGGAATCCGGAATCAAAGACTCGATTTAAAGGCAGTGATCAGAGAATTGTACTTCGCGAGTAATAAATATATCTATATATATATACCGAGAGAGGTATCCTCCGTTACATGGGAGACCTCCAGAAAATTACGATCGGCAGCTTTCGTTAGTCTTAACATTAACTTAAGAAGTAGAGGATAAAAAAAAAGGCAGAGAAAAGAAACGATTACGGATTTCTCGAAAATGTCGGGATTATCCCGTGCACTCCCTATGTGTAAATGCCGCGCGATGGTTGCCGGACACCCAGTACATGAGTCGAGCTTACTTCCTATATTTACATTCCAACAGGTACTCCTCAGGCCGTATTTCGAAACCCACCGATAATACTGCAACGCCTAGTGCTCAATGGAAACGGAAAGTGGGAGATGGAGAACGGGAGCGCCGCTTAAAATCCGGGATTCGAAGGATTCCAGGGAGACTCCGCAAAGTACACCGATAAACGTTAATGCCTGCCTTCTGGACACGTGGTATACCCTACTGCCAGTGTAACGCGAGAAGACATTCATGTTTACCAGTGTACCGTGCACGCATTGGGTCGCTCGGCATGAAATCCCGGATTTTATTCGAATGATGCTTAAAATCCGAAAATTCATCCCGAACGACTCGATCGATGATGTTCTCCGGTATTACGGTTGTCGAAGAGAGTTACAGTATCGGCAGCGCGTTCCGAATCGGAACTCGTCTCTGGCACTCCCAATTCTCGTCGAATAAAAAAAAAATTCCACCTTCTGTACAGTTTCGAGGAGGACCAAGGATCTTGGATCCTGGCTCGGATCGATCACTCGGCGATCTGCCGGGAAGTGGAAAATCGAGGTCTTTTTTTTTCGCGCGGTGGAATTAAGTCCTCGTTATCTCCCCTCGGGATGGAAATTTCTCGTCTCCCCGTTTTCCTGGCCTCTCGCGATATCCCTTTTTTTTCGCGGCGCTCAGCCGATGAACTGCGAGAGGTCCGGCAACTTGAAGCCGTTGAACGACGCCGGCGTCGGCGAGCTTCTCAGGTTGTTCCTGGCGTGGTGGAAACCGGGGAAACTGCTGGGGGTCGTGAACTGGAGCCTGGAAGTGGACTCGGAGGTCGCCAGGACGAAACCGCACTGGGCCGTGCAGACGTCGTCCCGGAGGATCGCCTCTCTCGACGCCTCCCTCAGGAGCTGATTGCAGTCCGTCACCCTTAGGGAGGCGCACTGGGTCTAAAATGTCACCGGAATATTAATTAACGTATCTACATACTCGACAATGTCAAAAAAAAAATTCCTTCAACCAAGGAAATATTTTATTAACTCAAAGGAATAATTATTTCAACTCGAGTGAACTGAAATTGCCAGAATTCCGAAGAAACGTTGAATTTACTCGAGTCGACTCGAGGGAAGTAATTATTCCTTGAAGTATTAAAAATATTTCTTTGGTTCAATGGGATTCTTTTCGCGGTATGTATTTTTTAGTAGTGGAATTCAAGAGAGAAGTTACAAGATTGTTGGATCTTTTGGATCTGGTGATTAAAGAAGACCCTTACCCCTTCGGCGGTGCACACGCAGCTGGTGCAAGGCGTGGGAAATCCGGATTCTCCGACCGCGACGTTACGACCTCCGATTTGGCAGCCGTGCCTGGTCTCCCTCCACGCCGAGAAGTCCATGTGAGGCATGGAGGAGCAAGGGACCCTGGGATTCAAGAAATTATTCGGCAGATCGAACGCGGCCCGCTGCATCTCGCCCTGGTTGTCCATGTTCTCGCACATGACCTTCGACAGGGTGGTCTTCCGGACCTCGGCGAGCTGATGCTCGGTGAACCTGATGTTGGGGTCGTCGGTCTCGTACCAGAACCTGTCGCACTTCCTGGACTGCCTGAACTGGATGGCGATGATGCAAGCGAACGTCGGCCCGACGAGGCCACCCTGAAGAGGCCTCTCGCTCATCCCTCCAGGGAAGAGGTCGATGTCGTCAACGGAAGCGTAGATGCGCTTCATCCTGGCGATCACCTCCGGGGCCATCTCCCTGGACAGATCCTCGAAGGTGGTGGCCCTCTTCAGGTTACAGAGCGCCCTGTAATTGTTGTAAGAGGGGATCCCGTGGTCCCTGGCGCGGTGGATATTCAGGGCGATCAGGTCGACCCCGGAGTGCGGGATCCTCAGGTTCTCGAAGAGGTGGTTGGTCACTTCCCCGGTGATGAACTGGTCCAGGGTCTCCATGGGAGTGGCCACGAGGCCGCGGATCATCTCGTCGATCATGCCCTGCTGGTACAGCATGTCCGGATTGAAGAAGCCGTCCCTGAGGAGGATCGGAGGGTCCACCGGCTGATAGTTCCGGTCCATCCTGGGCAGGTGAGGACGCAACAACGAGTGACCTATCCTGTACGCCGCGGTGGCGAACTCGTTGAGGACGCTCGGGTTGCAGGTCGGCGAGTACTCCTTGTAGTAGCCCTGGGGAAGCAGCTTCAGACCGTACAAACTAACGGCGTTCCAGCCGAGGATCCTGGGGAGGAACTCGTTGTAAGTGATGTGCTGCATCATCGCGCTGATGATGCGTCTCGTCTGGTGGAACAGCTTCTCCGTGTCCCAGTGGGGATTCGCCTGGCGGAGGCCCTCCATTATGCGGTTGTGCTCCCGGATCCACATGGTGTGCATCATCGCCAGGGCTGGCTGCTCCGAGACCCGGCCGTCCCCTCCTATGAAGCAGAACTTGGACCTGGCCTTACACTCGGGATGGGTCGCCGACTGCGGAAGGAGGTCCTTGCCACGATTCGGGTGAGACGTCACGTTCATTCGCCCGTTAAATCCCCTCAGGAGGTTGCAGACGCAGGGATTCTCACCGTAGACCACCGACGCATCCAGGAATCCCGTGTTCTGGTTCACCTGCTCCCTGGGGCCCAGGTGCTGCTGACCTGGCAGCGACCTCATCGACGGGAAGCACATGCGGCTCCCGGAGCTGACGTTCACCGTGGGATAAAAGTGGTCCCCTGCTGGTACCGGAAATGGATTGCACTCGGGATGCACCGTCCTCGGAGAGTCGCAGGACCTGCAGCTGGGGATCGACTCGGCGAAGCCCTTGTGGATCGGCGTCATCGTCAGGTCGTGGTCCAGGAACTGGGCAAACTGCATCACCATCAGGGTGTACCGGTTGTGGAGGTTCGAGATGTCCGGATGGATCACGGTTGAGATCACCCTGGGGTTGGGAAGAGGGATCCCCGTGACCGAGGTCGTCCGAGGCTTGGAGACCCCGTCCTCGTAGACTGGGGGCAGTAGTCTGGCGAAAGTGGTCAAGGACCTGCCTAGACTCGGGTTCCTCAGGTTGTTGCAGTGCCCGGAAAGGGTCCTGTAAGGCGTCGTCGGGTCGCAGGGACCATCCTCCGTTGGACAGTCGACCTCGTCGTGGTTCGTCGCTTTGTTGTTCGGAAGGAACCCTGAAATGTCGACGCTCTGCAGCAAGTCGGAGAAGTCGTTGCTGGGGAACCCGAGGACGTTGTCGGCGCTCTCGAAGACCTGACGCTTCCTTCTTCGCAGACCATGAGGACCGTTCACGATCTCGTTGGTGGCCAGCTCGTACAGGATGGAGGAGTTCGCCAGGAGGAGAGCGTCCTTGTTGGCCTTGGAGAAACTGGCGGCGGTGCCTGCCGGGGATTTAGGATCCGCTATTCTCTGCTCCCGCCAGGCGTTGTACTCCAGCTGCTTCCGCTCGACCAGGTCCTCTTCGGCCTTCTTCACGGCGGCTGCGATCACCTCGGGGTTCAGGTGGGCGATCAGCTCTGAGACCACCGTGGGATTCATGGAGTTGTCCACGATGGGCATCGGGATGGGCTCTTCCGTCCAGGCTACCAGGTCCAGGACTCCGTGCTGGTCGCAGCTAATCTTCGCGTTCAGGTACGGGTCCTCCTGGATGAAGGACCTGGGCTGGATCCTGCGAATACCCGCGTTGGCGCACAGGATGCCGGCCAGGGACACCTTCCTCACCTCCGCCAGCTGGGACGAGGAGAGCCCCGAAGGAGGGATGTCGTTCTCGTACCAGAAGCGGTCCGAGTTCCTCAGCTTCGCGAACTGCTCCTTCAGGAGGCAAGCAAAGGTCGGTCCCACCACTGCTCCTTCTCTGGGCACCTCTAATGCACCTCCTATCAACAGGTCCACGTCCTGCACCGAGTGGTAAATCCTGGACAAACTGGCCACGTCCTCGCTCCTCATCATCTCGTGCAGATCCGTGAAATTGATCGCATGGATCCCGGAGCAGTGCCCCAGGAAGTCGACGTATCCTGGCAACCCGTGGTCCCTGCCCACGTGAATCAGGAGCTCCGTGAAGTCCCACTGGCCCAGATTATTGAAGCGCAAGGACTCCTCCCTGTGGATCCCCAGGTTCACGCTCCTGGCGGAGGCCATCACGTGCGACTCCAGTTTCTCCGGGTCCTTGGAACCGCTGGACCTCAACGAGGTCAGGACCTGGAGAGCCGCCAACGCCGCGGCGTCGATGGCTCCTCCTCTGTTGGTGCTGGAGTACCCGTTGTAGAAGCCGCTCCTGGCCAGCCTCAGCTTCGGGTCCACCAGGGCGGCTTCTCCTAGGACGCTGGGCAGGAACTCGTTGAAGGTGACGTGCTGTATCTGGGCGACCACCGCTCTCCTCGCCTCCAGGAATATCCTGGAGTCGTCCCAGTGCTCGTTGCCCTCGGCCAGCTTGTCGGCCACTCTGTTGTGCTCCTTCAGCAACGCGTGGTAAATTCTCCCCAGTGCCGAAGAGTTCGACATCCCGTTGCAGACCTCGCAGCCGTTCGGGTCCACCTTCCCGTGGCTGTACCTCCGGATGCGGTGCAGCCTGTCGTCGTTGTTCCCGTAGATGTCGGACCCGTCTAGATATCCCGAAGCGCCGTTCATCTGCTCCCTGGAGACGAACTCGCAGCTGTGGGCGCTCAGGGTGGGCACCGATCTCCAGTAAGGTTTGCACTTTCCCTCTGGACCCCGACTCTCGAAGCACTCGGGGTGTCTCCTGGAACTCGTGCAGCATCCTGAACTCCTGGGGTCCCGAGATCTCTCATGGCCGAGGTGACCTGGGTGGATGCTGGACGAGATGTCCCGCAGGATCAGCTCCGACCAAATCCCCGAGAGGCTGGTCAGGCCCTCGTGGGACCTGGGGGACTCTCTTCCCGTCCTGATCCTGGACACCACCTCCGAGGCCGCGGGCAACTCGTGGCTCCCCGAGGACCGCCGCGGGCTGGATATCCCTGGGGACAGAAATCATCGGATTAGCTCCATTGGCACCCTCCAGCTATCCGATGGTGATCCTAAGGCACGGTTTTATGGACGTGGGCGACGTTTACCAGAAACGGCCCCGCCTACTTCGCTAAGATCGGAGACATTCATCTCGTCGTTTCACTTTTATCCGCACCCGGAGGGACCGCCAGGATGGAGTTATTAATTTCAACCCGTTGCCAGGTTTTCAGGAACTTATCCAGCGCGATACCCTAGAGCTAGTCAGATGTATTTCTCGCTCATTTCGTATTTCTTTTTTTTTCTTTTTTTCTTCGATCTTTTTATATACGTTATTTTTACGGGACTGGGGCCACGGGCGTTCATGTTTAATTCATTTCCCCGGGACTTTCGTTTCGCTATTTTTTACTTTTACTCCGCGCGAGGGCTGTTATTTAATTCCACGTCGTTGCTGGCTCAATTTCTAGGAGCGGAAGAAAATTCCTCCAGGCCGAGTGTGGCCGTTTTGAATGTTTTTAATTTTTTTTTCTTCTTTTTTTTAAATTTACGGGTCGCGAGTCGTAGGGCATTAACGCGTTAATGTCGGGCGAAGACCGATTGCATCCTCCACCTCTGTACGAGAACTTTCGCCTCGACTACTTTATTCCCGGCTATAATCCGATAATGTGTGACAAAGCCGATGCCGCCCAGGAGTTTAATAACATTCGCCCGCGACGTTTACTGCAATCCCGATATTAATGCCTTTACGAGCGAGGGGACTTTCATTTGGTCGTTAACTTTTATTAATTATCCCGATAAGAAGTTACGCCCGTAACGCTCGACGACTGTTCCTCAATGTTTTAAAGCCAACATTTCGCTGGCCTGATATCAGCGCTTTCCTCCATTCCCGATTATTCCCGATTATTGGTAATGAGTCATTCTAAATTATCCCCGAGGTAAATTGATTTTTTTTTTCTTCTTTTTTTTATCACGATTTTTGAACCGGGGATAATTTTCATAAGTAGCGGAGAAATCTCGATTATTGTATTGCGCCGAGGTAAACGAGAAAGTTGATCGATCCGAAGGAATATGCATTGCGGCAAGAGAAAGATAACCTCAAATCGTTCAAAGGGATCCCTGATCAATAAAAATTCATTTAAATTAATGATCGATCTTCCTTCTCAAGATAATTATTTCTTGCAATTATATACGAGTCGGGCAATGATATGTCGACGATATATCTTTGTATAGGGAGAATAATCTCGTCCTCGGTGGAATAATATATTATCGCGGAATCGGGAGGGACGGCGGAAAATGTCGAGATAAATGGCCGCGAAGGCCGCTTTCTTCGCTGCGGCCTCGCCGGTGAAAGTAGTCGAAAAATGTCCTGCGGTGCCTCTCGAAAAATCGAGATATCAAAGGGATCGGGCGGTTTACGCGTGCGTGACCTTTTTCCCATATTCGGGAACACGCGTGTGGCCTTAGTCGCGCTGAACGTCGCCATTAACAAATTCCTCCGCGAAGAGCGCGTTCCTTCTCTCTCGTTTCGTTTTTTGTTTTATATATATGTATATATATATATATATCTTCCCCTCCTCTGTCTGCCTTTTTTAATACATTCTGGACCGGTGACATTTTCACTATTTCGAGGTCAACGAGTCTTTGATGGCGAGCGAATAAGAGCCACTGGCCCAGGGACCGGCGAACGGGTCCGACTCTCTTCGCTCTTGTCACTTTCATATTTTCGTTTCTCGAGACTGGCTCCTGCTCTTCCCTCCCGGTCCCCTTTCTCGAGAGCCCTGGACAGAAGTGAAACAGTCGGAAAAGCCCTGGGTGAACGCGGAGGAGCCGATTTTCCCGGTCTTCAGGAAACGTCCAGGGCTCGACGCGCAACGGCGAGACTCGCACGCCGTCACGCAATGGCGCTGGCCAGCTGTTTATTATTTAAACGGCGGGATGTCGCAACTACCGGCTCTCTATTTCAACGGAGGTGCCACCCGAATGCTAATCCCCATTTCTAATCGAGACCAGGCTGGCCAACAGCGTGCCGATTCGAGCCTTCCGGCGAAGACCGGAGTCTTCTGCAACGCGTCCCACGTTTCACTTTCCACGCTCGACCTAGTGCACTTCCCGGTGCTCTTTGATGGCCCTTTAAATAGCATTACTTTTAGAAGGATAGGCAAATTTACAGCTATTTTTAAACCTTACTATGTGAATTTCGAGTGCGGTAGTCTTACCGTCTGCGTAAGATGGCGGCAATATCCTCAAATATGGCGACCCTCTTGCACCCCATGCAGGATGCCTCACGTTGTTGCAAGCTCCGGAGGGAGTTCTAAACTTGCTAGGTGGACATGCACTTTCTGCCCTCGTCCTGCACTCCGCGTTCCCCGACGCGGCTACATCTCTGGGCCTGAAATTTAAACGGAAATTCATGTTGCTTCCCGTTTTATTCTTGACATTCATGTCGCTATGTTTTTTCTAACGCGGTTATATTCCCATTTCCTTGACATCCGTGATGAGCAAAATAACCCTTTTTAATTTAATTCCCAGGAAGAACGAGAAGGAAAGTGGCGTTCGCCAATGACGTCACGAGTCCGTCCCTCTGGTTCACCTCGAGCGGCGCTGCGGTCGCAGAAGGCTTCCACTTCCGCGGTACGTGCTATTAAACGGTCGCCAGAGTCGAAACGCTCGAAGAACCGACGAAGAGAGACGCCAGGTGACGCGGCGGAGAGACGGCCTTCCGCTTTTGGAGCGTCCTCTTTTTATCCTCCACGCCGAGACTTTTACTTTCATGGCCGCGGAAAGAGCGGACCGGCCGGGCCGGGTGTCATGGCGGCCCGTTTCGCGTCCGTGGCCATTTACCGTCTCGATCCGCCTTTCCACGGCCAAGATCGACCCAGAGATCGCTAAACTGGGAATCGCCGTCAAAGCGATCGTTTAATAATATCCCCATACAATGGTGCTACCGGAATTCGCGGCTGTGCGGATTAAGACGCGGAAGGACGCGGCCTCCGTGCAAATAGACCATCTATCGCATCCGCCATTGACCCATATCCGTGACGAACGTCGCCGGATTAAATTCAGCGGCCTTAGACTAGACTTAGATTCCGGGTGATCCATTTGGATCTAAGAAAGAGAGGCGCAGGTGTCACCTGTGACTCCTTTCCTTGAGGTTATGTCCTTCGACCCGACCGCGGGATGCTGGATTATTCGCGTTAATTCCTGACAGAAGTCGACGTTTAAGGAGGGGTTTCGTGTCGGAGGATCTCAAACAACGATTCGGATTGCGATTCCCTAGATGGATCAGCGGAAGGGCATGAAAAACGGAATTCTAGTCTGGCAATCCGCAAGGGCGCGCGCCTCGTCGGCCGCCATTGTTCCTGGCGGTGGAAGGACGATAAAACGGGGGATATTTCGAGCACCGGGCATTGGCCCGGGCTGTAAATCCGCGCTAAACTCTCCGTCGATTTCCTGCGTCCGTCTCTTTTTCCTTTGTACTCGAGGAGAGGGAACCAGACCGGCCTAGGGGAAATTACCAGGACTGGTACGCCCGCCGCTCCGCTTCGACCGCGACGCGTGCTCTCGCCTGCAGGTCCTCGTCCACCCCGTAGACGTACTCTGAAAAACAAGGAAAAGCGTCATAATCGCGTAATAAAACTACCGGTTCGCCTGTCTGCCTACAAATCCATAATTCGAGCGGTTAAACCGCGGTTAAACGGCATTCGGCCAATGGACTCCGCCGAATGTCGCGTTTCCCCTATCGGCGCCCCTTAACGGCCGACTCTCATTATTTATTAGTAACTCGGGAACTCGTCGCGAACATGCAAGAAGAACGACTAGGAAATTACCGGGTTTTCCTTCTGCAGGAGTCGTAGAGCGGCAATTAACTGACGTCCAAGAAAAGACCTTTCGACGCCGCCGCCGCTGGGGAGCGCGAATGAAGTGGTCGGTTAACGTCCTGTCATCTCGCGTACAACATAATTAACCGTGTTACCTTTATCGTGTGCATTTTCCTCCGACTGGCGTGACGATTATCGTTCGGGGTGACGATTAAGCCACTCGGGGCTCCGGCGCCTCGTTACGACGCGTTAACTACACAATTGAACGACAATGGCCGCCCGCCGTGTTCAATTAGCGCGAGACAAGGCTTCACTTAGGTATCATTTCCAATTTCTAGTTCCCTGCCCTCGAAAACCGCGATGGGAATAATTCTCCCGAGAATTCTCACCGAATTATGCCGCGAATCTAGTGTCTAGCGAGGCAGATGTTCGATTTTTACAATTTTCAGACGGAGCAAAATGACCACTTCGACCGAGTTTATCTTGACGCAAATGTTCATTTCCAGATGCGCTTGCGTAACGAGGTGCATTACCCCGTGATGTAACAAAGTTAATGTAATGTTGCCGGTCACATTACCGCTACACCACCTAACATTACCGCTAACGGTAACGCCGATGTCGCTGGAAGGTCAACGACGCGACTTTGCGTTTCCCAATTTCGGCTCCAACAGTGCCCGGTCGAAACGCTCCTTTCTCGAGATGGGATTATTAAGGCCTAAACACCGTTTCTTGTGAAGCCGTTGCCGGATTTTTTCCCCCTCGATTCCATCGCGTGCCGCCGGTTGAGGTTATGCCCCGAAATTGCGCAAGGAAGGAACGGAGAGAAGCGAGGAATAAGTGGAGGCGATCTCGCCTGTGCAGGCGGCGGGCGTTGAAGTCTCCGAGAGGTCTCCCTGTGAAAACCGCTCGTAGACGTCCAGGAAAAATTTCTAAGTAAAAAAATAAATTTTTTGCGGCTACTGTAGGGTCTCTCTTTTCCTCGGAATGGGATTAATCTAGCTGAAAAAAAATTCCTCTCGAAATTGAGCGAACCAAAACGAGTCAAATGCGTGGCCGAATCGCGCGCGTAAAAGGCATCGTGAAAACAGGGTAATTGCGGTAACGAGACTCGGTGCGTCGGTTGGGCCATCGCTCGTGCGCGATTTTTCATCGCGATATTCATGATTCGTGTATGATCCATGTATGATCCATGTACGATACACAGGCGACACGCGTTGCGACCAGATTCGCCGTAACGCCGCGCGCGATTACCCCTCGAAACGAGCGTGGGAATAATCCCAGCATTGTCCCGGGGAAAATTGCGTTACCCGACTCCACTTGATGAAATTCGACGTGCTGAAAAGCGGGATCACGTGACGCTTTTCCAGGGGGTTCAATAATTGAATCCATATAATATTGAATAATTCCCGATGACCCCTCGCGGGCGGCCACACACTTACCGGAAAGGTCGAACTGGTGAACCGCCGGAGAAAGTGCGCAGCTCAGGGCAAAAACTGCAGACAGCAGTCCTAGGCTGGTTCTGAAACGAGATCGATTACATCCATTAATAATCGCGACGATTAATATGAAATGGAGTATTAATTAATATAAAATCAAGAGGTCATTTCGACGGAGGAAGGAAACCGTACAGAGACGCGTCTTCCAAGTCGCGCAGGAGAGTCGGCTTGTTTCAATTTGAGACAATCGTGAAATCTAGCGCAGTGTGCCAATTCCAGTATTAGTAGAGAGTCGAAAACCGTCGAGAGGAAAGACGCGCGCCGTTCGCGATACTCCGCTGTGCCGTGGAAAGAAAAGAAAAAGGAATCATAAGAAATGAAAGTCAACGCCAACAGGGGGAGAGAAAGATGTCGCGGTAACCTTCCTCGGATGTTCCGCCGTTCGTCACGGTACGAGGCGCCTCCACCTGGCGGCGAATCGATGAGAGGCGAATAACCATGAACATAATACCCCTGTATCGGTGGTTCGCCATCTAAGGTGCCTCCGTCGTCACCGGACGGCCGAGAGTTCCAGCGATGCTTTCCGAGCGTGCGTCACCCTCACATGCCGCACGCGCGCCATTTTACATAACTTGGAAGTCGCAGAAATAAGGATGATTAATTTAATAACGATCTTGCGCGACAACCTGCCCACTCTAGAGTCATACGAGCGGGAAATAACGACGAAGGGGTACGTGCAGAAAATACCTGGGACGCGTAGTCCACCTTTGAGGAAGAAATTACACGCGTGTAGGAGCGACGCGATGACCAACGTCGGAAAATAACGGAAAGCCGCCGTGAGCGCCGGAATGCCTTTCAGACTTGCACTTTCTCCGCTTATGTGCGGCCGCACAAAAAGAGAGGGAAAGGGGGAGCCGGCACGCGATCGCATCGGAAACTCCATGAAATATCCGGGATTTTAAACCGTGGAATAATGAATTCGCCGGGGATGCCTCCGTGGGGATGGTCGGCCATCTTGGATTTTAATTACCCAGCTTAGGACGGCGCGCGATGAGAACCGCTGAACGGACTTTCAACGATAACGGGCAATGGCGAGGTAACGACACGGTACCATAAGTAAGCAGAAGTAAGAGCAGGAATTAAGGCCCCTTAGGGCGATTCGAAACGAGATCTTGGAGCGTCAAGTCCAGGGACCGATATCGCCGAGGGGCACGCGCGTTCCCCGGCCCTTGTTCCGCTTTATTCAGCTTCTTGGAGCCGCTACACCTTTCATATCCGAGGAGAGTGCCTCGCAGGGAGAAAGAGAGAGAGATCCATGTAAACCTTGCTTAAGATCCAATGCCAAGGCACTACGTGAGTCGCGCCGTCGCCATGCTACGTGGTCCAAATGGCGCACCGTTAACGGCGTGGGTCAGTGCCAAGGATGTTAACGGAGAAATTGAAAGGAATTAACAGTCACTTTCTCTCTCTCTCTGAATTCTCTGAATTCAGTTCTACACTATCTGAATATGTGTCGAATAAAGGCCGCGACGGTGGGAGGGAAAAAATTCGTGGCTCTTAGGAATATTTCTGCATTTTCTCGCCGATTCAAAATGGCGGCGGCGGCCACGCGATCGCCAACGGTCTGAGGCGTGGAAAAGGTGAACGGTTTCCGGGAATATCACGAGCCACGGACCGCCGACTGGACTATTAGTCTATCACTTTAATCGGAGATACACTTTCCTGCGGAAGGGGTTATGTGCGGTTTAGCGGCGCGCCATAATTCAGTGTCAGTGGGTCACGCCGGGAGAAATCTTTCCGCGGTCGGCCGCCACGCACGTGGGTGCGTACGTCCATGTGCGTGCCGAAATGCTCTCGGCCAAAATACACTGCACAGATTTCGTGTCTCCTCTCTCCCTCTCCGGGGCCCCGACATTTTGTGACATCGTTCCAAGGCCGGGAAACCGATTCGATTTCACTCGGCGCCATGTTGCTTTCGTTGCTCGCCGTCTTTGGGACAAGGACTCTTCCGACCCCCTTCTAGACGCATTAATAAATCATTATAATTTATTTCATGAATAAAGTGATATTGGTTTTGATTTAACGCTTCACTTTTTACAGTCACGGTGGAAAGTTGGGGCGAAGAAAAAGCGAGATGTGGAGGTCTAAGAAGAGCAACCTTCCGCCAAGTGCGCGGTCGTTTTTGCTGGATGAAAAAGAAACGAGGAACCCCAAGGCGCGAGTAACCGCAGATGCCCTGTTAAAAAGAAAAGGAAGAGTCGGGCCAGGAAGTCGAGGAACGAACCGGACGCCGCACGGCAGCCATGTTGCGGCCAGTCGACAAAACTCGGCCAGGCTGCCGCGGATTGCGCAAATACGCAACTAATTCCCACTTCACTGGACGTTAAACGCGTGGTTAAGGCTAGGAATTAATGAGTTGTCCTTTCTATGGGTGTGCGATCACCGCTGGGAGCTGCGAAAATGTGGGAGTACGCGAAAACCACAGACTCCGTCGAACGGAGGAAGACATCGCAGGGACAAGCTGGGGTTAGCTTGAATATTAATTAATGATATTCTTCCCATTAGAGGGAAGGGGCGAAAATTTGGAGGAACCAGGAGGGTGCAGAGACCACAGCTCGGGTAAACGGAGGAGGACGCAACTGGACACCGGACGGTCGCCATTTTGCGGTAAATCGGTGCTCGGCGCTTTGCGGTCGCCTCGGGGACCAAATCGGACTTTTGCTAAAAAGTTTATGACAAGGGTGACTCGAGGAGTGTCCCCGAAAAAACGACCAGCCATACAGGGAGGAAAAATCGCGCCGAAGAAAAGGAGCGGCGCCATCTTTGATGCAAGACAAAAGGCGCACCGTAAATCAACTCCCATGCGTTACTTCATGGACGCACCTGGAACTCGGGTGAAAATCCTCCTCGAGATGCACCTTTGCGCTGGAAACGTTGCATACGCGGAGAGGGAATGACGTAATTTGGTACTTTGCCGCATAGAAGAGGCTGAGAGGTAAATCAGTTTCCATACAACAAGGATTGGCCAACTCGCATCAGCAGGATCCTGAAAGTGAAGCAACGACCCGAAAACCTCGCCGATAAAAAATGCCAAAAAATCTACATACTCGATCATTGCTTATTTCCATACCACGATAAATTCCAGCCAAATTACGTCGTCTGTACCACATTCATCCAAGGTAATGAAAATTATAATGCATAGCTACATTTAATTAAATAAAAAAAGAAATTCGGTTAGGTGTGCTGAGACTTATGCAAATTTACAGGGACTTTTGTCAGGGCGGAGAAGTAAAGGCGGGCGAAGAATGAGGAGAGAGGTGGAGACGGCGAGGGAAAAGTACATGAATGGACCGGCATTAAATTCCACGGGGTAATAAACCGTGGTGTAAAGCGACGCGAGGAAGTGCTCGCCAGGTGAAAGTGGTCACCGAGTGGCCGATCTAGTTGGGTTTCTTGGCCGGCGAAGAGAAAGAGACAGAGACGGAGAGGGAACGACAGGACGAGACTTAGGGGAATTTAAACGATTTGCGGGGAGAATCGAAGGTCGTCGGTACACCCTGACCCGTTTCCAGAGAGGCGACATGTCGCGAGTCGCCGATAATGGCGACTCGCGACGAATCGGTTACCGCCGTCGCCGCGTGCCTTAAAGGTGGCTACACACGCAACGATAAATCCTAGGCTTGTAATTTGTGCAGTTAAATCGAGTTCTTCTACGAGTTTACACGGATTTATCGCGAGGATTTATCGTTACGCGCCACCTTAGAGTTTCGTAACATTCGCGCGCATCTAGCAGGTCACGTGAGAACCAAGATGGCGGCGAACTCTCCGATCCAGAGGAAAGATCCACCTGGAGAATTTGGGGAAGAGGACACACCGCACGGAGACACTGGGAGTATTTTAAGCTCGTGGAATGGCATTCCTACAAATGAGAATGTAAATCGGAGGGAGATTTAGGTTTTGTTGCGGCCATGTTTACGAGGAATTCCGTTCTGCCTCGCGTCCTGAAATTCAAGAAGTACGAACCAAGGCCAGAATACAAGCGATGCTACTTATAAAGCAGAAAAGCCGGATAAAACCCGATCTTCGGGGGAAAATGTGAGAGTTTGAGCGACGTTGGTTCTATCTCCATTCATGCCACACTAATTAGACATCCCGGTGATTCATTTTCGACGGAATGGCGGCAAAAAAGGTGGGTGAATAATTACGTCGGGCGGTTTCGGAAGAATCTCGAAATCTAGAAATTCGCGGCACTAATGGCGGACACCCGCTCGAGGGGGATGGGGATAGAGACGAGCGAGGTATGTAAATCGATTTCGCCGGTCCGGATTCACCGCGGCTGACGAAAGAGACGCCGCCGTCGAGCAGTCCGATGACACCGAAAGAGAAGGATCGATAGAGGAAAGAAATCGTAATAACAGGGAATAAATGTTTCACTTAAGATGAGGTTAAGAGGCGAAAGTAGGGGAAGGGTTCATCGAAAGCGGTTCTCCTTGACTCCTCGACTCGTCATCCTCTTTTCCTCGATTACTTAAGAACCGGCGGCGGGGGTGACGCCGAGCTAGAAAAAGGAACGACCGGGACGACACAGTCCACCTAGAGAGAACCGATTGCGTGCAGACGGTGCATCGATCGCGGATCGGCCCGCTCGTTATAAGTTATGTCCAGGTTTTCCTCGTATCCCGGAATCGCGAAAGATGTCGTCGGGACTTCCCTGGGATTGAACAATCGCGTACTTCCCTGAAAGTTGCGTTGCGACCGATGAAGCAGCTCTGCATTTTTATTAGCGCCTGCGACAACTGTGATTTTTCTACTTTTTTTAACCGGATGAGGAATTTCCGAGCGGACAAAATATAACTAGTCAAGCAGAGCCGTTTCGTCGGTGTTTTATCGGCTCTGCTTCACGTAAAGTTCCTTATCAAGTTAAAAACAAAAAATCGCAGATGCTAAAATCGCATCGGCTAAAATTTCATGATCCTTCCAAATCGCATGGACACCTCGATTTCTACGGGGGATCTTTTATTTCCCCAGGAATTTTCGAAACCGGACTAAGTAGACCAGGTGCCGTTGCAAACGGTAATGTCGAAAGTTTCTTCTGCGTAGGTACAGCCCTTGAAGGCCGGCCTCCTTACACAACGCGCCTCGGCATCCGAGACCCCTGACCTACGATAATGCGGTTTATCCGCGTGCCGCAATACCGCGGTCACGGCCGCACGATAATTCCCCTCGGGATCGGTGACACTTCGGTGATCACTTCCATTGTCAATGGTCATCGTCCACTGGGAATTGTGCGATCCACTAAGTGGGCGCCGCCGCCATGTCGCGCCGAAAGCGCCGATCGGATTTAGCAAAGCATTGTTGCGATACAAGGGCCATTTATTGGCCCATTATCAAACGATACGGGCCTTTTTCCTAGACAGGTTTGCACAATCGAATCACGGGTCGCGCCGTCTAGCAGAAAACCTTCGAGCTCGCTCTCGCGATCTACGGTCTCCGGATCGGCCCTGCATAACGTTACGTTTTCCTGAGATCTGGTTAGATCGGCGCTTTCGGCACCTCCGAGTGACACGGCTGAGAGGCCACCGTAACACCGCGGAAGGGGAGAAAAAGCAACTTATTTTCCCGGAAAAAGGGAGGAAACGTCACTCGAGACGAGGTGATGGGTCGGAGAAATCTTGTTGGATAACCTGAGCACCTGTGCAGGTGTTGCAGGTTCCTGCTCCACTCACTTGTCACTTGTGAAAAACGAAAAATTAATAGGGTGTATGATCCGTGTGTGGTCTTAATTCCTTCGCATTAGGGGTCCTTAATTATGGAATCAACGCCTTGCCGAGCCATTTCCGGTTCACCGATTCGTGACGAACCTCGCTTATTGTTCATCGAGGGGAATATAATAAAACGCGGTGAATGCGGTGGAGTTGGTCGAGCGACCGATAAATGATGGGGTCCTTGATACGAAGTGGTAATACGAGCCGCGTATCTTCATATCCCTCGAAGGTTAATGGAAAGCAACGAGGAACTCATCCATTGCGTACCAAGAGAATCCCGAATGAAGTCTTCCTCCCGAAGACGTGAAAACCGCGAGACGAGGTAACATTCGTAAAAATCTGGGAGCATTTATGACCAACAATCGAAACGAGGTTATCGATGAAGTAGCCAGAACGTGTCGCCGAATGGCCACCTTGAGTGCGCCCATTTGCAAGTGGACGAGGGGTGATAAGGTTTTCTTGACCCCAAAATAGAAAGTATTAACCCGAAAACGGGTCGAGGCCAGCGACACCACGATAAGACACGGATACTGCCCTGCACCCTCCGCCCTCCCAAAGTGACGCCTCCACCCTGAAGACACCTGCTCCAGCGCAGCCTCCGAGAAGCTACTCGTCTTTTTCAAGCCATCCACGATTCTAGACGCCAAACCCACCCGGGATGTGAAGGTTAAAAAAAGGAAACCAAACTCTTACCGTGCGAAAGCGATCCTCCTCATCGTCGAAGTTCCTCTCTCCTCTTGTCACTACTTTCTCTCTCCCTCTCCCAAATCCCTGGTATCACGCCGAGCACATCGATGGAGCCGGTGTCTCTCTCTCTTTCTCCGGGCCCTTTCTCCTTCTTCCCGCGTGAGAGGTCGAAAGCGATCAGCGGGACGTGGAGGTCGTGCAAGCGTCCCGGGTGAGCCAAAGGTGGCGAAAAATGAGAAATCGGAGGTGTCCCCTTGAGGGTCGACACGGATCGACTGCACCAGATCTCGCGGCTGGCGATTCGCGAGGATTCCTCGAGGACGAGGAGGCTCTCAGAGGATCCGAGATCCGGTGGGACCGACTCGAAGACCCCGTCGCGGGTTCCTGAACGGTCCGTCGCCGGTTAGGACTTGGAGTGCTCCTCGGGACCGAGGCGATCCGTATTTACCGCGGCGGACACCTTCTCCTATGGTTAAAAGACCTCTCCCTCCTGCGAGCTGGCGACCCTACTCCGACCGGATCGATTCTCCTACCTCCTCGCCTCTCTCCTTCTCTCTCGGCTGAGGTCTTTCTCTACATCCTTATCTTCCTCGCCGTGGGTCTCGTGCCTCTCCAAGGAACGTCCTCGTCGTGGGTGGACCAGGGTGAGTCGGATAAGGCCTCTTTGACGCGATGACCCGCACCGATCGGCACGTTTCTTCTGACCTAAAAGAGCAAGAATCGCTACTACAGTGCAGATTATGGTATCGCCTCGTGATTTACGAGCTTACTGGGAACTTATTGCGCTACTTCAGGAGGTTCGAAGCCTCTGCCTTATCCTGTCGAAGTCGAGAGTCGATGTCGATGTCCTGTAACGATGGAAATATTGGTATACATCATGGACAAGGTGTAGGTGTGAGCTCGAATTGGCCTTTATATCAACTGGTTTTTGGAAAGCGATTTTTTTTCGCCGGTCCAGGAGGATGCACCCAAGTGAGAGTACGGGATTCCTGAGAGATTCGAGAAATCGAATTACTTTCGATCGTGGCCTGCCCGGTTTTTGGAACGAGAAATGGTCGCCCACGCTGCTCCTTTCGAATCGAATTATCACGGTTTAAAATTCGGAGATAAAGACGAAGAGGACCCTGGACGAGGATCCCGAAGGATGCAGGCTTGACCTCGTCCTTCGGGATTCCCGCTAAATGTGCATCCTCCTCCGAAGGTGCAAGGAGTGATGATAATGCGCTTAATGTTCGCATTATCATCACTCGCGGGTGCATCCTCCGGGCCTGGCATTATTTACGAGCGGAGATGCTGAAGATTAACGAGGGATAAAGGAGGTCCGCGATAATCGATAAATCGCCAAAGATAGGAGACGAGTCGAGGCGGGAAAAAAAATGGAATCACCAAGGTGAGAGTTGGAGACTCGAATGCTGGAACAGGCACGAGGAAGATAAGAAGACGGACAAAGGACCAAGGTGAAGTCCTTCGTTCGTCTCATCCCCGTGGCCATTACCCCATTAATTAATATTCATATACGCGGCACATTATTCCCACTAAATACAATATTTCTTATAACAAATAGGAACTCTCATCGCAAATACCGACTCAGCGGAACTCAAACTAAGCATGAAATTTTGGAAAAATAACGCAAAGGATGCACGCGTAGAAAATAAACGCAAGTGTAAGATAAATGTGGGCGATCGAAGGCACGCGGGGGTGCAAGGTACCAATTAAGCGCCTATTGCCAAATCGAGATGGGAATTCATAACATTACGTTAATTACCGATAGCGAGTCACGGAATCCTCGTTTCCTCGTTTCTCGCAACGGATCTTCCTATTGTGTAATGAAGCCGGTATTATGCATTCGATGACACAATCCCACCGGAGGGGTCAACGTGGAGTCGCTCCTCGTAGAATCGGGTCCCAGGATCCTCGATTTTAGATTTTAGATGTGTCTTTCCTGGAAAGTCCACAGAAAGGGGTCGTCTTCTCCGAAAATCCTTCAGATTCTGCCATTGATATCGGTGATAATTACGAGGGTAATTAAATAGGAATCGTTGAATGGCTCCCCTAGGAAAAAGTCGCAAGTTTTATCGTCAGGATTTATCGAAGCCTGCTGATAAAGCATCGAAATTACGGAATTATGTGGAGGTACGGAACAAACGAAAGCACCGGGCCTAATGACCGGGTTAATAGTCTCTTAACTATCGGCCCGCATAAAGCGCTTACGAAATAATTAGCCATTCGACGCGGCGCCATCTTGAAACGGACGATGTACCCGATATACCGGAATCTCGATTTTACATACCCATTGCCCTAATCATGGGCAGTTGGAATGGCCGACAGGTGTCCTCATGTTTAATTTTAACCGATCGCCGGATTCCATCGCCCTCCGCATCCGGCTAAGAATTATTCCGATTGTGGAAACTTCTTGCGAGGACTCCTTTTTTAGGCCCACCGTGATTTCTTTCCTCCTGCGTTCCCGGATTCCGTGGAGTGGGTGAAGAAAAGATCGCGTAAATTCCGCGTCGTCGCTGACGAGAAGGTCCTGTGAAAAGGAGAGATGAATACGGCCGGTGCGCATCCCGAAGAAGTCTTCTCCTCCACGACTGCGATTACTTACGATTTGACGTTTCTCCTATTTTTAACCCGCTGCTTTCATAGATTTCACCGGCCTAAACGGCAATTAGATGTCGAGGTGCCTTATTTCCAGGGACGCAGAACGCCTTCTTAGAAAGCTTCTGGGCGAAAGAAAAAAAAAACATGGAAAACTGTCGCAACGGAGCCATCGTACACGGTTTCACAATGAGGGTCAAGGATGCGGCCATTACGGTACCCGAAGAGTCCGAATACCAAACGGACGCGCCGGCCACGAAACGGTAACGTGCCGGCGAGCACTCATCCTTGAGTAAAAGTTGCACTTCCCAGAACCAAGAAAGTCATTGCAGAACTCGAGGACCGGTCTCCAGGAATCCCGACGGAGGAGCACTTCGGAGAAGCCGAAGAGTCCTTCGCGCAAGGTCCGTCAGGACAACCAGACGAGATCCTTGGATGGCCGATACATGTAGCCTCTATGTATGTACACTGGCGGTCATGAATGGCTTCCTCGTGTACATGGTGCAGCCTGGTGGTAGTAACGTAAACGTAACGTAAAAAACGAGCTCGAGAACTTGCGTACTTGCGGTACCTGATGTATAATAAACTGTAAAATAATTAATATAATAAAGCAACTTATTGAACGATAACAATGAGTACGTTTAATTAGACGAGCGTGTCTAGCAAACCCTCTCCTACCTATTCATAAACTTGTGTTCGTGCCTGCCAAAAAATATAAATTGACGCCGGGGAGGTAATCAAGTCCTGGCCAGAGTAGAAGCCGGAGCTCGACACGTGCGACGTCATAGATCTCGCGGAGCTCCTCCGGAGTTTCCTCTGCCATTAATGCCCGGAGGGCCAAGAGAAGCCGGAGCTTCTTTTTACCCGGCGGAATCCGAAACCTCGAAGGCAAGTTCCTCGTCTCGTGATCTTGAAATCGGCCCCGCCGCTATTTTTCCTCATTCCTCGGGTGCCGGGACCAGCAGGAATGAAGATGACCCGCGCGGAGGCCGAATCACGTGGCGCGATTGGACGATAGTTTCGCCGCGGCGGCGCTGGCGTTGGACGCAACACGTGATAGGGCGGCGCGGGGAGGGGTGGGGCACAAACCACGTGAGAGGGACGCGCGGCAAAGCGGGGCCCGAGTCACGGGACTCTAGTGAAAGTGTCCGAGGAAGACGGAAGAGTCGGCTTCGAGACTCTTCTTTCTTTCTCGCTGATGGCACAAACAACCTCGCTGGATTACCACTGCCTGGTTATTATAGTTATAGGTTATACACGCGGCCGCGGAATGGAGGAGCGTGCGCAATTCCGGCAATCCTGAAGGCACTCCTGGGAAGGGATGCGTCGAGTCGAATATTTTCATTCGAACTGAAGTCGATTCGGCAGATCAGCGATACTCCTTGGTAACCGGGAACCGAAGAGTCCTTTTCTTTTTCTGAAAGAAGAGGTCGGAATTAATTGAATCCGGTTTGGAGGCAACATTTTGGCAAGCCCGAAGACACACCTGGGAAAGGGAGGCGTCGAATATTTTGCTCCGGTTTGAGTTAATTCGGCAGTTTATCGATATTCCTGGGAAACCTGGTGTCCTTCCTTCCTGGGGACAGATATGGGAATTAATCGAATGCGGTTTAGAAGCGCTTACAGGCAAAGTCATTAGCATCGATTGCATAGGAGCCCCAAAAACTCGGGCCCAGGATATGTGTTAGTATGTCGGAAGAGCCCATATGGCAGCGGCGAGAGTGACTCCATTGAGTAACACCCGGCGAAGCGATCCGCGTGTGACGGACACATCGGGCACCCACATCGACGCGGCATACGTAATTCCGCATGCGTAATTTGCGGCCGCACCGCTACCGATTCACCTAGAGCGAGTCGCGCTCGGAAGCGAGGTTAGGTCGCGGCGCGCCTCCTGCCGAACGTCTGACGGATGTGACGTCACCGGCTAGCCCCTCGCGATCGGAGATCGGTTCAAGGCTCCAATAAGTCATCGGCTCTTATCCGATCGCTCGCGACCAATCGGTGGATTTGCATAATTACTAATTTCGCAGGTGCTGCCCCTGGAGGAGAGGATCCTAACCTCTCGCTCGGCGGGGAAGTGAGACCAAACCGGCGAAGAGGAGAGGCCGTGAGAATGTATTGCCCCATGGCAAATATTAGCGGACGAACGTTCATAAAATTGTTCGGCTCAAACTCGACGAATCCTCCTTTTCGGGTGGATCTCCATATGCCAAGGCTCCGGGCGTTCCTTCTTCCCCGGCTCCCGGGATTGCGTAATCGCGTCTAGCGGATTAACGTTCGTCTTTCCTGTTCCGCTGAACCGCTTTTCCTTTCGTTTTTCTTCCGTCCGACGTAGGACCTGCGGTCTGCGGTCTAGTCGAGCTCGGCTGGAAAAAAAGGAAAGTGTTAATAGCGGTGAAAATAATCTTAAAATGGAGGCGCATTCCACGTCTACATATGTCGTCTAATGTCACGGGATCGCGCGCTTTCCCGTGGATGTTTGTATGAGGCCCCTGGGAGCGGAGGACCAATATTTATCCGGTCGGTTTGCATTCTGTACAGTCAAGGATAGATGCCCGGAGTTCGAGTCCCGTGACTTGCAAGGACGTCGTACCTTCGGCTGGAGGGAGCAGCGCTCCTCTCTCCCGATTTTTCCGACGAACGCGGGAGAGAGAGTTCCGGGAAAGGAGTTCCCTGAAAAGTGGAAAAAGTCCTCGGTCAGGAAACTCGGTAGAGTGCCGCGCCAAATACATTTCAAAGCACCGAATACTTGACGCCAAAATTCGGCACATCGATTCTAGAAATATTTATTTTTCGATTAAGAGGACTTATGGATAAACGATTACTCGCTCTCAATCCGCACAGGGATTCGTCTTATCAGCGATAAGGGAACCCCTCGGCGACGCTGCCACCTGGCGGCGGTGCCCCGAAACGCGTGCACGCAATCGCCGATTGGTCCTCTGGAAAAAGAGAAAGATGCACGTATATAGGATGCCAAAGAGCGAGAATGAGACCGGGAAAGAAGAGAAACGATCCAGGAACAAGCAGAGAGATAAACGAGCCGTGCACTGACCCGCTTTCCGCTCAGACACATCCTTGTTTCATAATAACTGCCTCGCGTTAGTTCTTCTGAGCGCAACGAGCCGGGCCTTCTGCATTATCACACGCGTCCTGCAAAACAATATGGCGGCTACACATTGCGCAAGAAAAAAGCGCTTAGAACGGCTTAATTGTACCGAGTAAACGGTGAAATGTACCGCGGACGGGATGTATCGGATCTGAGGAGACTTACGGTGCAATCCTCGCAGAAGACTCTAATTCGAACGCGCACATGCGTAATTGAATATGCGAGGTGGCACGCTTCTTCATTAGCACGTGAGTTCTACAAAACTACGTGACGTGTTCGGATTGTGCAACCGAAAGATACTCCTGGAAAGGCCAGGATATAGCCAGCACCTGAAATCTAATAATTACATTAAAAATGCAGAATTACTCCCCGAATCCACTCTGGACTCGAATGCGGTTCATCGAGGCAACGAGTCTTCCAATATGGCGGCGCGTCCCGACTCGCCGGGAGGACTTTCTCGATATTCCAGTCACTGGATCGGGAAACTGAACGAATCGAGGGAAATATGGAAGCTATAATGTACAGGGAAACCGTCTCTGACGCTTTCGTGACAAAGGCCGCAGCGGAACGGCCGATACGTCGATTCGAAAGTGCGAGTCGAACGGTGACGCGCTGGAGAAGACATTATGGCATCCCGTGTCGCTATTCCGGGCACGAGGAACTAGTCGTACCGGCATGATCGCCGTCTAATCATACTTTTTCATCTTCGGCGTCACATGATCATCTTCCCCGGTGGAGTCCACGAGGCGATCCAGCGAACGCGCGATCTTTCTTTCGAGGAGCTTTCACCGAATCGCGTTACAACGCCTATCCGGTCACGTGAGAGCTCGTGGCACTCTCCGACCGGTTGGATCGGCCGGAAGCGATCGAGATCCACGCGGAGAATCGGCGCCTCTCGCCGGAAAGAAATGCAGGAAAAATCGATCGATCGATCCCCTTCGAACCGGTTGTCCGGGCAACCGGTGCTCGATATAATAGCGCCCCGATAAACATATGAAAGGGAGAAAAGGAGAGCTCGCTTCCGTTCTTATCAGCGGCACGGCAGGAATGTCGATAACTTTTCCTTTTATCGAAAGCGAAGCGACTTGGAGTACGCTCTTATCTCGTTTGCAGCTTCTCTTACGCAACCTGCTTCTCGTTTCCGCGTATCGGTTGGTCAAAAAATCCCCATTTTTACTCCTGCCTCTCGCGTTTCGGTTATATAATCAACTCGTACCTGATGTATCGCGTTAATTTAGCCGGTTGTACCTTTTCGCCGTTTTGTTTCTTTGCGCCTTTCGTAGTTGTGTAATGCGCTTCTCGAACATAACGTCACGTTATTGCAACCACTGCTGTTATTACCACTATTACCCGCTCTTGCCACGCCGCCTATCGGAAATGCTGGAAAAAGGTGGACGTGACTTAACACCGCGATTGAGACATTCTCGGGAGTCTACTAGAATTAAGGGCTGGGCTGAAATTGCATTTTGGAGGAGACGAACCTTTAGATACGAAGTGTACCAAGAGGAACATTTCTCTGCGTCGTGACACCCTTTTCAGGTTTTCGGACATCGGCCCTCGTTTTTCTCTCACCCTCTGCGCGCCTCCAATTGTGTAATACTCTCGTTGTACACGGTGCCTCGCATTAACATAACACGATAGAACACCCACGATAACGAGTTCCATGTAGCTGAACTTTAAATGCCCGCTAATGATGCGCATCTTCGCGACTATGCGAGTTTAATCGGCGCGATCGGTCTCTTCTTCGAAAGCACTCCTTTTCCTCCTCATCCCCGTTTTGTCCTCCACGTCGCTTCGGGACGCATCAGGTTGGCTTTATCCGTTTCAGTGGGTTTCTACAAAATTATACATTCGGTTAAAATTACATTTGAAGGAATGCTTATAAGAAACGTGGATAAAGTTGTAGGTTCTCTATGTATCCGTTGGTTCATGGAAATGCCCATTTTCTAGGATGTACAGTAAGGGACGTAAATACTATTTCTGCAGGTATAGGGCGGATAGTATATGGTGGAAACGCATTCATGTTCGTCACTGTACTTTGATTTGCGCAGACTTTCCGACTCCGCAGGTGAGGACTCTGTCGTCATCGAAGGATCGGCTCGAAGTAGGTTTTAATAAGGACGCGCAATGACAGAATCGACGACATGGCGAACTATTCCATAGGTGGGTCACGGCCTCCTCGTGTAAATTTCAAACACTCGTGACCGTCTCTCGCTGCGCACCCAGCCTAACGCAACCGCCATTCCGCTGCGTTTCGCTATTAAACCGTCACGTGCTCCTGACTCTTGTCGACTTGACTTTTCGCTCTAAAAATACATGGAAAGATTAATTGACTAACGGTCGACACCCCGACAGCTCTCAGAGACGCGATAAGTCGATCGGCTCTAGGAGACGATTCCGAGAAACCTTTCTAGGTTACATTTGGCGGAACTGGAAACTCGCTATTAAATTATCACACTTACCGAATGAAAGGGACGCGGGAATTCTAAAATCTCGGCAATTCCTTCCTCCGGCATATTTATCCGAGCTTCTTGTTCGAATTCGTTGCCGTGTTCGAACGGCCACGACGCCATCTACTCGACCGCCTCGGAAACATTCGACTCCAACGCATTCAAAAATAGCGCGCTTCTTCATCGACTAAGCGAATTCCAGTTCTTGATAGTTCTCTTCGTTCAAGTTTTTAGTAGAGGGCCAAAGGGTATTTGGCGTCATCTCTCCGTAATGATTGAATTCATTAGTGATCACTCCGCAGCTGTGGCAGGTATATAGAAAATTAAATTTAATTATATTCACCAGAAATGAGTTAGGTGATCGGTCACGGGCAGGGTCGCGCGATCGTCTCCTGTGCTGCCTCCTGGTGGTGGTGTGGGCGGCTAACGTACTTGCCATCCTCAGTGGCGGCGCAACTCATTTCTGCCTGAAATGAGTTACCCCTTATATATTGTGGATCGTATGCATTTTTAACGTGAAATCAAGGTTAATAAGTAATTTCATGGATTCCTTGTATCGGGTACAATGTCTTTTAGGGTATAGAGCTGTGATCCTATTTGCGCATTCCGTGAGATGGAAAACTATCCCTGCATTGTCGGAAACTGTGGAAGTTAAGGAACGTAAGAGTAGTACGAAAATTTCTAAGGATACGATAGCTCAACTAGAACGACTGTCCTTAGTAGATTTTGATAACGAAGAAGGGATCCGTCGACTGGAAGCTGCTATAGATTTCGCTAAGAGACTCCGTGATCTTAAAATTGATGATTCGGTGCTTCCAATGTATACCATCTTGGAAAATGAAAATCTATATTTAAGAGAAGATAAAGTGACGGAAGGTAACTGCCGTGACAAGATCTTAAAGAATGCTACCCTTCTCGAAGAGGAATACTTTGTAGCACCACCTGGCAATATACCAAAACAATGACAGTCGACGCAGTCCTAAAATCTTTGGGTACAAATTTTTTAAGTGTGACAGATCGTGGCTTTATTTATGGCCCTTTGGGATGTCTGCTACGTCGTAACATTGAGACTTTCTGGTTTCGAAACTGTGCTATGGCTCTAACATACAATATCTTTTTCACTTCCCCGGACAGAATCCCTGAGACTCTAAGAGTCAGTAAAGATATCACCCCTAACGATGCACCATTTGGTCTTGCAATGCTGAACGATATCAGGACTCCTTGGAATCATAGCACTTTCTCTTCTGATATTAAGACTATCCCTCACAGAACTGCAAGAGTGACCGTAATCATTGATGAGTTGGAAGCTAAAAATCTGTTTCATAAAAAGCAGAGAGAACGTAAAGTTTGGTGGCGAAAATTTGCACGTAGTCCATCTCGATTTCAATTGACAGAGAACAAGAGGGTAAAAAATTATGACGTTGTCGATATAGAGGCACAATTTCCTTTTGGAAACATCATTGTAGAAACGATAACACATCGACACGATGCTCGAAAGCTCTTTCCTCAGGTATCCCTAAGTAAACATTACCAAGTAACAATTGCTTGAAAAAACAATTAGTTTTCTTCTACCTTGTTTTAATCATTTTGATTACAGAATGAAGAGCAGAACAATAATTCCAGTTCAAATTTAAATTTGATCGAACATACTGCCTCCTTGGATTGGGGCTGCCTAACTCTTCTGTGCGATGGTTACGATAAGATTGGTGGTTCACAAGAACTCCATATTCACCCAAAGTTGTCACCATATAAGGTAGCTTTTAAAATTAACTCGGAAGGAGGTGAAAACATCCAAGAATTGAACGACTTAATTATGTACATCAGTAATATCATAAAAAAAGAAGGAATAGCAACAGTATTGACGAGTACCAAAGAAGGGCTGGAGTCCCTTTACACCCCCTTTATTGTAATCGTCGATGACGAGAGTTTAGAGCACGGTATTGTGAAAGTGATCAGTAGACTTACAACGATAGGTGAATCCGTTCACATTACAAACATTGCGCAGTACTTTACAGTTCGATGTAATTAAACAATACCTGTTTTGTGGAGACTTGGCGGCGTATAACAAAAGGTAAAATATAGATTCCTTTGGCTTGACCACTGTATTAAACGCTGACAATCTTATAATAAACATAGTCACATTTAATTAATAAAAGTTATTATATAACAACTCCAACATTACGGTCAGGCACCAGTATCCCTTTTCTCGACACCCTCACTTCAAAATGTTCTAGTGGACGATTCGCTTCTGATGCTTTCCTCAATGTATCGTTATGTACAACGCGATGAGGGAGAATTTAAGAATGCACGAAACGGGATGAGAAATGGAAACTGAAGAAATGACATACAGGGAAGGAGAATAGGTCAGAAATCGAGGTCATCGAAGAGTCAGACTTAGCTTGTATCTGGCTAGACACACTCGATGATCCTTAATACACCTCGAGCTCGCGTTCAAGACTCGGTGAATGGTTCTTGTTTTACCGTTGTCACAGTTGACAGTAGACGGTATTTGACAATTGCTGCAAAGCATTCTTTGTGTGCTACTTAAGCCGGTAACAAGAGCTTCTTCCCCTTGAGCACTTTGGTAATATAAAGGTAAAAGAAATCGCAGTAGAGGACCGTCTGCACCAATCCAGCAACAATAGCTATCAGGTCGTAATGATTTTCGGCATAGTAACGGTATATCCAGTTTAGCAGATACAGCCCTCGATAAGAACCCAATGCGAATAAGTAGTGGCTCGTAATGCTTTCCGCTTCGCCCGTTTTGGATACTAGGAAGAGCTGAGGTAGAATTGCCACCGACTCCAAGTAAATGCTAAACGTCCATAAGACTTCCAACACGGTGAACTCATGATTGATCACCAGTGCTAAGATGACTGCTGGTATAACCAAAAATTCAATCCTGTAAATACGACAAACATCGATTAAGAAACCATTTGATGTACCCACATATTTTAAATTAAATATTTTTTATTCTCACCTAAATGTATCGTGATTATGGTCATAAGTTGCCTTGAATTTACTATACATAAGGTAAATTGTAGCATAAGAAGCGGAAATGAAAATAATCTTCATAAAAGTATTATACGCCGATATATAAGTTGTCAGCAGGTCGAGATACCGTGTCGTGTATACTATCGCAAACAAAATTTGAGACTTTCCGCTGATACCTGCAAAATAATAATATAATATCAGAATGTACTTTTTACAAGATAACGTATACATAAAATGGTACACATATTCTCAACCCAAGAAATTCGCCCCAATTGCCAATTAAACTCCTGGTATACATACACATGACAGCAGCATTATACCAATCCTTGCAAGAATACGTATATGAGTATTCTACTCGGCATGAACTATATTATAAAGGTTAGTACCAGCATTTATGATTATATAGAATCTTCTTATCTCCTAAAGAATTTATAAGCAAGACCTACTCCGATTGGATACCACGTACCCATTTCAACTACTGCTTTCCTCGCGGGGTAAATATCTACCGATGTCTTCATTTGTAAGACGTAACAAGGCCCGGTATGGTGCGAAATCGTGATCAATTTAAATCGGTTGATTATGTTGAGCGAAAGCGCCGAATATTTGACAAACGTTCCCGACCCATGTTGTCGAGAAACGAGCGACCTACCGGCACAACTCCTCGTCTTCCATATCTTGAGGAGCAGCAAGATAACTGCCAGCAGATGCGAGAGATCACCCAGCAGGCGAATGATATTCATAACTGTGCTGGAATGCGCGTCAATTCCACGGGGAATACGAAAGAAGAACCTCGCGGGCTCGAGTAGCTCAAGGCACAAATATGACGTGGCTTCGGCAGAACCATCGGCAGATGCAGCCAGATAGCCGACCAGTTCGCTTTATGCCGCTACTTTGCGATCGCTCGATCCGAAGACTTATCCCATTACCTAATTTCGAAACCACGACAAGGGATACTCTAAGAGACCCGTACAAATCTGGTATCGCAGCGTCTCTCTCCCTCCCATTAACCAAACGAGTGCAACAAGGAGAGACTGGTCTCTTGCGGAGCGGAGTGGGGACACGAATGAGTCAACCTCTAAATTTATTTTTAAAAGCGAACCTAATGTTTTCGTTACGGTAATATGCCGGGTCCGATTTACATCGTATCGGATCTTCTTTCTGAATTTTTCGAGAAAAACCAGGGATGAGCAGAGATGAGTTGGGAGATCGTTCACGGCCAGGGTCGCGCGATTAACGCGATTCGCCTGGCCTCGCCCAATTCGAGAGCTACATCACGGCCAGGGGTCGCGACATATAGGGGTAACTCATTTCTGGCAGACATGAGTTGCGCCGCCACTGAGGGGAACAGATGGCAAGTACGTTAGCCGCTGGTACCAACCACCAGGGAACAGCACAGGACCGATCGCGCGATCCTGCCCATGAGCAATCTCCCAACTCATCTCTGCTTAATTTTTAAACTACAACCCGCTGGCATGACATGAAACTACTTTTAAATGAATTTCATTGACTACAGTAACTACAATTCCCAATGATACTTCTAGCAACACGAACATTTTAGCCATGTCTACTATATTTAAAAGTACAATTATCGTTTACCCTTTATCATGGGGCATGTAAAATTAGAAAGTATCCACACGGTTATCCGTGATCCTTTATAATATTCGTCACTTTTAAAAATATATTACATCGACAACGTGAACTTATGCCGAATATTGCGCGCGATCGATTAATTGTTCATAATCGATGATTTTGTTAAAAGCAATGTTCAATGATTGTCCTTGTATGGACGGCAGGGTTCCGTGAACGGGAACAGGAAGTGAAGGGGTCCAATCAAGTAGCAGCAGAAAGGTGAAGGACTGTCATCCATAATCGACGATCCGTTTGGTGTACGAATGGACCAGATATGTGACACGTCTCTTCGAACAGGGGCAAAGTTTACCTGGCAGCGCTAAAGTAAGATAAATCCAATGCTGGTGCGTCAAGAGTGAAAGGCTGAAGATCAAGGAACAGGATCGATCGTTCCAACTGCATTGGAAATTGGAATGTGAAATCAAGATGGTGATGGCGGCGGATGGATCGGTGGTGCTCGTTATTGTCGCGCACCGTTATTGAATCCCTGTTCCGCCGCCGTAATTCAGGTACACATTTACCGTATTCGCGATGCCTCTAAAATTCAGTTAGACCATGTTTGCATAGTTGGTAAAGCCATAACCTGTACTTCAATCTCATGGAGTAAGTTGTGATAGTATTGACATTCCTATCGATCCACTACTGTCACCAAGGAAACAGTTCTTTATAAGAAGCACATTTTTATAGGTCCGTACTTGCACCATAATTTTAATATTACAACATTTTTATCTGCAGTCTGTGAATGATCGAAAGATGTCTGTTATTTATAGTCGTTACATGGCCAAAAGGGCCTTATAAGAACTTGTAAATGATTAAAAGAGGTTTTCTAATTATAAAATTAAAGCACGTGGTATGGGTCTACAATTAAGGATTATAAAATATGGACGTTTCATTGTAGATCAGAGAATGGAATGGACGGATCGTGTCCCTTCTTGCGTCCGGTACTTGGAGAACAGAGTAGATCGGATAGAGCCGTTGGGTATTTCGCACAGAAATTGGCTCTGTACAGGCCAAACTCGGATACCGTCGATTTGGGATATCACACTCTTGACAACAATACCTGCCGGTCGTCGTCTTCTCCGACTGCCTTCATAGTATCGCCCAAACAATCCTCGCAACAGTCAAAGAGGACACATTCGATTGGACTGTGCCAGCTGAACGACGATGTACTGCTGAAGATATTCTCCTGGCTAAGCACTCGAGATCGATGTATGCTCGCCCAGACATGTCGACGGCTTTGGGAGATCGCGTGGCATCCCTCTTTATGGAAGGAGGTAGAGGTGCATTATCCACAAAATGCAAGCACAGCTCTGGCAGCTTTGGCGCGCCGTGGTTGTCATTCCTGCATCCGCCGACTGGTGTTAGAAGGTGCCAACGGCATTACAGGAATATTCTCTTCGCTACCTTTTTCAAGTCTGACGTCTCTGGTATTACGACATTCTAAACGAATTAACGACGCAAACGTAACAGCCATCCTGGATAACTGCGTGCATCTCAAAGAATTGGATTTATCGGGATGCAGTAGTGTAACGAAAGCTTACACTCGTAATGTAATACTACAGTTGCAATTGCTCGACTTAAGTGATTGCCATGGAGTGGATGATTCTGGCTTGATGCTTACGCTTTCTCGCATGCCACATCTCGTCTCTTTGTATTTGCGGAGATGTGCTCGCATCACAGACGCCAGTCTCGTGGCGATCGCCTCGTATTGTGTCACTTTGCGCCAACTATCTGTGTCAGATTGTATGAGAGTCACAGACTTTGGTGTCCGTGAACTGGCAGCCCGTCTCGGGCCATCATTAAGATACTTTTCGGTTGGTAAATGTGATCAAGTCTCGGATGCAGGGCTCCTGGTCGTTGCCAGGCATTGTTACAAATTGCGCTACTTAAATGCTCGAGGTTGCGAAGCACTCAGTGACAGCGCGACGCTTGCCTTAGCTCGGGGATGTCCACGAATGAGAGCTCTAGACCTAGGAAAGTGTGACGTTGGAGATGCCACTCTGGAAGCCCTCTCGACGGGATGTCCAAATTTGAAGAAACTTTCTCTGTGTGGCTGTGAGCGAATTACAGATGCTGGATTAGAAGCTCTTGCTTATTACATTCGGGGCTTGAGGCAGCTCAATATTGGCGAGTGCCCAGGTGTTACATGTGTCGGCTATCGTGCGGTCAAACGTTATTGTCGACGTTGCGTCATTGAACATACCAATCCAGGTTTCTCCAGCTGATCACTGCCAAGCTTATCATAGCTTTCTCTATTCTGATCTATTTATTAACAAATGTTCTTCCATTACTTATGATATTGTTTGTAAAAAGTGGAGAGTGAGAGAGAAAAAGAGATTACTCTTTAATCGGCGGTAAATTTAGCCGGTAAGGCTTTTAAACTTTTTAAAGAAAATCATATATTTATTGTTTTGTATAATTAAATAAAAATAACACGGATATTCCTTGTGCTTCTCATCGATTTTGGAAACGTCCGATCCACCATGTATCAGATATAACAAAGGTTTAGTTATAGACTTTCGTTTCTAGTGTTTGGACTTCTAAATCCTTATAAGGTGTTCGCGGACGCGTTAGTTCTTGATATATGATGTCGCTGTGATCGTTACACGATGCGTGAAACTGGAAACTTGCTGTTTATATCTTTGACTATGTCTCCATCGAAGTCCTAAATCTGGGATTTATCGACTTTGGATCCAATAAATCGAATGTTTCCATCGTATTAATAAATTCGCAGACTGGACTCGGTAAATCCCGGATTTAGGAGCACGATGGAGACATAATCTTTGTAACAAAAGCAAGAAATGGAACGGTTCGACATCCGATTGGTGGTTAGAAAAACATGGAGACCAGTGATCGATCAAAAAGTTGTTCATCCTACGTTGACACGACTTCAAGTAGTACGTAGAACAATTTCGGTAGTAGTTTTTTACAATGCAGTTTAACTAATTAACTGGAAATGGTATAAAATATTTCTTTCTCTCATATTTTAACCTTCAAAACATTATATATATAGCTACGATACTACATGTAGTTACATGTTTCATTGGACCAGCTGATCCTACAACGGAACAATTATGCACAACTATGTAATCCGAGCTTAAGGTAAATTTACTACATCTGATATGACTGCAAATCATTAAACGTCAAATTTATCTAAATGACAATCTTGTGAATTACTCCAAATGGTTCTAAAGTTGAAATCAATTCAAGTGTCGAAATGAACGTGCGTAGCACTGTAAAGGAATATAATGCACTAAGCTATGTGAGATATAAATGACTTTTAAGAAATTCAACATCTTGCGTGTTACAAGTATAGTATAGGTACATGAATTAATACTTTCTTGCTTGGTACCTGAATCCTTGACAAGTGTCGTGATATGCATGTTTGTTCTGCAAATCATCAATATTGTTAATGACTTAATTTCCTTTTTATATTTTATAGTTAAATTCTGATTCTATGACAGTTTAAGTAACAACGGATCAGCAGGTGATTGAATATAACCTACGACTGCAAAATGGACAGAGAGAAAGATAAAATAGACACGAAACCGATAAAATATTCTTCCATCAAAGATATGGGCCTTGTGGATCCAGAGCAACGTTTAAAGGTTCTCTCGGATTACGGAAGTTCGATTGAAATAGATAAAAATATTCAAGCTCGAAAGTAAGACAGTAATACTAAAATGTGGAAAATTTAGAAAGCATGTATATTTTATGTTCTACAAAAATTAATATTTGAAATTATAGATATTTTCGATCAGGAGTAGAAATGTTACGAATGGCTGAGGTCTACATGGATGAAGGGAGCCTAGAAAATGCTTACACATTGTATATGAAATTTGTGACGTAAGGAATGCTCTAACAACTTATATTAATCAATCAAAATAATTTGATAAATTCTTTAAACAATGTTTTCCTTCTAGAATTTTTGTTGAGAAAATAAGAAATCACCCTCAATATGGTACTGTACCAACAAAGGATCGTGTAATGAACCAGCAAGCATTGCGAGAAGTATTACCAAAAGCGGAAGCTCTTAAAAAACAGTTGTTGGAGCAGTATCGGCTGGAACTGGCTAAATACTTGCACGATGCTGAAGAACGAGAGAAAATAGAGGAGGAGAGACTGAAAAAAGAAGAATTACAAAGGTTGAGAAACGTTTTGCTTGTACAATAGAAAGGTGAGCCAAGAAAGATTCTCATAGATTTTTTTTTCAACAGGTTAAAGGAAGAGGAAGAACGAAAAAATAAAATAGCTACTCAAATAGCAGCAAAGGCTGCAAAAGTTGCAATAAATGCCGCTGCTATAACATTGGGTGATGAATCTAAATCCAAAAAGATATATCCAATGGTATCCAAATCGTATGCTGCAGTTGTAAGTGAGGATGCACAGTCATCTTTGGAAAAGTAGGTAGCACTCTTAACGGTAGAACTTAATTCATACAAATAAATTAATTTTACTTGTACATACAAGAGTTCTTTGTGAAAAAAAAAGATGACAAGATTTCAACTTACATTAGCAATTAAATAACTACCCACTTTTTGATCTTTTCACTCCTAAGTTTGGTTAATTGTTTCTATACCAACAACAATAATAATGTGTCCTTTAGGAAAACACCAATGATAGATCGTTCAACCAAACCATCGATGACGATAAATTCTAAATATCTTCTACGGGATATGATTGTCCCGAACAGATTGATGCAAGAGTTTCTAACCCTAGCATTTAATAATACCGTCAACAACAAGGAGACTTGTGGCGTACTGGCTGGAAAACTAGAAAGGAACAAACTGCTAGTGACACATCTATTAATTCCAAAGCAGACTGGATCACCTGACTCTTGTATTACTCATAACGAGGAAGACATTTTCGATTATCAAGATCAACACAACTTGATTACACTTGGATGGATACATGTACGTAACAAGAACAAAAACTCTTAGATTCGACAACTAACGCATTATCTCATTTTACAGACTCATCCAACTCAAACTGCATTTTTGTCCAGCGTTGATCTCCACACTCATTGTGCATACCAATTAATGATGGCTGAAGCAGTCGCTGTTGTTTGTGCACCAAAATATGACGAGTATGTTCATGCGTTTTTATTGCTCACCAGTGGTAACAGTATAAAACGTGATTGTTATACTTATTCGTTTACTTTACAGAACAGGACTTTTCACTTTAACTCCAGATTACGGTTTAGATTTTATTGCAAGCTGTCGAGAATCTGGATTTCATCCACATCCATCTGAACCACCACTTTATACGGTACAGTTAATAAGTACTGACAAAATGTATATACTTTTCTAAATGTACTTTATTTAACATTGCAGAAAGCGAATCATTGCAAACTGGATCCCTTAGCTTCTGTGGTTGTGGTGGATTTGAGGAAGAAATGACGTCTTTTTTACATTCAACACAGAGTACTAAGTTTAGCTTTTGTAACTTTTCACTTCGGCGATTACTTGTAGCAACGGGTTGATTTCAAATTATTTCAAATGCTCGAGCACTATTTGCATACATTTCAAAATAAGGTAACAATCATTAATTTTATAACACTACAGACCGTGGCTATATGCTCCGCAGCTAACATGATTCTTATATTTTAATTAGAAAGCGCACAGTACTTTATTACCTTGCGTTCTCTTGGATATAGTCATTTTAAATTATTTGTCAGCAGCAAGTAGGTAAATATTGGATTTAATCAATTATAATTTATTAACAGTAACATTACCGTGAAATTGCCCAAAGGAATGCAAAGCAACACCTTTCGAAATAATTATTAATTTTCAGCAATGCAACAGGTTACACTTTTTTTAAAAATAATTACCGCTCAAACCAACGTGACATTCATCAGGAATAGATAAGAACTCGAGTTTTATAAAAAATAATTATACGTTTGAATCATTACAATTGGTACCCGTCTGCATAAACGTATTTATATAAGCTTATCGTGCCTTTGGAGTAATTGTGTTCACAACTCCGTGCTAATTATCAAATATCTGCAATGCCGAGCTATAAACAAAATGTGATATTCATGCTAAATATTAATTATTATTTAATGAGGTAATTGCTAGGGAAAAAAAAAAAAAAAGAAAAGCTGTGCGTAGTTATAAACACAAAGGTACGTTGTGCTAGTCAATCGTTTCAGCGTGTGTTCAGGCTTTAAACTTTAGACGAATGATTCCTTCTTTAAGTACTAAAAAAATTAGCTTTGCCGGTGTATTAGGCTACACCTTACGAGTAACAAGATAAACAAAAAGCAACACGGAACGATTGTATTAATATATATTATATTGTATAATTAGGGATATCTCTATAAAACTATTTTCGTATTACTCTGAATGCATACACCCTGCGTATATAGAAATTCGGTTCACGCTAGAGTATCGATAATTATTTAAAATAAAGTAGATTATCCAGGCTTACCTGATTAGATTTACACATGACTTCAAGCGGAAAAATCCATGAACTCTCGCGAGATTTCAAGACCTTCATTAGGACCTGCAATCCCGTGTTAAGCCTTCAAACTATTCGATGCACCTAATTTGGAGAAAGGTTTTATAAATATTTGACATTTCGATGCATATAGAATGACCCTTTCGTAATACGATAACGTCAACGATCTTACGAGAACTGGTCTTTGGAACGGCACGGTTGAACGTTCCTGTAGTTCCACAACGAGTTGAAAACGAAACGAGCGTGGGAGCACCGCGCGACTCGCAGTCTACGCGAAATCTTCCGACGGAGTCGCTGGGAGTCGCGCGGCAGCGTGAATGGTCTTCGTTGGCCGAGTGACGTCACCGGTCGACAAGAGAAGGTCCTAGTCGACCGCCTCGGAGCGCGTCTCGGCGTCGAGTGGCAGTCATCCGTCCGCCCTCGCGTCGATCGCCGCCCACGGACGGTCGCGGACCTTGGCGACCGGAATTCGATCAAAAGCGAACCCTCGCCCGTCTTGACCGTGGACTTCGCTATTACCGAGAGATTCGTCCACCGCCAAAAGAGCGGCTGATCGCATCCGCGTTAATCGTCGGGGACCTTGGCGAGAGGAATTCGGTCAAAAGCGAACCCCTCACCTGTCTTGACCGTGGACTTTGCTATTACCGAGAGGTTCGTTCGCCACTGGAAGGGCCGCTCGCATTTAAGCGAGTGGCCGCCTGCGGACAATTCTAGACCTTGGCGACTAGAATTCCACTAAAGGGGGAATTCCACCTGCCTTGACCGTGGACCTTGCTTTTACCGAGAGGTTCGTCCACAACCGGAAGGACGATCGCTCGCGTTAATCTTCACCTGCCGGTCCACGGAGACCTGGCTAGAATTCCTCCAATAGTGGATTTCACCTGTCTTGGCCGTAGACCTTGCTATCGTTGAGAGGAGCGTTCACTACCGGAAAGCCTGATCGCCCTTGCATCGATCATCGCTTGTAGGTCGTCGCGGACCTTGGCGACTGGAATTCACCCCCAGTTTGGAGAAAAGTTTTATACATATATTGACGTTGTATATAAAAGGGTCATTCCATGGAATGACCCTTTCATATCGCCTTAACAAGACTTATCTTTAGAAAGTGCCGCCTCGTTTGTCGATTAAGCCCCGAGGTGCAGAACTCTCAACGAGTGCACGACGCTACGTCGAGGGATGAAGGGCCCGACCCCGAAGACTCGAATACCGGAGGAGCTGTCGATCCTGGTCTCACTTGCATACTGATATCGGTTAAGTGCACTCGTTACACTTTGGCCCGAGAGCCACGAGTTGGGAGTGACGAGCCACGGGTTGCACCTCGCACTCGCGGGACGCTCCGCAATTCTCCCAGGAGAGGCGAGACGAAGACTCTCGGTGACGTTTCCCGTCGACCAGCTGAGCCGTTCGTCCTGTTTGCCGGGAAAGAAACGTAAGAAAGAAAGAAAAATTCGCATGGGCTCGCCGAGCACCTTAAAAGTATAATTTTTAAGTCTAGAACTACTATTATAATCATTCTTATCGAAGTACGGTCATCTTAAACCTCTAAACTACTATATAAATTTCTAGGAGAGAATTCTTCTCCTGCCCGGAAATTCTCTTTGAATTTTCCGGAAAGTCATTACGGTGATATGAAAGAGATATCAATACGTGAAAATATTTCTAAAACATTACTCCGAGCTGAGTGCACCGAATTATCTGAAACTTTCACGCGATGCTCGTGAAATTCATTTTTCAACAACTCGACTCGGATAAAACAACCGACAATTTGGTTATTTTACCTGGATTTTTTTTTTTTTTTTCCAGTGCTGTAAGGTAACTTTTCTTGAGTACGCTCCACCTTCTCTCGAGTGGCGTGTCGCTTGTCTAGGTTTGCGTCAACTGCAAGGTGCATGTGACGTCACCGAAAACATGTAACGATCCAACGTGCTTCGATCGAGCCCTGACCAGAGAACAGTGTACGATTGGACTCGGCCGAGGCTCGCGATAGTTCTCACGGAATTCCCAATCGAAGAAAAAATACTCGCTATCAGCTTATCAGCGCGCGGTTATGGAGGTCCCAATCAAGGTCTCGAAACTCGCGAAATTTCGATCTTCCAAAAAGTATTTCTTCTCATGGTTCTTGTTCGAGATAGATACATCTTTTATTTTTGCTCGACAAAATGAAATCTCGCGAGTTTCAAGACCTTCGTTGGGACCTCCATAACCACGTGCTCAAGTTTGAAATTATTCGGTGCCCCCAGTTTGGAGAAAAATTTTATACGTATAAATGGAACGACGCTTTCGTAACACAACTTACGTCTACTTAAAGTGTTACGTGACTAAATCTTATATTCGGCTGACGTTTAATCGGCTTCGAATACGACGTACGACAGTTTTCTCTCTGTGGCCACCTGACAGGTACCAGAGCAGGAAAATAGCACTTAGTTCCGGTTGGAATACCTCGATGCGATGATATTACATGGATTACGCACATTTCCGACGAGGAAATTCCCAAAGCGCACTTAGAACAGACCGTACGCCAAAGACGCAGCATGCAATATCTAATCGATGTCCATTCTTCATGGAGCCATCCTTAATTTAGTCTTATCTGGTGTTTAGTCAAACGAAATTGAAAAGTGGCCAAACGAGGGAGAGGGTGTGCGTCTTGCTCGTGACATTGAACGGAAATCTTATCTAATTTCCAGGATGAGCATCGATACCCGTCGGTATCAAGAGAATCGGTGGGAAAAACAAGACAACGCCGGTTATCAGCGGGTCTTGTCACATGACTACCACAAGAGGAGGAGCGTGCATAACAGTGCCATGACACCGTCTCCATTCATTTCATTTGCGAGCTTCCTTCTGATCGTCTTACTACTCGGTAAGCGATTTTCAGACGTTTTACCTATTCCGACCCAGAAACGCCTTTATTCTCCGAGACCTTATTAAAGTCGTATCCCTATGCCAGGAAACGATGTGCTGGCGGCCAAAGAAGACAAAACGCAGGAAGATATTCGACATCTTGTCAGAGGGAACGACGATCTGGATTTTACGGACAATCGCGACTTGAATGCCGCCGTGATAGGCGCTACACTTTATCGTGACAATAATGATCTCTATAACGACGACGAAGTGGTCGCTTTAGCGGAGGGCAATGACATAAGACAAGAACAATCGCTCGATGTAGGTAAGGGTTGATAAACGATTTTTTATCCTACAGTTTCTAGGAAACATGAAATAAAACAGTCCCGTAAGGGAATATTTCCTGTACTTTTTCATGCCTCTATTGAACTCGCCTTGATTGCAATGCAATCCACTACTTACTAACTCTTGTAAGTAGAGATAAACTTTCGCGAATAATTTTAATTTATGTATTTAGACTTCTGGTGGAAAATAAGAAGACGGAAAAGAAGCGCAATAGAGCCGTTGCCGAGTCATGATGGAAAAGAAGCGGTTGCTAAATCAAGTGGGACAATCGATGAAGCTAATCCTTCAATCTCGACAGCAGAGGTTCCCAAGAAATTACAAGACACCCCTAAATTTTCTGAACCGAATGATATGTTGCAAACTCATGTCACTCCACACGACGACGACGATGAACCACTCAAAGTGCCCGATGACAAATTGCAGGCAGAAAACGTGTCACAGATGCCAGGTAATCAGGAAATGAAAGAATTTACTTGGAAGACGTGCTGATTAATGTTTTCAGACTAAGCTCAATTATTAAACATGTTGGACATTGTAACATTTGCAGAGAATGTCAGTTTGCCCGTGAAGGTGAAACAGACGGACGAAGAAGCTCTTTATATCGCAACTTTACCCCCAAAGATTTTTCCTTACGATGGCAATATAAAAAGTTTCGATGAAGCGAGTAAAGGAATTCGTGACAAACTGAGTTCCACCATGTACGAAACTATACCACAGGGAAAAGCTGAGACGATAGATTCGATAAATACAAGTATAACATGGTTTTCTATTATTTTTCATGCTTAAATAACTTATACAATAGACTACTCAATGTTAGAATGGTTATATCCATAGATAAATTATGGACCGTCAATTTTTAAATTGTACTTCTAAGTATTTGAGGGCCCAAGCAATTTTTCATAGATAGGAAATAATTGATTTTTATATTCTAAGAAATGCTACATAAAGTCAATTAGTTTTAACAATTGCTATTTTACAGATTCTTCGAGTACCACTGTGCCAGAGCCAGTAACAACGCTGTTAACAGTACTTTTTAAATCAACAACACCTTCATATTTGAAAAATGACAAATCGACGGAAGCTGTGAATATGACAGGTCATGCAATCCAAACAATGGAACAAAATAAAACTGGAGGAAAAGGCATGCCTTCGGGCATGATAGCTTTAGTCATAGCAGTCACTTTCGCTGCAATAGTTGTAATCGGTTACGTTGGATTAATAGCTTGGAAGAGATACCAGGAGTAAGTATCTTGTTGTTAGCGATTGAAAATCTAATCGATACATATCTGTATCCACATTTGTACATCAAAAATTATTATACCACAGAAAATCATTTATCACATGTACGAATTTTTAGGTTTCGGGTGGACAACCGAGAACTACTTGTAAACGAACTAGAATTCGACACTAATGATTTACGGCATTTTGAGGTTAGAATTTCCGTACACAAAAAAAATTGTGGATACGCGTATGTTTATAACACTCTGCTTATATTTGTTTCAGCTTTAATCGACTAAACGCTCTTAGGTAAGACGGACGATTCAAAGTGACTGAAATCTAGTTACCCTTTCCAGCACTCTGCAATGTCTCGTCGATCTGTGATAAGATATGCATATTCCGTAAATCTTAAATGGATTTACCAAAAGTATTGCACTATTTTCGTAAGCCATTTATTAATTGGTAACTACGTAAAATCTCTGGTTACGATAACGTGGATGAAAATGTGGACAGTATTGCGTTAAGCGACTCACTTCTTTATTAAGAGCTGACTGACTCTGTCATTAAGATTTACTTGTATAGTATAATATAAGTGCGACTGTATTGTGCAAGTGGTATTATATGGTAGTAATAAGACCGTGCATCAGAATCGAATTAATGTTATCAGAACATAATTAGTGCCTTCTCGTAAATTTATCATTACATGCCTTACTGAATCAAAATACTTCGCTTATAATAGCCAAGAAAGGAAACTTGTACCTTTGTAATCACTTAAGGAAATTAGTAGAAACTCGTGTTAATGTACATTCATAATGCCTTTCTATTATACGGAGCAAAGCAGTGTACATACTTGAAACAATAAAATGCTAGGTTATTTTTGTAACCGAAATATTCTTTATTATCTATATTGCTATTCATAAAATATTCTACCCAATATATTAAAACAGACGCTTATTATTTTAATATCAAGTTCTCCTGTTCGAGACAGTAAATTATTCTCAATTGGCATCCGAGTCCACATTCCCATACAAATGTAATAATAAAATTCAACACATACGTAATAGATTCCCTCCAACTCTAAGGCTCCAACAAGGCAAGTTCAAGTTCTTCGTATTACACAACCAAAGGAAACGCAATTTTTCTGTGAAATAAAATTTATTTATAAATATTTCCCATTGTGGGATAATGATGTAAATGTTAAATAATTTCTATTCTAATAACGTTCAGTGTTTTCTGTGATAACAATCCTACATTAAACTAGAATTCTATTCTGCATCGGTTAAAATTTTAACTAGTGGGCAACAAAAGCACATTTCACAAATTGTGAAAAGTACGTAGTATGATAATGCACCATTTACATTAACATTTATTGCTTAATATGCTTACATTCATTTATTTTTGGTTACGACGACTGGTCCTACATTATCTCCCGTTTCTTGATTATGCTTTCCATGAGCACCATCGCAGTAGGGCCACTAATGGGATATAGTTGAAATTATAAAATTACTCTCATAAGTTTGGACAATGTACAAATGTGTATATCCTTAACATTCCACAGATACAGATAAATATATCTCGATTCAAGTTATATAATTTCCCCTTCATAAGCAATTTTCTCAGGTATTTGTATAGCTTATCTGGGTTGAGTACAATGTACTCGTTCAATGCAATGCCAACAGCTGAGCACCGACTTCATGAGATTGCAACTCTCAAAATAAATTCAGCTATTCATAACCATCGTCGATATGCGATACTTACATTTTCGCTTCTCCAGCACCGACAGAATGCGACCTTTTCTGTTATATTCTCCACGTCAAGGGTGTCTACGACCTTATTGACATCCTTCTTAATCTTGGGATTAATTTTTGTGCTTGGCTAGAAAAAGGCATATTCTCTTATAAAGATATATATAAAATTAAATACATGGTATACGTCTCACGGTCCACAAACATATAATATACATAATCCCATGAGGCAGCCACAAATGCAATATCATCGAGATTACATAACCATAATATCTAGATACATACTGGATCCCTTTTTAATTCTTAACCGGTATACTTACAGCAGGTCTACCCAGGGGACAGAACGATCTGTAGGACATATAACCGATTCCAGCTACCAATGCTGTAGGAGGAACTAATGAAATCCAATCCCTCACTGAAAACGGAAAAAGCGATATCGATAAAGAATCATTTCCTGGTGCTCAATACCGGATAGGTCAAGTATCTTTTGGAGTAGAAAATAAACTCATCGAGTAGGCTAGGACGCGCCTGTCACGAGTGCGGCTCTACCGAGTGTCAAGGAAATTTTAATTAAAATCCATCACTTACGTCCCAGTCGAAACCATCCTCCTATCGAATCGGGTATCGGTAATCCTGCCAAGTAATTCGGCACGGATACTTTCACGAGGTGCGAGACAGATTCCATATTTGCCAAGTACTACTACCGATCGTTCGTACTTGTTCGTACTCGATACGCCCACGTTTAACCGACTTCGGTGTCGTGTGTACCTTTATTTGCAATATTACTAGACCGGAAGTGCTAGTGATCTCGTTCGTTCATATACCGAATACGTAATTCGGCGAATAAACCCACGTGAGATGAAACTGCGAGAAGTGAGCACTCTCGTCAAAATACGTAATAAACACCCTAGTTTGAAGAACACGTTTCAGGGCTGCCAATTTTCACTTATTTTTACCGACATGACAATGTTGGCTATTGTTCTTCCAAGTCCTATTTTTGAAATCGTGTACTCAGCTTTCGCTCACAAATTAGGAGCTTTTTCGAATGCGTTAGTCACTGATACAAGATCGCCACCGATCACATATTAGAAAACACAAATGCGTAATGCTTTTGGAAGTCCCAACGCACCGGTTGAGGTTATAAGTAACAGAACAACGCATTTACACCTTTGCGAGAACATACGTGTGTCCGCATCCGCATGCGCAAAAAGCACCGAAATTAAGAATTAAGCGTGAGGACTATAGATCAGACTTGTACCCACGTTTTCGGACGTACAATCGTACACGTGACTGTACCGCGAACAGCCACGACTGCTTGACGTACTTGGTCTTTCACGTTTAATATGAATGATGATCGGAGCTGATTTTACCATCTGGTAAACAAATTTGATCTAATAAGTAAGTTGTATATAACTCTATTTTCGTAAATACTTCGAATGAGCAAAAAGAGAGTTCAATTTAAACTCGTGATCATGAATAATTACAATTCAAATCGTTACATTTTGTTTCAATTTCAAAAGCTTCCAGAAGTATTACGATGGATGTGTGACGGTTTCTTTGATATATACTTATATATATATGTGTGTCGTATGTACAAATCTTTCATTATTTTCTAGAGAATGTTAATACGACAATTCAGGCAAACAACAATAACATTGATCGATGCAATCGGTTTCCTCTGCTATTGCATCAGGCTTCATAATTCTTGTATTTAACGGAGTTTATTGGGTCACAGACAGATTGGCTTCTTATTTCCCATTTGATAAACTAAAGTATTTTTGAAAGGTACGTTTTTAAAAAATATTTAATAATTTAAAAACAGTCAGTATAGTCACGTATATTATATACAAATGGATTGTGTCAATGAAGTTTCTGCAGATTATTAATAACCAGTTGTTAGGCAAATAATTATAGTTATAACTTACAAAGTATAAAGACTACAATATTTTGTATTAGAAGTAAGTTAGTCATATGAAGTAAGGTGTTAAGTTATGTGTTAAACGTTTATGGAAAATCAGATAATTTAATCATTGGTTACACATGAGGTATTTATAAAAACTTAATCCTACCGAGGTGAAGATGTATTTATTGTTAACTACTCTGAAATTACACATAACTGTCATTAAGGTGACTTAAGATCCAACGTTTTAAAGTGAAATAAAACGCATGCTTTTGTATTTAACCTCGGTCAATGTCAATTGCTGACAAGGATGTTTATATTTGCTGATTCCCTGCTATGCGGTGCCTGGTTACGCCGAATTGAATCCTATTGAATATTTGATATCAGTACACATAAGAGTTTATGGTGATGGTGTGTTGATATTTTTTCAGGTACTGTCACGTGGATATCTTCCGCGGTTACACTTCTGAGACATATATACTCTGCAAAGGATCTTAGAGTTTCAGTTTGTTGAGTTTTACTAGGCAGAAATCTAGCTTTTGTTCATTCTATTCTACTAGTAAAACTATTTGTTTAAGAACCCTTTAAAAATCAATAATTGGCACTACTTATGTTATTTTTATTGTCGCTGTACCAAATTGTATGTTTTTTGTACAGTTGATACATTTTTGTATGTTAACAGTTTCATATCGTGTAGGTTTCTATTACAATTACTTAAAAAATAAGTTTCAATATATAAATTCAAGTATTTGTTAAATCATTTGTTTATAAGAGTCATAATGGTGAAACAAGTTTCTGGAGGAACACCAGCAGAGATGCAAGGGTTGAAGCAATCGGGGGATGGAAAAAGTAACCAAAAGCAATCCAATCAGAATATTGGGAAAGTTCAAATGAAGAAGCAGCTTGGATTACTAGAAGGAGTTGCAATCATCCTTGGCATTATATTTGGATCGGGTAAGTCACAATAAAATATATGAATAAAATATATACGTAACAGTAGTAAATGTATAATTTTTAATCATATCTTATATATCTAAATGCGATCTTTCAGGAATCTTTGTATCACCCAAGGGAGTAATTCAAGAAGTAGGTAGTGTTGGATTATCTCTTATAGTATGGACACTTTGTGGTTTACTTTCAATGGTCGGTGCCCTATGCTACGCCGAATTGGGAACTAGTATACCACGAAGTGGTGGAGATTATGCATACATTTTTGAAGCCTTTGGAGCACTACCGGCATTCCTTTATCTCTGGGCTGCCAATTTCATTTTCGTGTACGCATATTTGATTACCCCCCCCCCGAAATATTAAAATGATAAACATTTATTCGGCAACACTTTTACAGACCTACAACAAATGCTATTATGGGCTTAACATTTGCTCAGTATGTCTTACAACCGTTTTTTCCGAATTGTTCCATTCCTGTTGATGCAATAAGACTTCTTGCTGCTCTAACAATATGTAAGTTATTTATGTTTGATTTGCTTTCCAAGATTTGTTATATTCCATCTACTGCGCTAATTTTTAGTTAATATATTTATATTGATTGTTAGGTTTTCTAACATTTGTAAATTGTTACGATGTTAAGGAGACATCAAAAATGCAAAATGTGTTCATGTTTGCAAAAATTGGAGCCCTGGTGGTTATCATAATTGCAGGCTTGACATGGTTGATGTTAGGTAAGTTCTACTTATTTGTTGCAAAGTTGCTTAATCAGATGATGTGAAATATTTTTACTGGTTATATTAGGGTGTCCCATAAGTTCCTTCCACACCATATATTCATTTTGTATAAAAAAAAAAATTAAGAAACTTATGGGGCACCTTGATATTACAGTATGGAATTGTATATGTATATAGTTTTATATAGACAGCGCACTCGTTACATTGTAGGGCACACAGAGAATTTTGAAAATTCTTTCGAAGGTACAACTACGGATTCTGGAAAAATAGCCGTAGCTTTCTATTCCGGCATATTTTCTTACTCAGGATGGAATTACTTGAATTTCATGACCGAAGAATTGAAAAACCCATATGTGTAAATACATACTTTGATAATACTTAGCAGATTGTTATAACAAATGTTTTCATTTTAACTGATAAAAGAAACATCCGTTTGCAGGAATTTACCGCGTGCTATTTACATATCATTGCCTTTAGTGACGCTTATCTACGTACTAGCAAACATCGCTTACTTGGCTGTTTTAACGCCAACTGAAATGATTTCATCGGAAGCTATTGCGGTTGTAAGTTTTCATACATGTATAGATATAACGTATACAATCTAGCAACTACACCATAGACATTTTCAGACATTGGGTGATCGGCTGCTTGGGGTAATGTCTTGGACGATACCCTTAATGGTAGCTGTATCTGCTTTTGGAGGTTTGAGCGTTCACATAATGACATCCTCGAGAATGTGTTTTGTTGGAGCAAGGAATGGTCATTTTCCATCGATACTTAGTCATATCAACATCAAACGGTTCACTCCGACACCAGCTTTAGTATTTCTGGTACGTAGTGCTTAAAGGTCTACTTACCTTAAAAGCAAAATGAAGCTCAATTGTCACGCAACTTCATAAAAATATAGTCAGTATACAATTTTAGCACGTCGATGCGCCGACGTAAAATCATGATCAATACAGCTTTACGATACCCTAGGTTGTGCAAGAATTCATCTAATAGATATTTCGATGCTCATTATAATTCTTTGCATTACAGTGCATCCTGTCCTTAATCATGCTTTGCGTCACCGATGTGTTTGTACTAATTACTTACTGCAGTATTGTGGAATCATTCTTTATCATGATTTCGGTTGCTGGTATTCTGTGGCTTAGATACAAGAAACCAAATATGGATCGACCAATTAAAGTACGCATCATATTTTAATCGATTAGATGATATGCTGTCATTTTACTATTTGACTTTCATTGGTAATTTATAAATTCTAGGTTTCGTTGTGGGTGCCAATTTTATTTGTGGCCGTTTGCGCCTTTTTGGTATTAGTACCTTGCTACAAGAGGCCAATTGAAGTGGGTGTAGGTGCCATTATCACTTTATCCGGCATTCCTGCTTATTTAGTAGGTGTAGCTTGGAAGGACAAACCACTCTGGTTCCGAAAGCTTAATGGTGAGCAGGTCATAAATTTATCTCTTACAAACTTTATGATAAATATTTCTTAACCGCTGATTAAAAATAATTTTCAGCCAAGATTACACACGTCGTTCAAAAATTGTTCTTATCGGCTAAGGAAGAACGCGATAATTGAAACGGTTGGTGGGGAAATTACGTTTTTCTCGCAATCTGCTGCTGGTTTTAATTGCATTCATGTTTTTTTTCATACTTTAGTGAGACGTGTACGATCATGCATTACGATTGATTAATATCGCGCTTTTGCGCGGAAGTATTTCTATTCCCTCTTTTTTATATAAATCCAAGATGCCTTGTGTATTCATATATCTGGTTGGCAGTTATATTGCTGCAGAGAAAATATAAATTCTTTCTATAGTTATGCTGAATTATAAGTGATACACATCTTGCCTTTTGGAATAAAAATTGTGATACAAACGGTCAAATAGAGAAACTTTAGATGAATATTCACTTTGTAAGGGCAAATCGTTATCATAAAGGCAAAGTTACATTTTAAAGAAGAAGGTGCGATTGGACTGCAATCACATACAAGGGGCATTGATAACACATTTTTCGAATCTCAATAATAGTCTAAAAGCAACTGGACAATATTGTTGTAAATACTATTATTAAGGAGTGTAGTAAAGTTTTTTCTTTCTGATTTTGATTTCAATTATAAAGAGTGACTGAATGTGAGATAAAGTCTGAGTTTCGTTTGCAAGTAGATCTTTTTAAACGCTGTATTTATATATTGTAATATAGTATTAATCATATATTAAGGGCGACCATTATGTTTCTTGCTGAGTATTTTTTAGCTATAAATGTGCTTCTTTTAATATATTCACAAAGTATATTATGTTAATATTATCTGGGAATTAAATCCAGCTACGATAATTTCTGCAGTACTTTTGTTAAATTAATGTTTTCTGATGACAGTAGGCAGTAAAATATGGTTTAGTAATTTAATAAAGTATACCTTATTCATAATATATTGGAATGTTTATAATTCTCCATTTTTTTCACATATAATTTCACAAGAACAACAATTCCTAGAGATTAAACTAATAAATACTAGACAGTTGGAAAATACTTTTATTATACATAGTAGTCAATGGTGACTCATGCATTTATTGTACACGCATTAATGAATATCTTCAGGGTTGAACATTCCCTGTAACATAAAACATTTTTCTTTTCAAACCTATGCATGTACGATAGTACTTTCACTTTTTTTTACAAAGATTCAGGATTCTTGAAGATATTTTTTAGACTATTTCTTGGTTACATAATTCATTTAGATGTTTTCATTGACTGAGTATATCTTTCTATATATAATTATGTGTGTAGAAGTCTCTTAAACATGAAGTGTCAAATAAAATAATCAATTTTACCTTTGCACGTCGAAGAATCGAGTCTTTGCTTGCATCATATGGATGATCTTTACTGGGAATTTCCAATACTGCGGGAATAGGTTGAGTATGACTATCAATCACATGTCGAATCATCTCAGCCACCTGTAGATAAATTCTAAAATTAATTCCTTTAACATTAGTGGATCTGAGGTATTCATTTCTTGTCCAGTCACATGAATATCGTTATCACATATCACATGACTCAGATATTTGACTAAAAATAAAATAAAAATGTATGCAACAATTTTCAAAATAATTCTCATGACAAAATACAATCATTCAATAGAAAGTAATTACGGTGAGATTAAAGCTAAGATTGGAAGCAGCATGCAAACCTGTTTAGATAATATCTGAACTTACATTTTGATTAATTAAAATAATGTCGATATCGTCCCTTCTGATAAAACGCTTAAATGTTTCTTCGATTTCACTCACTGCAGTATCTAAACAAATAAATTCCATTTAGTATCGATGTCTTATGAATGGTTATAATTTTTTTAATCATTAAATCACAACCAGATAATTGTAATGGTCATAAGTGAACCAGTATTGTGTAAGAGATGTTATAAATTCGAAGCATGACACATATGTATTAATTCTTACAATTTTAACATACTTTTGTCGACAACCATAAAGTTGGGATGACGATTTTTGTTGATCTCTCCGACACCTCCCAAGAGGAACCCCACACAGGTATCCTGCAAGTGAAACATTTATTTTCAGGTAAATATAACTGCTCGAACATAGTACAGAATTATAAATAACTTGCGTGCCTCGTCTCCGATAACTGCCAAGAGTTTGCCTTTCCCTGCGGAATGAAGAGCCATTGTTACTTTTCTTCTACTTTTGTGTAATGACAAATGTTCCGTAAAAAAATATCGAAGTATAATCTTTAACTAAAGTCAGCTGACTGACAGTCACGCCTTCAGACGGGTAAGATGTGTTTCCATGAAGCAAATTTCATCGAGTTTTTTAATCTTCGATGAAACTGGACAAAATGCTTCCATAATCGGCTAGTGACTAAAATGGTCCAATCCTCCACGAAAAATAAAAAATTAATACAAGCGACATTATTCGCTAAAATTTGGAAATCAACTCTCCAAACGTTAATATGAAACGAAAATAGTTTTTGGTTTGGCGTTTTCTTTGATTCCTGTTCCAGGATCATAACTCAATTTATTAATTATTAACGGTTCTCACTAGACTGCTATCTAGTGATATATGAATTTGATTGGCGGAGTCGAATGATTAAACCATAAATGGAGACAAATGATTAGTCCATTAATTCTTCCTTTTTATTCCTTAGTCATTCGTGAACTATCTCTTTGAATATAATAATTTCTGAAAATTATAAGTCCTTTAAAAAAGATATGCAGTGACTTAACCTTCAATTGCAGGAAAGCTTTCGACTCGCTTGATCGCCGCGCCCCTGACGGTCTTCGGCTCAGACATGTTTGCGAAATGTTTCCCAACGAGCGAATTTCTCAAAATGCGTCGTGCTCTTGAAGCTCTGCACGGAAGAGATAATTTATAAAATTTAAAACTCATTTAGAATAGAGTGGAGGGATTTTTCTCATAAATGGTGATTTGTCAAAACCGTAAAACTGTCTAACATTGGGGAGTAAGTATTCAATTAAATGACGTGTCTTTGCATAAAGTATTTATATCAATTTATGCAGCTACTGCTCTGTATACAAAATTTTTGTGACTATTGCACTTACAGAATATTTTAAAAACTACCGAAACAATGTAATCCTTTTTAGGACGACGCACGGTACCTTCTTTAAATAGATCTTGAAAATATTTTCACATTTTGCGTCATTTAACTAAGATACGCTATTACAAAAAGCATATCCGTCTGCATCTTGGCATAGAAGGCAAGCAACTGAATCACGTTTAAATGCAGTGTTCCATTTACTCTGGCAATAGCCCAATAACTATCGTTATGTTGGTCATTTGGTAGCTTTTTTAGACCAAGCACCGAAATGGATTCAGAAAGTTGACATCTGTGTTATTATGTTAAAAATTACAAAAGGACATTCATTGTTATATATAAGTTATATATAAATACAATTTGTACCATGTGAAAATAGGGAAATCATTATTTTTTAGAAGTTATCATTTGTATGGAAATGTTTAGTAAATAGATTACAAACAAAATGTTGATAAATATGATTTGCAGTAAGGAACGTGGTCGGGCCAGCATGCCGGAACCTGTGAATCACCAGGTGAATGCAGCTCGCAAAACGTTCCAGATCTTGTACCAAATATCCAAACTATTAAACACAAATTTAGACCAAGCCACGCTTAGTATATGCGTGCGACTGTTGGAAAGTGGAGTAAACCCACAAGCATTGGCTGCTGTAGTAAGAGAACTACAAAGAGAAGTCAAGGCACTAAATGAAGCACAGGTAGAATCTATTGACAGCAAAACCAGTGTAATTAAATAAGAAATTATGATAAGGAGAATTTGCCATTCACAATATTGTACCTTAGTACCTAAAGTATTAGTTTGCTTGTGTAATATTAATGATTGTTAAATAAATTTTGATAACTGTTTATATTTTTTATTTTCAAAGTAATGTTACAAACATTCATACATCTACTATATATACTTTGCAAGGTAAAGTATTTTTTAATACTTAACCATAATTATCACAGATAGAATCCATATGTTATTACACGCGTGTACAAGTAGAACATTGCATTGGATTTGCATTTCATTGACTATACAGATTTGTACAGACCAAGAATTATAAGATATTGGCACGAGAGTATGAACATAACTCCAAAAATTGTTGAAATTTAATTTAACGCGTGAAAATAACTTCAAGGAATGAAATAGAAAAAAATATTTATTTTCCATTGGCTTAATTTCTTATAAGCATAAAGACAGAATTTTCAACTACATATGAAACTGGCCCTTCACTTTTGATACAAATCAATATTATTCATATTTTACATATAAATATTTAAAGAATTATAGATATTGTATGCTCTTTTTTTAAATGCTGGGTGATATTTTGCCATACTATCATGCAGATTTTTCTTTTAGTCAATGCGATTTAAGAATTGTAAATTTCAAAATCCGTAGAAGTTTCACAATTCCAATTTTTTCCTAGGCTCTTTTGCATTTGATTCTTCGCTGGCTGCATTCTGGAACATAATTTACATGTATAAATAAAATGTAACAATTGGACCCGAAAATAATGCATATAAAGATTTAATGTGTTGCCTGAATATTGAAAACTCACTTCACTCTTTTTCGCATGTTTCCCATAAAATGTCTGCCCTTCGAGAGTGATATGCGATATTTCAGGTTGTTCTAATAAATAATTTTTCGCATCTATAGCTTGAGATCCTTCTGGGAAAAGAAACACTGCTCGTTTAAGATCAATTGGATATCTGAAATTATTAAAGTTTTCAAATCAGCCGTTTATAAACTGTTTTCAGTAAAATTATTTCAAATATCATCTGCTATTGATAATTCGTGTCAATAGTTTGACTTTACCTTTCTGCAATAATGTGATTATTTTGTAAACTGCCCTGCCATATTCTCATTAGAACATTGGCGTTCTCTTCCGAGATATCTGGGTTAACGTCTATAAACATCATTAAGCTTTTGCCTTTTTTCGTCATCCGTAATATTTCATCCGGTTTTGTCATATCAACCTAAAAGAGTAACTCCCATCGAAGTTAAAAAAACTACAAACATATCTAACATTCATAGTTAGTAAAATAGAGAACATACTTCTCTTAAATTAAGAAAATACCAAGAATGTATTGTTTTATAAATGTGATAGCATGTAAGAAATAAATGAACTTACTTTTGACAAATCTATTTGCGGGCTTGGCCTAAGATGTTCAGGAAGCTCGTCAGGTTCTAAGGGTTCTTCATGTTTCTGGAAATGGATTAATACTTCGATTACATTATCCTTGAATAAGTGTTTAAAAATAGAAAATATGAAATTTAAAAGTGATATCCTGAAACTAGACTCGTGGAGAGCCAGAATTGTTAACCAAATATCTTTTTAATAAAAAGTGAAGAACCATCAAAATCTTACCTCCCATTCATCAAGTATACGTTCCAAGTCGGCATCATTCATATCTGTGATATCTCTTTTATGCGATGACTTTTTCTTACTTGTATTCGAATCATCGCTTGAAACTGTGTAAAGAATCATTAGAGAGCTTAAAATAACGATTAATCTCTTCATTATGAGAGTCCTTCCGAAGTTAAATTTAACGATACTTCCACGTCGAACAAGTTGTATTTGGAATTGTTTGGAAGAAGTTTGGAATATTGTTTTGTTCTGACAGCTCTACTGTATGATCATCCTTTCATGGAAACACATAGAAATGAATCTTTTTTTAAAGATGCAATCTGCTTTATCGATAACTATACTTACTGTAATTATAGTTCACTGTTTTACCGTTTCAAGCGCTGCATGTGAAGGTAAAGTGGATCTGTCAGCTGTTCTTTGCATCTGACATATACAAATATGACTTGAACTTTTGCTAATTGATTTCAGTTGCTCGATTACAAAGTCAGTGTCACTTATCGTTAGCCCACTCTCAAAGCAAGTAAGAAAAAAAGCAGTCGTCGTTAATAATTTATCCATTGTAATATAAACATTTTAATTCATCTTCTATACCATGATCGTTCAATTTTCTGCTTCCATTAGGATGTCTGATTACTTTCAAGAAATGGGATGGACTCCGCTAGCAAATGGTGAATCACCGAATCATTTAGTTCACATGGCACGCTTGCTCCGTGATTTTGGTATGTGGGAACAACTTGGGCAAACGGAGCGATTGCCTCCTCCTGCTTCAAAAACTGCAATAGATGGTCTCAAGGAAGTAAACATTACAGATGAAAATTCAAAACAGTGTCCGATATGCTTGAAAGAGTTCGATATAGGCATTACTGTAAAATTATTGCCTTGTCAGCACTCGTTCCATAATGAGTGCATTTTACCATGGTTGGGAAAAGTACGTACTGCTCGGGATCGATGCGCAATTGTGTATTAGTGTTATTTGTTTTCTTAATTTCTGGTTCCCTTGCAGACGAATACCTGTCCACTGTGCAGATATGAATTACCTACAGATGATGAAGATTATGAGATGTACAGAAAAGAGAAATTGCGAGCGATTGAAAGAGAAAAGGACATAGAAACTTTACACAATTCTATGTTTACGTAACATCAGGAATTATTTATTTTTTTTATCTGCCGGTTTCTTGTGGTACATACACGCAAGAACAATTACACAAAATTAACAAATTATGTAACAAAACACATATATTCCTTTCTGATTAAGATAAATACAGTGTACATACATGTGACTATTACTACAATTCATACAATAGTAAGAATTAAAAATCATTTATATTTGTCATTAGATAAAACTTTTGGCAGTGATTCAAATAATTAACATAATTACATGTCAAAGAGGGACTTCAGATCTAATGTTAATTTTGCTCCACTTGTGAAACGAACTCCACCCAAAACGCCTTCGGCCAATTGTAATTTCCTTTCTTGCAAAAGTTTTATTCGCTCTTCGATTGTATCCTTAGTCATGTACCTGAAATAACGAATTGTTTCATATTGTTTCTCAAATGTTTGAGATTATAAACTAGATTTTGATAATTTCTTACTTATATATGCGAACATCTTTGGTTTGTCCGAAACGATATATTCTGTCTTGCGCTTGAATTTCCAACTGAGGATTCCAATGAATGTCAAAGAACAGTAAATGATTTAGCCCCAAGAAATTTACCGCGTCGTTTTAATGCTTTGTTCCAACGGAAATTTCAAAATGTTAGGGTTGCTTTCCATGAAGAAGCAAACAGTTTTGAATGACCTGTAAAAGGTGTTCGTTTATTCAATTTTAAATCAACATATGTGGCGCCCCTACCGATGAAACTCAAACCACCAGAATTAATTCCACAACGTGAATTTCATCACCTTTCCCTTTCTTTTCAAATAGCATTTAAATGAAATATTGTTATAACAAATCATAAAGCAAAATAGAGCAGTAAGACGGTACAATTCTTTAACAGATTTCCATTTAAAGAAAATGCAACCTGAATTTCAGCTGCGCACAGATTTTCTATTTAAGAATGTCGGTTGAACTGGTTAGCCACCGGCTTTATTTATCTCTTTCATCCCCTTTTGCGGAGCGGTCCAAACGGTCATTAGAAACCCGAGAATATGAAAATGTGCATAGAGCAATCATCGCTGGTAATTTCTCGCGCAGTTTCCACGAGGCAATTTCGATGCATCATTGATGTTTTTATACAGATGATGAGTTGCAGGTCCTCGAGGGTCGACGATGTGAAAATCGCTTTCATATGGGCGCTCTGAACGTCTCAAGATAGCGCTACGACATTGAACGTACGCAAATGGGCGGCAGATGTAAGGGAAAACTGCGGATTTGTCGTCGACGCCATGTTGCCGAACGGTATCAAGTGATTCTCCCGAATGGGAATGACGATGTCATATGTTTCTTGCCGCACACAACCACGGGCTGCATACTTGTGTGGTGCTTGAGGCAGTGCCGACTCATTGCTGGAAAAATCTCTACCAAAACATCGTGACGGTTTCCTCGTCGAGAGTGTGCACGCAGATCGCAGTCTCCTACGGCACGGAATTAATCGGACCATCGAGGTTTCGCCGAAATGATCGTCACGCTAAAAAATTTGCAACAGCAGACCTTCACCGTAGAGATTGACCCATCGAAGACGGTAAGCTTAACAATCCACGGAGTACCGGAACTTGTACTTTTTTACCTCAGCCTTTCCCTCTGTAAGCGGATCATTTTTGGTTCTTTGCAGGTTAAGGATCTTAAGGACAAAATAGAGGCGCAAAAAGGGTTTCCAGCACAACATCAAAAGTTAATATACGCCGGTAAGCAGAGTAAGAGGCGACGGTATAACCTTACTTTTTCCCCCCATGATTCGATTCATTCTCACTATGGTTGTCCTGTACTTCATTCATTTTTCACTCCTCGTTTATGGTCATGCGAAGGTAGAAAGGAACTATTGTGAATGCGTATTTCTGTGTATGTCATGGTTAGCAGCAAATAAGTACGTATTTCTTTCTTCGTCTCTAATCGTTTCGGTGGGTCCTGGCTATGTCCGAGATAACCTCATTCATCAACGAAGTGTGATTGAATGTGTAAATAATAAAGAGAACATTCAATGCCGACATGTTTCATAGATAGTTTTAAAATGAGTATATGATTATTCTAGTGTCGGTAACATAACCTTACTTTATGTCAATATTTTGCTTACTAATCGTTACTGTATTTCCTGTTTCTGGTATTTTAAGAATGGCAATGATATGATGCATAAGTTATGAATATTCAATGAATGTTATCTATTTTTAGGAAAAATATTAACCGATGAGCAGCCCTTGACCGAGTATAATATCGATGAAAAGAAATTTATAGTAGTAATGGTAACAAAACCTAAAGCTGGTACCGGTGCAAGTACGAGTGACGAACAGCATGCAGATGGTGATAACAATAAAGAATCTACAGCACCTAGGTAATTATATACTAAACTGTGTATAAATAACATTATGATTAAATTCATATTTTCTTTAACTTTATGATATGTACTTATTCTGTTAATTCTTTCAGTCCTGCATCTTTACCAACGACAGTTCCTGTGCCTCAAGTACAGCCACGAGCAGCAGCTACTGTGCAAGAACAATCAAGCATAGCCGTTGCTGCTTCTGGTGGAGGACAAGCGGAAAGTGCATTACTTATGGGTGAGGAATACAATGCCATGGTAGAAAATATAATGGATATGGGGTAAGTTTATACACATTTTGTATTATTTAGTACTTTTCCACTACATATTTTAATATTCTTTGCCATTATTCTGATCCCATGAATTATTCAACATTGTTTCCATTTGCATTTTGATTGTTTGTATTTGCATGTCAACAGAAATGACAAGAAATATATTCTCCTGTACGATTCAATTATATTTCATAAAAAGATGGAAATTTAACATTGTTGTTCTATATTTAATTATAGTCACTAGCAGTTTTTAATTCTTCGATAGATACGAGCGTGAACAGGTGGAACAGGCTCTGCGAGCGAGTTTCAACAATCCTGACAGAGCAGTTGAATATTTATTAACGGGTATCCCAGCCCAACTATTTGAGGATCCTCCAGAGGAACAGTCCGACTCTCAGGATCACATTCAAGACCAAGGTTCAGATCCGCTTGCCTTCTTACGTACACAACCTCAGTTCCAGCAAATGCGACAAGTCATTCAACAGAATCCACACCTATTGAATGCCGTGCTCCAACAAATTGGACAGACCAATCCAGCTCTCTTACAGTTAATCTCCCAAAACCAAGAAGCATTTGTACAGATGCTCAATGAACCTGGTTAGTCTCCCCATAATATTTTGTGTTTACGATGCAAATAAACATCATTCATAAGATAAGCGAGGAATACTGGGCAGCTTTCGGTAACCTATTTTTCTCATGACTAGAATTATCGAATGGCTTCGTAAGATTTTTTTTGCAGTGAATTTTCTTTGGAAATAAATGTTTAAACATAACGTCCAGGAATGTGGCTAGAAATTATCAGTGGTACATTATTAATTAACACGTAGTCTGTTTTATTGCCTCCTCAAAAAAAAAAAAAAGTACAAAAGAATCGTACCCTTTCGACATGACTCCAAGTTTTAACTTGTACATAGAATTACGTCATTCAATCGCAACTTATGGAACGACCCAAGAATATGTTGTATTTCGCAGCTGGAACAGCGGAGGCGACGGGGGCAGTGGGAGCGCAAGGTGCACCGGTGTCTGCCGCAACGGCGGCGGCAGCTGCAGCTGCAGCGACAGCTCAGGGTGGTCTGACGAGCAGCGGTGGTGCAGGTGCTGGCGGTGGATCGGTCCGAGGAGTTATCCAGATCACGCCTCAGGACAAGGAGGCTATCGAGAGGCTCAAGGCGCTGGGGTTCCCGGAGCACCTAGTTGTACAGGCGTACTTTGCATGCGAGAAAAACGAGAACCTTGCCGCGAATTTCTTGCTGTCGCAGAACCTCGATGACTGAGGCACTGGACTTAACCAACCTTGCGACGTAGAGTTAAAGGGCTGTTAGAAAATGGAGCGTTCGCACCGACATCGTTTCTACGGAATTTACACTCGACTCGCCTTAACTTTGTCGTTAGAATGGATATGACCTTGTCATTTTGGGAAAAGCATGGACGTAGGGGTCTCTGTTCGATGGGACGTTCGAGGTCCCCTCGATCACTGGAAAACGCAAACGATTCGAAAAACACGTGGTGGCTTACGACATCTTATCTAATCTTTTCCGTCGTCGTGCTTTGCAACTCATTTACAGAACCACGACTAAACCGTACCCTGGGGCGCATGCATGTCGTTTGTGCACCGGGTACGGGCGATTCTCATTAATTAGATCCTCAGTCGGTATCGGCTGCATTTCAGATAGGAAACGTTAATCCGTAATACGGACGTCATTGTCATTGATATGGACGTCATAGGTGACCGCTTCGCGACTCGTTTGCTTACGCGTACCGAACGTCCGAAACTTCGAAGACGCGGCTGCGAAGATGTAATGGTTTCAAATTCAAAATGAGCTTAATTAAAAAGGAAATGCATTCATGCTTGAGATGTGGTCACAGGTCCGAGTTTTGTATTCGTCATTGATCTTCTTTCCAGGGCAATTGTATGTGTCGTTTGCCGGTAGAACCTACTTTGCGAACTGAGACATGTCTTTGCGCTTTTGTAACTACCATCCAAATGTATCCAACACTTATTTCGCGTGTCTTATGATCCCTTAATCCTGGGTCAATGTCCTATCGTCATGTGACTCGCTGCAATATGACAATACAGCATCGGAGCTATTATCTTTGTGGATCATCCGAAAGAGATTAATGTAACTTGGACTCGGTGCATGAGAATACGCGCGGATGATTGTCTGAAATAGGAAACGCGTATTCGTTAGGTGACACATTTAAGCGAGGGGGAATCGGTCTATCGATTATGCACGCTTTGAATGGGTCCCGTACAATTACATCCGCAGTCAATAGATTACTCTAAAGTTTTATGTTGAAAGAGCGGCTGATATACGACACTAAAGTGGCTGTTTTTTTTGCAAGCGTTAATATGACTTGTAACTAAGCCTCGACGTTTCGAGTACGTCTTCCATGGAAAGACGTGAGCGAAATTGTTTATTTAGTTGAGTTGTATGATTCGTACATGCATTCACGCGTACTCATGCATATTATATAACAGAACCTTTTTTTTTTTTAATTTTTCTTTCTCTCAAAATTATAACATTTAAATAGCAAGTAACGATGCCATTGAAGCAGATTGTCACACTCTCCCTGTTACGTATCCAACATACTTGTAATACATTCATAGAACGAATAAACATGTTAAGATTTTCAAAAAAAAAAAGAAAAGAAAAGGAATCGCTAAACGTAATATTTATGTACATATCGACTAAGAAATGTACAAACTAAAGAATTAGTATTATAATCTGTCAATGTCCTAATTCGTTGTCTAATTTAACGTATGATATCCCAATTGACCAGGACCTGTTATGTTAAATTTCAGAATTAGTTTGTTTAATGGGCACGAAAGTTTCTTCAGCGATCCATTGTCCTTTGTTTAAACTTTTTTTTTACATTAGGCAGTGTGTACGAGAAAGTGTTGCTTTATTCGACTTTCATTGGTTTTTAATGTATTACATTGCTCATCTTTTTTATGACATGAACACTGACGATTGTAACACCATGAATTGATCATGATCGATCGTTTGAATTGAATACCGACACCAATTAGTAGTATTTTATAACCGTTTTTATTTTGGTCTGTATTATACATATTTATTAATTATGAATGCTATTTTTTATTGAAGGATTTTTGACATGCTATATTCTTACACAGTCTTAATAAATTAATCTTTCACGCATGATTCGCGGTGAACGGACGTTGAGAAGAGGACCAGAGATGAAAATTCTAGATGAAGATTCATGCTACATTTTAGAAACATTATGACTAATTCATTAATATGAACTATCATCCTCGAAGGGTTTTAACGTAATGCACCCCGCGATTGTGATGTTTGATCGATAATATTCAAGGTTAGAGGGTTAGGAGTTTCTATAGACCATTATTGTTTCTACGATATAAGTAATTTCCTAGAGGATGAGTTTGTTGTTACATGTCAGGGAAGTCGGATGAAATCCATGTTTATTTACGTGGCTCTACACTCGATTTGTACATTTTCATATAGTTAATTATTTAATCATATAAATTGTTCTAGGTGAGCAAACATGGTGCAGAAGAAGAAAGCAGAGAAGTCTGCATCGGAAACTCTGCCACCCGAGTAAGAATTAGTTTTATCATTTACTTCATTGACGTAGTTTAATTGGTTTTGAAAATCAAAGCAAAAACAAGGAAGCATGTATGTACAATATATCTATGCAAGAATATTATTTGAATGTATATTCTCTCTCAATAATTATTAGACATTGTTTGTTACAGGCCAGAAGTAGACACTCCGGAAGAGGATGGTACGATTGCCTCAAAAGTATCAGCTTCCGTCGCTACTGCACAGTCTTATGGCCCCCAAATTCGGTATATTTTTGAGAATCTCGAAGAACAAAGTTCTGACGATGAACCAGAGTCTGGGAGTGACGATGAAAATAGATATCTTAAAGAAGATACAAAGGATGTTCCCTCGGAATACTGGCATTTACAAAAGCTAGTTAAATACATGAAGGCAGGAAACCAAACCGCAACGATAGTTTCATTGTGCCTCCTTAAAGACTATGAACTTAATTCCAATGTATGTATTTTCTATTTTTATTATACACATGCTCTATGTCAAACTGTAAAGATGAGTTTTAAATGACTTTCTAGTCTTTGTGTCTCCTTGTATCCTTGCTATAGGCTCTTCGATCATGCTTTCGGGAAATGGGAGGATTGGAACTTTTAATAAATCTTCTTGAAACTAAAGATACTAAGTGTCAACATGGAGCATTAATAGTTCTACTTCAAATGACAACGTCGAGTGAAATGAGGCGTCATATGGTTAATCTTGGTATAGTATCACCATTGATTCAGTTAATGAAGCACCCTGCAAAAGATATACAAATATTGGCTGCAGAAACCATGGCAAATATAGCTCTGATGAGAAAAGCTAGGAAACAAATTCGCCTGCGTGGAGGAATACCGCTAATTGTAAGTATATGACAAATTCTGAAAAGTAATATCACTGTAAGAGTTTGATGTTTGAAGTGTCTTTTTCATATTCAAAGTAAAGACTTTACTTAAAAGCTAATTACAGGATACATAAAGAGGCTGATATAAAAAAAAATTTGTACAAGTTTAAGTCGTCAAAACTGGTCAGTAAAGTGACACATCGTGTTGTATTTCAGATGGACATTATGGATGTTCCTGATTATGTATTACAAAGTCCGTTAAACGACCTAAAAGAAGATGACAGAGAACTCGTAGCAGTCGCTGCAGGGAGTGCTAAAGTACTGGACTCGGTGAGTAGCAGTCCGAAGATCAAGGAAGAACTACGAAAACATGGAGTAATCTTCCTTATGGCACGATTTTTAAGATCATGCCATACAAATTTGATCATCTCGATGATGGGCTCTGTTCAACAGTGCGCAGACTTGGTAAGTTACTTCCGAAAGTACTACCTGCTAAATTTATTGCTTTGCGTGAAATCATCCGAACAATAAATATAGACAACCGTATTACACAGCTTTCAAAGACTTTCTAATTTTCCTGACTTGTACATTGATCTGGTTTTTTTAGAAAGATTTCCGAATCGCCTTCGAACAAGCTGGTATCATTGCTGACATAGTGCAACATCTTCAGAATGAGGATTTCAAATTAAAGGAAAATTGTGCTCGTGCTATATTTAAGTGTGCTCCCAGCAAGACCACACGAGATATTGTTCGAGAAGCAGGAGGATTGGATCCTTTGTGTGAACTTGTAGGAAGTAGCGAAGTCCGAAAAAGAAAGCCGTTACTTGCTGCGGTAGTGGGTGCAATATGGAAATGTGCAATGAGTCCAGAAAATGTCAACCGGTTTAAACAGAACAGTTTAGTAGCATCACTGGTTACTCTGTTGGAAGAGAACGAACATGAAGACGTTTTAACCAATGTAGTGGGCGCACTAGCTGAATGTTGTAAAGATCCTGCTAATATAGATGTCTTAATTGTTAATGACGGGATACCAAAACTGGTAAATATGCATGATTCCTCTAAAGAGTGCTTTCTTCGACTGCGATATTTAGAGATGCCATGACCAATTGATTTTTCTTAATTTTTTGCAGATACATTTGTTAAGTGCAACGTATGAGCCCTTGTTGGAAAATCTACCGTTGGTGTTGAAAGCCTGTGCGGAGAATGAACAGTGCATGGACATCATTAATGATACCGATCATGTTTTGGATGGCATCCGATTGATATGGTCACTTCTCAAGCATCCTAGTAATATCATTAAAAGAAACGCATGCCTTGCCCTAGTGCCTTGTATTAAACATGCCAAAGATTCGCCAGAAATGGTTCGAGCTTTCGTGGGTGGTCTCGAATTGACAGTGAGTCTGTTAAAAAGTGACGACACCGAGGTACTCAGTGCAGTTTGTGCGACAATTGCTGAAATCGCGTTGGATCCAGAGAATTTAGGAATCCTGACTGATCACGGTGTGGTGAAGATGCTTGCTGATCTTGTGGAAACTGTAATTTGACATGTTGAAAAGTAACACATTTATTCTAACGGGTGGTATTGAGTAAAATGTATGTTTCGCAGGAAGACGAAGCATTGAGGGCAAATTTAGCGTTAGCCATTGCGTACTGTTGTGAGTGGGGACAGAATAATTATGAATTTGGAAAATTAAATACCGTTGCACCGCTAGTCAATTACATGACTAGTCAAAATCCAGATGTTCTCAAAGGCGCTTGCATAGCTTTTTATCACCTGAGTAAAGAACCCCTCAATTGTGTAACTATGCACACGTGTGGAGTAGTCAAGGTATTTTTTTTATAATTTACTTATCACTTGATAGTACGCTGTAACTTTATCTTTCTCTTATTTAGCATGTACTAAGATTAATCGGTTCTGATGATCTTGAAGTCCAACTTGCAGCTGCAAACACTATACGACACATACGGAAGCTAGCTCTTACAACAGAAAAATTCCATCACAAGGAAATGTGTGTGAAACATTGATTAGTTCTTCATAGAATATTTATTCTAATGTTAAGCCTACATACGTTTAATATAACATTATATATTTTGTTTCAGAGATGGCGAAATATAGAAATTTTACATAATAAAGGTATAACAGCTGATGAACGTTAATTTTATAACATTGCGATCACTTAATAATTCTTTCTGAAATTAAACTTCTCAAGATACATGTTAAATGTGTTGTTTATGGTGTCAGTCAGCGATATACTTCTGACTTGGCGAAGTTGACATTACAATCGTTGTTCGTTATCATTGACTACCTCAATTATTTTTCTTACAATTATTTACATTTATACATTCACATTTGCATGTTAGTATTGTCATACCAAAGCAATCAGTGAATTTTTTAATATAACGGGAATGATAGATTTTTTAATTTGGTAGGTAATCTATTGGATGATAAATTTATCCGTTTTGTGTAGATCAGTTTCGGTGGAGGGCCGTTAGGTGACGTCAGTAGCGAAATGAGAAACATGAGGCATGCCACTCTTTACTACTGTTTGATCTTAGCAAAAACCAGCAAAAATCGTAACCGAACGAATGTCAATGAACATGTTTATAATTATTTATAATTTATTAAGTGACAGGATTCTGGTCATATGAAAGACGGTGTACACATTAAAATGAAACTTTGTTGGACGCGTAAGTGTGAAGTAAGAAGGTTTAACCAGCATGTCATTGCGAAGATAACAATGTTGGATCTCGATGTAAGGATGGTTACCCATTCGTATGTTTTAACTTTTTTTTAAACTTGCAACTGCTTGTTTAAGGTCCGAGATGTATTCAGATGTTTTTGAATCTTCTGACAAAACTGAAAGAGGGAAACCAAAAATTTCACCAGTTGCTGGTTATGTACTCATTACCGTTACAGGTAAACTTATGGTAACTTCCTGCTTCGTTACTCTGAAAATTAAGATGCTAAAACTATACTTATCATTTCTAGGTGGTATTGGAACTGCCCTTCTAATAGCATGTGCTCCTTTTGTCAGTCCTGCTTTAAGAAAGATATGTTTACCATATGTGCCTGCTACAACAGTACAAGTTGAAAATGTTTTGAGTGCTTTGCGAGGACGCTCTGGTAATTTAATAGATGTTGGCAGCGGAGATGGACGAATAGTAAGTTAAAATGGATAATATAATTTTGTAGCATTGCCTATGATATAGCATAAGGAATTAAATTTGTCTTGATTTTAGGTATTGGCAGCTGCAAGAAAGGGATTTAAAGCTGATGGTGTAGAATTAAATCCTTGGCTAATTGCTTATTCCAAGATCAAAGCTGCGACCCAAGGTCTAGCATCTAAGACTGCATTTTTTAGACGCGATCTTTGGAAGTTTAATTTAACCAAGTATGACAATATAGTTATATTTGGCGTTGAACAAATGGTACGTTATAAGATTGCATAGTATAGTGCAACGCAGTTTATTGCCGATTTTTTAAGAATCTGAAGGTCTATACATTTACATAAATTTCATTTAATTTCAGATGACTGAAATTGAGGAGAAATTCATTTCTGAACTGCGAAAGGACTCTGTGGTAGTTGTGTGTCGTTTTCCACTGCCAAATTTAAAACCAGTTTCGATGCAAGGACAAGGTGTCGACACAGTATGGGTCTATAAGATTGACAAATAAATCAGGTCTTATAAAAATGTTGTTTTTTACGTTGTCTATTTCTATCATGTAAATAGTATTCCACATGATCAATTTTGCTGAATGTGAGATTAACATCTCGTTTTCGTTTTCAACAGATATATAGATGATAATACTAGGGAGTAAAAATGGCAACATTCAACGAGAAGCATTGGAGTTGTTGGGAAACGTGTATTTCTGGTCTAAGCCGTGAAGATATAGACCAAGTAACAGACCACATACATCAAACACTATCACATCACAAGGGAAAAAAAATCTTTAGAACATATTTGAAACAATGCCAACGTGTGGATGATCTCGCTTGTTTGGATCTTTACGATATATGCAATGACTTTATCGTAAAAGAAGAAAGTTACCGGTAAGAATATGCTAGTTCGAGTAAAAAATAATACTTTATTTGTTACTTTAGGTGCTTCTGGTATGCCTAATATACATTTATCCCATGTTATTGCTTGCATGCAGATGTTACAGTTTCTATAAGGTTAAAAGACTCATATATTCAGTGTTCTTGTTTCAGCTGCTCTTCCGAGGAGCCAACGTTGGACAACTTAACAAAAGATGTTCAAGCAGCTATGGACATGGCGGAAGCATTGGATGATATACCTGAAATAGATCTCGCTATTTTAGAACGATTCCAGGCAGCAGTGACCAGTTCCTCTAGGGATGACAAACTCCGTGTGTTAGAAGATACCAAAGTGCGATTAATGGATCATCTGCGAAACGCACATGATAGTTTCAAAGTACTTATCCTACAACATTATTCCAAAAAGAAGTGATATCAGTAATTTGTAATTATTGCTCCAGATACACGCTAAAAACAATTGCGGGTTGCTATAGTTTTATAGTTTTAGGTACTGCCTATGTCAATACTTTACGTTCCTACAACTAGTCCACTTACAGTGCTTGGCAGCAACATTAAAGTGTGTCAGAAAATATTAAAATAATCACTAATGTTTGTGTTACGTTAATTGATAAATTGAACGTAAACTTGTGAAGCTTCGAATAATGGCAATGTGTACTTTTTCATCACGATCGACATGATATTGATACATAGTACTTACAAATAGAATCTACTCTAGTAAGATTACATACGGGTTTCACAGCATATGAAGAACATAATAAAGAGTTTTATTGTAAACAATTTAGGATTTTTCATAGACTAAATTCTGCACCGCCTGAATATGAACCGTAAGACGTGAAGAATGAAATTGAAAGCTTGCGCTGGTCTTCAACAATTATTGTCATTTCTAGAACTATGTCGACAATGTGTAAAAATACCAAGGTCACTATATATTTTGATAAATATAGTCGTTGTAGTCAGGTCACGTTAGCTCTGGATTCTTCATGAAGAAGTATCGGGTACTAGGAGGTCGAGGTTAGCATCGTTCGTCCCAGAATTTATAAATGTCTCTTCGTCTCCTCGGATTGACAACTTCGCTCCAGGTAGACCAACTTTCTTCTCGTTCATCATCGCGGCTTTAGACCAGCTTGAGCTGCCGCATTTCTTACAACTTCGATTAGGCATTCTGTCAAGACTGATAGTTCTGTTGCCACAATCGGAGCATTTAAAAAATCGCTTCACAGCCTTGATAACGGTTATCGGGTGGCCCTGCTCTTTACAGAGGTCTGAACTGGACAATGCGGTATAGTTGCAGATCGAACACATCACTGCTTTACATTCCACTTTAAATGTCGACATCATTTTCTCCTCCATTTTCTCCTTCACTTCCAACTTATTAAAATATTTCTCTGCATTCTCGTCGTTCGAGCGTTCAATGAGATCCACATGAGCCGAGGTTGTCTCCATTAGTTTTTTAAAATTGTCCAACTCGGATTTAGCTTTCTTGGCTTTGACATCATTCACCGCATCTTCGTCCGACCTTTGTCGCTTTGTCTGTAGTTTGGTTTTATCTTCTTCACTTGGACGAATTTTATTTGGATTTGCTTGTTTAATGGACCCATGTTGTTGCACCCATTTCAGGGCGTTCAATTTTGCTTTATTAATATTTTTCTTCGTAATCGGCTCTGAGAAATCAATACTGTTATTGGGAGAACTAATTGGTTTGACTGCTGCGTTTGATTTCAGAGATTTTATGATTGCGTTACTTCTTTGAAGAAGTTGCAAATTAATTTTTTTTGTATCTTTATTAAGTATGTTCCCAGCCATTGAAGAATCAGTTGGGGTGACCGATTGATTCGACATTAATGTATTCTTCATCCAACCCCTTGATTCTTGAATTTTTTTCAAGTCGTTTGATTGCACTAAACCCTTGTTTTCTCCTGAATGTTTCGTTTCACTTTTTTCCATTTTCTCCCCCATAAGAAGAGCTAATCGAGCGTTATCTTTCTCTCGTAATTCTCGAGTCTTTTTCGCAGCGGCTATATTTAAAACGGGACTGCCTAAAGAATTTGATTTGTTTGGAAAATTGTTATTCTTTAGTCGATTTAAAGCACTAAACTTTTGTCCATTTCCAGTGGCTTGCAGTTCTGCTCGACGAGAACATTTACTGTATTCTTTTTGAACATGATATGTACAATACTGACATAGGTGTGTATTTACAATGGCTGTGCAAGGCTCGCCGCTTTTCTTTACAGATTTACATGTTCCCATGTCTTTGGAATTTCCAAGAATCATTAATTTCTGAGCATTATCGATAGACAACGTTGCTTGATCGATATTATCATTATTGTTCATCACATTTGGATTTAAAATGCCAATTACAGTACCACTTGAAGTCTTCCACAATTGTTTGTAAGCACTGCTGAACAAGAATAATGATATAGTGTTCATGTTTAAAGAGAGGTCGCTTATCTTCCAGATGCAATATTGGGTGCCTTTCTGGGACGTCCTTGTAAGAGATTTATTAATTAAAACTCCTGCTAACACCCAGTCTTGTTTTAAGTCGGCTGTAGTGATATGATGTTTGACTTCTGATATTTTAACAGCAGTGCGTCCACTCATTCTCTCACGAAATGTACTAAGCGGCACAATGGGCTTAACGATACGTAGTCCAAAAATTGGATCGCTATACACATCCGTTGTACTTTGAGGTGTACAGGAAGTTTTGGCAATACTCACTTTAGTATTGGAAACCGAGTTTGTATGATTTGATCGTTGAAATGTCGGACTGCATTCTTTCGCTACCATTGCTGTCTTCTTCAATAGACTTTTTATGTCTCGCCCTGCAATAGAATACTTCTGCTCTTCAAAATAGCGTCTGTCCTCCTCATCGGAAGAATCCGATTGGCCTTCGTTTAAATTAATGGGAGCGTCAATTGTTTCACTTGGAGTAAGTACATTGCTAGGAGTATCTGTAAAGTTAACATCTAATTCTTTTAATATTTTTATATTATGAGCAGGAGCTTCATCCTCTTCGTGATCCTCATTCCCCAAAAGGTTGTTTAAAATATCACCGTCACTATCCATATCTGCAAAAAAGGAAGCAAATATTTTCAGAAATATTTAATACACTCATTTAAGCATTCCATAAAATATGCAACACTAATTTACCTGACTCGTAAAATGCAATATAAAAGCTAGCCACTTAATTTACAATCGTCGTGTTAGTTTGCTATTTCTTTAATTAAGTAAAGTAGTCTTTACGGTTCTCATTCGGCTTCTTTTAAATGAATAATGCTTTTGTCATAAATAAGATCCTGTCCTTTTAAATTGTTCCGCCATCTTTTACCGCTTTCGTGATATTCTGTAGCCAATGAAGATTCAAATCAATAGATGTACCCTGCATTGCCGTTGAATATGTAATACGTGTGCTGCTCTTGCGCGGAATAATTAGGTTTGTACATTTTCCAATAGTGCCATCCAATTTAACCAGATAAATACATCTATTTGGATAATATCTAAATACATCTACGTCGCCACTTATCCTTTTGAATTCTACGATCTTGGATAACTTCAATAGTTCATTAATGTGTAAATAATCATCTGAGAGAAAGGTTAATGAGAGGGTTCGACTTTAAATTTCGTCAACTTCCACTAATTTCAACAATTACACTGAGTTCTGGGACATCCTGGGTATTAAGACATCTAGTGGCATCTTTTGATTTTCGCGCGTTCGATTGTTCGTTGCGCTCTCTACAATGACTTGGCGTCCGCCATCTTGTGGTAAATTTATGAAGTGCTGCGAAGTAATCAAGGAAGTGCGCCCGCTTCGAATCGCGTCTCCTTCTTCCAACGCGGATGATTGCGGAGATCCCGACTGCCGTGACTACCAAAGGAAAATATTCGTAGTCCACATCTGTCTCTTTCTTTCCTTCGGTTCCAGTTTGCCTCTTCTCTCTTTCACATAATCCGGTGTAAACTGGATCAGAGTAGTTAAATCGGCGAATACACCGAGAAATCCTTTTAGAAAATTAAATTCCGAAAATCTTGAGGGCGACTCTCGGGGCCACCAAGTCGGTACAGTTTTCACGTGGCTCAGGCAGTCGAGATTTCCTTTTCCATTCAAAGTGCTGCATCAGTCCACCCTCCGTCGTTATGTCCAACGAGGAAACTTCCGCCGATCGCAATGTTGAGATTTGGAAGATTAAAAAACTCATTAAGAGCCTGGAAATGGCCAGGGGGTAAGTCCTTCACTTTTGGCTATTCTACTTCCTTGCTCCCCAAAATTTTACTGCTTTCTCCTCTCTAACTTCTGACATATGGATTGCCTTCTAATGCCCAAGAATGTCATCCATCCTGCAGTCACATGTTCCCATGCTTTCGGAGAAGCACACTTGTGCTGCTCCGGAATGCACCATTCCTATCAATAAAAAGATATCGCTTGCATCCATGGAGACTAGAGTAGCTACGTATAATTATTTCCAGTCTGAACTCCATAATCTAATAAAGTATTAAAACCTAACGTTATCGGCCCTGTGCCGTGGCCACTGAAATTAGAATCGGTAGTGCTACAAATTCTATAAAGTTTGTTAAGTTTAACCGTCATAAGGATTGGTTACTTTATCCTACTTTTCTAGAGACTCGATAACTTTTGGAGTATAATCTATAACATATGGATAGTGCATGATTCGATTATTCGAGAAACATTTTTAATTTTCCGAAGTACATTGCATTTCAGATGCTGTTAATTAAGTTCTCTGTGCTTAGTAGTGTTCGCACAATCGTAGAAATTAAATCTGGATATTCCAGGAGCATTTTTATGTATTTTTATTCTAGGAGCTTGGCATGATTTTCTTTTTTAGTTGATAGTTGAATTATTAACGGTATTCGCCAATTTGTAATATTCTGTTGCAGGAACGGAACGAGTATGATTTCTTTAATCATACCTCCTAAAGACCAAATATCAAGAGTCAGTAAGATGTTAGCTGATGAGTTTGGTACAGCTTCTAATATTAAGTCTCGTGTAAATAGATTATCTGTATTAGGAGCTATCACATCTGTGCAACATAGATTAAAGTTATATACGAAAGGTGAGATATTCCAAGGAACGTTATAAATATTGAAATTAAATATTTAGTCGAATTTTTATTTCTAAAAATTATTCCAAAGAATTCAATTCATCTGATTAGTCCATTCTTTTGTATGGTAGATTAGATACATGTCTTTATTGTCATGTCTCAATAATTTATAAGTTTATATTATATTGTTACAATGAACAACAAGCAGGAAACAGGTATTAATTGTTCCGAAAAGCCTTGACTCACTTAATGCATTTAAATAAGTCTAAAGAGGATAAGTAAAAACAAGCGTTACATAACCGGTTATTCTAAAAGCATTCTTTGTATCAAGGTTGCCCTATGTTTGTTCTTTACCAAGTATGTCTAGGTAACTCGAGGGGCTTGTAAACATAAATACTAATTGGTGCTTATTTCTTATAAAATTCAATGCAAGTAGGAATTTATTACTTTAAGTAAAAGACGATTCTTTAAAAATAGCAAAGAGTATTAAAAGAGTACTGAACAGAAACTGACACGGGAAATTGTGTATGTGATATCTATTTGTATGACTACTTTAAATTCTTTCAGTGCCCCCAAATGGCCTAGTGATATATTGCGGTACAATTGTGACGGAAGAGGGGAAGGAGAAAAAAGTCAATATTGATTTTGAGCCATTCAAACCTATTAATACATCTTTATATCTCTGTGATAATAAGGTAAAATTATTCGACATTTTAGGACACGATCTTAAAATTGAATTCTGAATTTATCGGTGTCCATATCACAACGGCGTTGTGTATTTTGTATCTCATATGGTGCTCTTAATTTCATAAACGTGCATGATACTTGCATATCGCTTACATATTAATGATTATTCATTTTGTAATTACAGTTTCATACAGAAGCTCTTACGGCACTGCTTGCGGATGATAACAAATTTGGATTTATTGTAATGGACGGTAACGGTGCGTTATTTGGTACACTCCAAGGAAACACTCGTGAAGTTCTTCATAAGTTTACCGTTGACTTACCGAAAAAGCATGGTAATATATATTATTAACGGACTTGTGGCATAAATTAATTATTAGCCATGCGTTTACGACCAATTGAATTACAGGTAGAGGTGGACAGTCGGCGCTTCGATTTGCTCGATTGCGTATGGAAAAGCGACACAATTACGTTCGTAAAGTTGCCGAAGTTGCGACACAACTCTATATTACGAATGACAAACCGAACATTGCTGGTTTGATTCTGGCTGGTAGTGCTGATTTTAAAACAGAACTTAGTCAGTCGGACATGTTTGACCCTGTAAGTGTTCGAGACCATTTATTACTTAGCATAATATTTTCGACCACTCACTGGGCGTGTTTTAATTTTGTTCTATTAATTGTCACTACACTACGTGTAGCATATATCTTGATTACATACTTTGGTATCCATGGTATTAAAGCAATTAAAAGAGTCTATCGGAACTTGCACATTTTCTTTTACGAAACGTAGAGGTAATAGCTTACAGCTACCATTCAGTACTTGTAATATGGTATACACGTTCGATAAGCAATGTAACAACCTTCGATGTTCAGCTAAAAAACTTTATAAATTTGATGTTTATTTTTGAAACAGAGATTGCAGGCTAAAGTCATAAAACTAGTGGACGTGTCTTACGGCGGAGAGAATGGCTTTAACCAGGCTATCGAACTAGCTGCTGAGTCTTTACAAAATGTTAAATTCATCCAGGAGAAGAAACTCATTGGTAAATTAACCTTTCATTTTTTTGCCGATAATCGTACAGTGTGCATTATATTTATTGTTATCCATTTCATTTCAGTTCGGTTAAACTTACGAAACGCATGCGACTCGACTTTATAATTTAATCTAATTTAGTCTAATAATTTAGTTTAAAGTCCGGTGTGACTTTATTAAATTTCACTAACCACATCGCGAAAATTATTGCATCTAAAGCAGTATATGTTTATTTATGAGATGACACATTGTGCGCATTTCTGTATATAAGTAACGAAGTATGCAGTCATTTTTAAATATTTTTTTTATTTAATTAAATAAATACCCTAACCTTCCTCGTTTCAGGACGTTATTTCGACGAAATATCACAGGATACCGGAAAGTATTGTTTTGGAGTCGAAGACACATTAAGAGCGCTGGAGCTGGGTAGTGTGGAAACTCTTATTTGTTGGGAGAACCTCGATATTCAACGGTACGTTCTGAAGAACCACACGAACGCCGAGGAAAAAGTTCTTCATCTAACGCCAGAACAAGAAAAGGACAAAACCCATTTTACGGATAAGGAGGTAAATTCTTTTTTGATCGGATACATATCACATGAGTTGAGTTAAGGTTTTATCACTCGGCTTGGTGAATATCGTACAATATTTTTGCTAGATTATTTTGTTTAATCCTAATTTCACTAATTATTTCTTTTGTTTCTAGAGCGGGGTGGAATTAGAATTAGTGGAGTGCCAGCCTCTACTTGAGTGGCTTGCGAACAATTACAAGAGTTTTGGAGCGACCTTAGAAATCATCACAGACAAGTCTCAAGAAGGTTCGCAGTTCGTGAGAGGTTTCGGTGGGATAGGAGGTGAGTTTAACTTTGTTCTTTCTAAACTGTTTTTGATATCCCCTTAAGGACTGATTAATCGTATAGTACTTGAGAATCGGAATCCCAGTTGTACGATATTTTTAATGAATTTCTACATTTGAGTCCAAATATAGCATATTATATTATACTTACTAATCGAATGAACAAAAATTGATTTTTTATAAGCATAGAAAGTTATTCTATAAATCGCCAGTTTAACATTTAATTCCGCCAAGGTAGAATTGCATACTTTGTATAAAATTTTGAGTTTATTTCCTGAGTGATACCAAATTAAGTTCGCTCAGTGGTAAAATTAAATATCAATTTTTAAGGCATATTGCATTTGAAAAGATTCGGCGATACTTTTGTTAGCAGGCAATTTCGACGTTTCAAGTTATCGATACAAAGAAATTTGTTTATAACTATATTCTATTATATAAACATAAACACAATCCGAAGGTTGGTAGCTGTATTAATTATGGAGTATATGTTGGTACGTAGGAATCCTTCGCTACAAAGTCGATTTCCAGTCACTGCAGGCTGACGAGCCTCTTGATGACGTTGATCTCGATGATTACTAATTTCATCTACGAATTTTTCAAAGTCAGCCAGGTAGTTTTTTACCTATCTTGAGTGCATTCTCTCTTTCTTTATGTCAAGTAGTATCATGTCAACGAGTATTATTTTTCCATCAGTCTTTAATAGCTTAGTTATTCACTTCTGCAAATGTTTACAAAACATGTAGATGAACATTTCTTCCTCGGTAAAAAACTACGTCGCGAATTAGTTGATTCGAAGACCTCGAATCAATTTTCAATTAATTCATTGGTCAACAATTGAGAATTTGTACGAATTACTGTAAATCATCGAGTCTCTTTCAATCAAAACCTGTAGGATAAAGAGCTTATGTAGAACATTTGTTTCATCCGATAGAAGCATGTGAACATACAAGTTGCATGACATTCATCGTTCCTAGGCACATGTTTGTATCAATTGTTCCGATGCCTTGATTAACGTATATACTTTGCATGACTACATTGATCTTCGCGAACTATCACTAAATTTCAGTGTTAATTTTGCATGAATGACACTGTTTTAGACCTAAGTAATACGTTTCCAGAGTACCACTAGTAAATAGTTTAACGTCAGTGGATAGAGTTCGCATCGCTCTGTATCGAGTCAACTAGAATATATTAAATCCACTAAATTGTTAGACAATGTAGTTGTTATCTGGTGTGTGCTCGGTAGTTAGAACTCAGTAAAAGCAATATCTAATGACGATTTCGTTTCTGTTAGCTCGCACACTGGATAAGGTATAGTACATGCTTTTTACGTTCTAACAAAGTATGTAAAGTGTGAGTTTTGTGCTCAAATCGTGTTGTTTTTTTTTCCTCAAATTATCCGTCATCTTATGAAAAGCAATCAGTTGGCTAGAGTTTGTAAATTGCTTAGAAAAAGCAGAGTAACTTATTAACAAACCAGGCGTAAGTAAAGTTTTGTTTGGTGGGTCGCTGGTAATTATTTGGATCAGTTTGTACGGGCCAGACTTCGTAATGTAATCGAAAAACGAAATAGAGCAAATTATTAGTGCGTTAAAGAAGATAAGAATATTCAACGTTCATACCACTCCGACTGCTAAACATAAAGGTATCGCCTTCTAGAATTTTGAAGTGCGATTGAGATGTGTATATGTAAACCGATGAAAAAAAATCAATTTTTTGTACTCCATTTCCTGTGCGAGCTCATAGCCCGTATAAAAAAAAATCTCTTCTTAATGCTTTACCTATCGGAAGCTTATTAATTGAATTTCTCACACTCGCAGTCCCAAATTCGCCAGTAGTTAATCTGTTAAATGTTAAGTCGGGATATGGAGAAGTAACGGAGGTATGACATTTTTTTTATAAAAGCACAAGTCCGAGTAAAAGATGCGTTTAATTGAATATATTTGATGTAACTTTTTGTTGAATAATAGAGTGTATATTGTTGAAGACGTTGATTGTAGCAAGACAAAGACGTTCGCGTAGATTTTTATTCGACTATTTGGTCACTTCCGTGTGAGATTATCTTAACATCGTGACGTCATTTTAGTATCGCGCGTGCAACCTTTTTTCCTCGATGTATCACAAAACGACGTATTTTTCAGGTATTTTGCGGTACAAAGTGGATTTTCAAAGCATGCAACTGGAGGAGATTGAAATTGAGAATTTCGATCTGGACGATTATTAAAAGCCACCGGTTTGGCAAGCAATCAGTTATTTTATCATCCGAGGAACAGCGCCTGTATACGTTTTAGTTAACACACGAGTATTTCCGGAGGGGCACGAGGAGAGAAACCACTAAGAAAAAAGAAAAAGAAGTCACCATTCGACACAATGCATTCACAGCCGTCGTGAAAAATTGTGGTGTAAAATCGAGAGACGTTTATCGAGCAGGCTTCTTGCCAGTGTATGAAGGTACGAGTGACTTCTACGTAGGACATTGTACGACGTAAATGCAGTTCACGTAACCTACATCTGCAAGATTTTCAGCCACCAACCGCTGAGTCTATTTAAGCTGGCTTAATACCTACTTACTGCGTTACTGTGACACTATCTTGCATTCCCATTAAATGAATTATTTGCCTAGAAACCGATTGTTGAAATTTTCTGTCACGAGGTAAGAACTAGGAACTATCAGAGACACACGTAAGACATTCGACAGAGTTGGGGGAGCTAAATTCTGCCAAAATTCGCGTACCTCGCAATGTTCGATTAAAGTTCGTCCTTTGATTGAGTGCGATTTTATAAACATTATGGGAAAAAGAAAAAATAACCGAGCTTTGATCGCCACATTGTGCGCGGTCGTGTATCGTTGTTTTTTCTTTTTGTTTGTATACAGTCATTGGATGTACTATAATAAACTGCATCGATATGGTGGTAACATTTTGTGTCACGTATTCTGTATTGATATCTAAATTCATTTAAGTAATAAATAGCTATGTAAATAACGCAAAACACTCTCTCGAAAGTGACGTTGGCGTCTTATTAGCGCATTTCACCTTCACAGTTTACGGTAATTTCCAATTTAAAACCCGCGAACCCGGAGAGCCTTAATGCTGGACTCCAATGTGCGGTACTTTTTATTCCAACGTTGGAATATACTCAGGTAAATCGATTATTTAGATACACTAGATTTAGATATTTATCGAATATCGCTGTTTCGGCAAGTCGTGGGTTTATGGTATTTTTAACTTGTCGCGCGTGCACGCACACACTACATACACATACACATGTACATTTATATTTACGTTTATGGTGATGCGAAATCACCGATCACGGGCCAAATGCGAATTTATATAATAATTGTTCCTTCTCGCGAGGACCGATTTATTAGATTTATTTATTTTCCACGCATTTTATACTAGCCGGACATGTCCAGACGTCGATGCATGGAGAACGTACGGTCTCCCATAAATGTGACATTGCTTATCTCTTATTTATTATTAACGAAGGTGGAAATGTACATCAGCAATCAGTTCTAGGATAAGGAGATTTATACCGTTGTTTTATATGTGCCTACGTGTCCACACACTGGGTGTAAAAAATTCGATTTCTGTGTTAATTCGAATTATTATAACTCTCTCTGCATTATGGTGACACGCAGTTTGTAAATTTCGAAATGGAGTAATCCCTAATCCTCGATATTCAATTTACCTGAACAGATGGTTTTAGTTGCGTCACTTATGGCAATTGTAAATATAAGGATAATTCTCTCAGAATGCATACATCGTAAACTCTTCATGTGCGATTATGTTAATCATTTATATCGTATCGTTGGAACGTTTTGACGATTATAGTCGGGACGATCGATTAAAGGGCGTCTGCATAAAAGTGAACGATCTGTGGCACGGAATTTTGGAATATATAAGTTGAAAATACATTTCTCTATTATTAATTTACTTATTCCTGACTGAATTAAAGTAAACGATTGAGACATTTCTATTGGTACGTTATTTTACCGGATTGCATCGCCTTATATTTATGGGCTGTTTATAGTCTGACAATTTCGAGACTAGAACTAGACACAGGTATTTTTACATCGGAGGGGGTAAGTTGAAAAAAAGCATTACCAAACAATATTACAATGAAGTTGTTAAGTCAATTGACCTAGAGCCTGTATTTTATTTGAAAAAATTCCATGGTTGAACACACGTTACTTAATTAAACTTTTCTTTAACGCAAGGGTATTTCTTGTAATGTGTTACACTGGAAAACATATTTAACGTTTGACTATTGCGTTAACGACATTTCACGTTGCGACTTTTTGAAAGTGACAATGATATTTTCCAGAGTTTTTGGCCACCTAATACAACTCTTAATTGATATCGTATTTTCACGTTAATGCGTGTATCGGATTGACAGAACACTCGATAATGCCAATTAAGGGATAAGTGCATCCTGCATTGTTACAAATTACTTTGTACTTCTTTTAACGCTATATAACTTCGACTGGAAACGTTCGTTACCATAACGGAACTCATAAAATTTGCCAACAAATTCATGTGGTGGTTGTTTATGTTTCTGAGAGTGCAATAACAATTAAGTGCATTACTGAGATGTGCCCCTAAGCTGTTAAACAATGTTGCTAAGACGGTATAATTTACATGTCATCCATTTAATCAAAATGGCAGTACTTCTAAACACAGTTACGCAGCTTAAGGACCCGTTAAGTAGAAAATTAAATAGGAAAATACTGTTTATCCGTCCGTTTGATAAATATGTACATATTTATGTAGAAACGTTAGGCGTCTTCAAATTGGTCCTCTCCGGACATTATGGCCAACTTGTCAGGGTTATTTCGTTGTATTACCAATACTCGCTCACCGGTTCGTTTGCTATGCAGATCGGAGGGATCAAAGAAATTCTTCCATCTCCAACCGTCGTCGAACGTCTTATATTTTCTGCGACATTTCGGCTCTCTCTGGCCTAAAAATATTAAACAATATCGTTTCTCCTTGTTTGATAATTAATAATTATATTACCGTATACTTTGTATATATGCTACAGAATATTCGTTATAACTCGACAATATCTGAAAAGGTCTTACTATTAGGGTCGAATTCGTCGGTAGAATCTTCGGAAACGTCCCAGTTCTCCTCAAATTCATGCTTTTCATTATCCATCTTCCTGAAATGTAAATCATATCATTGACACACATGTAGACGAAGCTGTTGTCAATTGATTTTGTTATATAATATGAGTGCAATGGCAATGGAATTATACATAGAATGATCAGAGTGTTTTACGGTGATATTTCTCCAGGAGAGTTATTTCCTGTGGAGGCGCTAGGTGGTTGGGAACTTGACTCCGAGTTTTCTGTTGCTTCGATTCTTGGGCCAGAAAATCTTGGAGTATCAACAATGCCGGAATTCTTGCGTATTTTATTCTTCAAGTCTTCATAGGATACCTTTCCGATCTGTCAACAAAAATAGGAGGTCCAAGACGTACAAACCGAAGTTACAAAGATAATTACATGAAAAAGTCAAATCAAACCAAAATGCATATACAGCGTGCAGTGGTTTATCAAATCTCTTAACGCAATTTAATATTACTAATCATGACAGATTTCCCTGATAAATATTGTACATCTTAGATTTCTTAGGACACCTTTTTGATCTATCGACACGATCTTAAATCTAAACAGGCAGCTAAATTTATCCTTATTTCTACCCAAGTAGTGATACCGTAAGGAGAATTATATAAACCATCACTAGGCTAATAACACTTTTTTAAAACACAAAAGCGTAGATAATCTTAAACGGTACATCTTGAAACTGAGGTGATAAAAGCTTAATGTTTGGAATCCAGTATTATCGCTGGCAGAAGTGTTTGAACAGTTTACAGCTCCTTCTTTTTGTTTTTAACAGTTTCAGAATTAAAAAACTCTCCTCGATGATCTTACCCACAGACCAGTGGTATCAAAGTAATTCCCGTCGATGTCGAATCCAAACAAACAATCTATCTTCTCTGCTGATTCAGGTACTTCCATAAAGTCATTCATATATAAATCTAAAAAACGAAGGCTCTTCAGCCTTTGCACCGAGTCAGGTAGGCTAGATAACGAATTCCAAGCTGCCTGCAACTTAACAAGGGCTGCCATGTCTCCAATATTGTCCGGAAGCGTTATCAAACTGTTACCTTCGACTATCAGTACTTCCAGGTTTGTTAACTGGCAAATTTCATCAGGAAGCCAAAAGATATTATTGCGACCTAAGTTTAATACCGTGAGGTTTTCAAACTCGCTTATGGTAGCCTGAATCGTAGGAAGACCCGTTGCTCTGGCGTGAATTTCTCTCAACTCTTTTTTATTTTTCAGAGCTGTTAAGGGTAGATTGGAAAGCATATTACATTTAGAAACTTTCTGTGTGTTTGAAATATTTAGTTCTTGAAGACCTGTCGCGAGCGAAAGAACTTTCCCTAGCTCTATGTCCGATAAGTTGCAATTTTCCATTGATAACCTCTTAACACGCAATTCTATATTCCCATGCGGTATGTCGTATCTTTCAAACTGTGTGCGATTGAAAGAGATTTCTTCAAAGTTGACATACATCGAGGTAAAAAGCCAGGAAGGAAACCAAAGGCAGGGTCCGACTTCTTTGAAGTATAACCACCTTAATCGGTTGCTCGCAGGCTTGGGATGTAGATGATTAATGCTCCGATTAAAAGACAAGTCCAACTTTTCCAGTCTCTTCATTCCATTGGTGATGCACTTTGGCACAGTCTTTAAACAATTATTAGCTACGTCTAGTGTTTTTAAATCATTTAACTGTACGAACGAGAGGGGTAGATCCGTAAGATTGTTATCGTCCAAGTACATTTCTCTAAGATCAAGGTTTCCCAGCGAGTCCGGCAGGACTTTAATTTGATTCTTGGATAAGCATAAAATTTTCAACGAACACAATTCTCCTACTAGGTCTGGTAGAGTTACCAATTTGTTGTCGTTCACCACCAAGTGTTCGAGTTTCTTGAGCAAGCATACGGACGTTGGCAATTCTTCCAAATTATTCTTTGATATGTCTAGTTTCGTCAAGTTTTCCAAGTAGGTTAGGTCACCGGAGAGGTAAGATAGTCCGTTTAAGCAAACCGACAATTTCTGTATGATCCGAGGATCTTGCAAGTCGTATGCATCTTTTACCTGACTGTCGCAGTGATCGCAATTTGGTTTCAATTTTGTCTTGCATTCTTCTACCATGTTCGTTCAGAATGAACGAACGACGATCTCGAGGCGTTTTTAAAGCCGAATTTTTTTCAAACGGCTTTTCGATTACTTGGCACATTTACAAAAAACGATCCCAGGCAATTTCAAGACTTCACTTGAAGGTTAGGAATGGTTCGGATGAAGACTCATTGAGCGCGTTAACGCGTCGAGGATAAACACCCTATGCGTCTCGTGTCACAACGAGCGCGTCAACGCGTCGAAAATGAACAAACATCTATGGGATAAATAACCCAACGCGTTAGAACGTGTTAGGACGCGTTGACGTGCCACACCGAATCGGGCTGCGCCGCGTTCGGTATTATACATGACGCGCTCACTCGGTATCGGCTTCGACTTGTAAACCTGTGAATTTGTTCAGAAAAGAATCGAGAAATTGCATATATTAGTGAGTACGCTTTATTGAAGACTTGTGCCGACCGCGTGGTTCTCGTCGGTCGATGTATATTTTTCTCTCTCGGGAATAGTAATCTGTCTATTACGATCATTATTAATGGCGTGGTCTCGACATCATACATTTTCTAACCTATGCAACATCGGCGATGTCAATGAAGTTTTGCTGATGACGATAATAAGGATACTTTTCCAGGTTTCACGATGTATATACTGCCTTAAAAATCAAGAAAAATGAGTGAGTCTGATGACGAAAACTATGCAGTCTTCGGAAGTGCTCTGGATCCACTTGACGAAGGTAAATAGGTTAAAGTCATGTATAGGGTTGTAACGAATATTTGGTTTCGCTTTTGCACTGTGCGAAAGTTTTGCATTACTTTGACTTTTGTGATACGGTTTTTCCTTTTCTGCTTTCGTTTTCGGTATGAGTACTTTTCTTACGATACTAATAATGTATCGGGTTGTTTGGAAATTCCAGTCCGAATAATGAACTCTTTCGAATTGAGTTTCTGGGCAGAACTTTGCGAAAAATCTGATGATTCTAAACAACGGCATGTATGTTTCCCTAGTGATGAATTTAATTTTTTCCTGACTTGATCGAAACAGAAAATTTACCACGAAAGAAGGCTGTGACGTTGGAGGATCAGTATGCATACGACGAACAAGGAAGACGCAGATTTCATGGGGCCTTTACTGGAGGATTCTCGGCTGGCTATTTTAACAGCGTCGGGACTCGGGATGGTTGGAGGCCACAGCAGTTCAAGTCGTCCCGCAGCAAGAAAGCTGAAAACGTTACTCAACGTCCCCAAGATTTTATGGACGACGAGGATACTGGAGAATTTGGAATAGCACCGACAGGAATCAGAGCAACTGGTGATTTTACGCAGCATGGGAAAGGTGTCAAGAGAGAAAGGCCTGGAAAGAGCGACGATGGACCTATCCCAGGCACTCCGGCTTTGAAAGAATTGCTTAGACCAGTAAGGTAGTAACTTTTAATTATTTGCAGCTGTTTACAATATCTCTGGACACAAGTAGAATGTATTTTTGATTTCAGGGAAACCGTTGGTATTACATTATTAAAGAAGATGGGTTGGAAGCCTGGCCAGGGTGTAGGTCCTCGCCTAACTAAGAAAGAAAAAAATAAAATCAAACAGAGGAACGAAGCAATCAAAGTATACGGCTGTTCGTTGCTGCCGCGGGAAGAAAAAACAGTGGATAGCGATTCAGAAAATTCAGACGAAGATGTCGACACTATCACCTTTGCTCCAGATGATTACGAACCTTTCAGGTAGATTAAAATACGTTATGAACAAGTTTCAATAACAGTCATATTTTCTTTGAAAAAAAATAGTTGATTTAGAAAAATTATTTCCATCGAGGTGCATGCATTAACCAAATGTTCCTTTCCTGTTCGCAGGTGCAACCCGAAGGACAATTTCTTTGGGATCGGTTACAGCGGATTAGATAGACGACCCGTGTTATCTGGACACGTAAATTTATTCGACGCCCCAGCTTTATGCGTTCAGGACAAGAACAAGAAACTGTCCATACGAGGTCAAGCATTCGGAGTAGGTGCCTTCGAGGCTGACGACGAGGACATCTACGAGCGAGACGACATGTCCCGTTACGACTTCACTTTGGGACCGGAGAAGAAATCAAAGTCCAGATGGAACACTGAAAGTTCAAGTTCCCAGGGAAAATGTATAGAAGGTTTCATTCCTGGGAAAGCTCAGCTAGACGCGAAGAAAATTTTCCGCGCTCCCGAGTTGCCCAAGGACTTCAAGGCGACACACGTCGTCAGGAAAAGCAGGTTCTTTCCACCGATCGAACCGATGCGGCCATTAGAAAATGGTAGACACAGAGGATTCGCAAGGCATGACCTGAACGCCGATGATCGATCCAAGATAATAAACGACGCGAGTGATAATGCCGCGAAGGAACCGCAAACCGAAAGTGCGTTGGAGTCTAGTCAGCTTAGTTCAAGGGCTGAGAGTTCTTCCGTTGCTTCCAATATTATCTCAAGAACGTTGAACCTGCACGGGAGGGAAGCTGAAGAGGACAGGCAACGCCAGGAGAGCCAGCGATCGATAGCCAAAGCGTCTTGGCTGGACAAATTAGGAACCACGAGTTTCGTGAAGGGAGGAGTAGTCGGATCCGAGATATCCTCAAGCGATAGTCTGAAGAATCTGGAGCAGTTCAAGTCAAGTCTTTCCACCTTGTCCGCGAAGTCAACCAGCAGCGCTTGCGACCTGATTCCTGTAAGTAGTCAACAGAGTGCGAGCCAAGTTGAGTCCGCCAAGCCTTTCCTGGCTGATCCGGACAAGCAGAGGCGGTTCGAGCAGTTCCTCATCTTCGCGAAGAAGGACGAGAAGGAGAAACTCGCCAGCATCCAGCCGCTCTCGATGACGGAGTGGGATAGGGAACACGAACGCGTGGAGTTCGAGCAGGCTGCTCGATTGTTCGCTTCTACGGTCAGTTCCGTAGGAGGCAAACTTAGTAACATCAATATCGTCGATGGCGGTAACGAGGGGACATCCGCGACAACTATTCCCTCTAAGAAGGGCGCCGAAGAGGTGATGAAGGAGGCTGCCAAGATGAAGATGTTCGGCAAGCTCACTCGACAAAGGGTCGACTGGCAGCCTTCCAGCATCGTTTGCAAGAGGTTCAACATCCCCGAGCCGAAGGTGGGCTGTGCAAGGCCGGAACTGGAGAAGAAACAGAAATTTTCTCTGTTCGATTGTCTGGACTGGACGAACAGCACCAAGTTTGAAACTGCCAGAGAGACGGTCAAGTCGGAGCCGATGCATGGAAGCGGTGGTTTAAGTAAACTCGACTCTGCAGGGCCTTCTTCGGCGATGGAGGTGGACAATTCTGGTGCTCAAGAGGATGCTCCCGCAGAGTCGAGCTGGCTGTCCGAGAAGGCGAGGAACTTTGAAGCGTCCTACGAGAAGGTCTTCGGGAAAGGGGTCGAGGGGGTCAAGACTAGAGTCCCGGAGGAATCGGAGGTCGCCGGACCACCGCGAGATGCGAGCTTGCCTTCCAAGGCGACTGTAGAAGCTGTAGTAGCTGTAGAAGCGAGCTTGCAGGTGGACTCGTCCCAGGATAAAAGTGAGGAGTCCTCGTTGACCGAAATTAGTGTACCGGACGAGAGGGCGAAGACGAAGGACAAGTCGAAGGAGAAGAAAGACCTCTTCAAGGCGATATTCTTGAGCAGCAGCGAGGACTCCGACTCGGAGGTGGAGGAGAAGGTCGACAGCGAGGTGGTGAAGTCCGTGCTGATCGGAAAGACACCCGGGGAGCTGAACACCCAGAGAAACACCTCGCCACCGAGGGGGATCTTCGCCACCCTGGACCTGGATAGCCTAACTGCATCTTCCTCAGTGAATCCCGGGCAAAAGGATTCAATTACTGGGCCGAGTACTTCGGAAACATGCGAGGATATTTCGGAGAGGATCGATAAGAGGGAAGACGAGGTCGAGGCGAGCTCGTCAACTTCGGAAGGGGCAACTGCCATGCCCGATGGAGCTTATGGTCCCGCCTTGCCGACCAGAATTTGCAGACTCGAGGAATCCCCGAATTGTCCGCAGCCTGCTGACTCGCAGACACAGAAGCACGTCTTCAAGAGCGTGGTCGTCCCCAAATTCGCAGAGGACCCCAAGGCTGGAGTCTGGGTCGAGAAGAGGACCTCCAAGAAGTCGAAGAAGGAGAAGAAGAAACACAAGCACAAGGAGCGGTCGAAGCACAAGCGGAAGTCGAAGAAGGAGAAGCGCTAGGGATAGCTTAGTTACTTAACGTTCGATCCTACGAAGGCACGTTCTTCTGCGTTACTCCTGATCTCGTAGATGGGAGTTTGTAATTAACTGGCAGGAGACCGAGATGCACTATTCGATGTTATATTGCGAGTGGTCTACGTTGTGAGTTTTGTCACCTGGATGTTAGCAATCCCTGAACGTCCGGTCGTTTGTTACCGGCGCGTACTCAATCAATTTCTCCACCACAATGATTTTCAGAGAAGTCCGACGACGACGCGGGGCAATCGTTACGCCTCTGGATGTCGGTCTTTGTATTTAATCAAAGTAATTGTGGGAGGGTATTAAATCGATATTTATTGTTAGCAGGAAATAAATCGCTCCAAACTTGGCGACGATTCTTCGCTTCTTTGTTGCGGACTTCGAGGATGTCTCTGAAAGAAAATTAACAGGAGAATTTTGGAAACAGCATCCAATTCGTTTTTGCAAGCTCGAGGAACATTATTGCATTCCGTTTTTAGTTTTATTATACCAGCTCTAATTCGTGGTCGCATGGAGTTCATCCTTGGGAAATTTTGATAAGTCTTTCTTCGGGTCCTTTCCCCTTTTTCCCCTAATCAGGGTAAATACGCTTATAGCGTTTTCGGGAACGTTTGTAGGGACATTCTCGCCTTTATTTCTTCCCTTTGACTCCTTTTCTCCTTCCAGCTCGGCTGATTGTACTTTGCCAGTTGTATCCGCTCGTTCGGGGCCTAATCATTACCCGGGCCGATAGAGGTACCTATCTCCCGACATGTTCGGGGGATCTCGGCCCACGCACGTCCGCGTACCGTAATTGGGCTCAAGCAAATAAGCAATCACTATATTTTGGTTCGGCAAATATTATAATAACGGGCTGGTAGGGTTAACCGGGTTATCGGGCGTACGATCGCCGAGTCAGGCGCCTTAGACAAGCGCTAAAACCGGCACCAGCCTGGCCCTCTTTTACGCGCCTTATACCGTTTATCCCAAAACGAGCCACGTAATAACTTTATCGAGTTTGCCAGGATGCCGCGAGACTCGATCCAGCCGCAAAATAACAGTTCACCTAGGCGGGGAGAAAAATTAATTTCTTTATTCGAAGAACAACGATTCTACTCGAATGAACTCAAGGAAAGTTGTCACAATTCCTGGGAAACGTTGCGTCCAATTTATTCCAGTCAATTCGAGTAGGATAATTATTCTTTGAATTAAGAAAATATATTTCTTTGGCTGAATGAAACTGCTCTCGCAGTGCTGGAGAGACGTTAGGGTATTTCGTGGGAGATCTTTCGTAAGATGACGCCGCCGCCGCAGAAGGTCCATTCCCACGGGAGGACCTTGAAAAAGCCTAAAGAAATCGGCCTCTTCCTTCCGAAGCGACTAATGCGATTTTAATGTCGTCCGTACCTTTTCAATTTTCCGAAAATTCGGAAAATCTTTGGCGGCATTGGCATTCGCCCGATTAGAGGCTCGGTGTCCTTTGACCCGTCTCCCCGAGCCCGGTCGAGATGCTCCCTAATTTAATAGGGCCAGATATTCGGCTCCCGGGGAAACCTCTCATCAGAAATGGCTCCGCAACGAATTTCATTCGAGGATTTCCCATGGATTTCTAAGGCAACGGGGAACCCGCGGGAGGCACCGTTTCTGAATGGAGGTCCACCTAATTTCGGGATCAATCAACGAAAGGCTTGCCCGGGGGAGAAAAAGAAGTTTTCAAAAATTTCTTGCTCGGCCGTGATGACCCGAGGATCTCATTGCCGTGCGTAATCCGAGCGGGGATATCGGGTTAATGTCTATTTCACAAAAGAACGAAATTTCGGGGCTCGGTGAAATTATACGTTCCATACGGCGCGATTACTCCCCGAGGACCACCTCTGCGATATTCTATTAAATTTCGAGCCTCGCTCCGAGTTTCGGGTGACACGTGGCCGCTCGACTTGAACACCGTTCTTGAAATCTTGCACGGGAAAAAAAGTTTCATGTACGATTGACCCTTTGGATGACATTTTGACATCCCCTTAAAATGGCATATCTCTGTATTAAATGTACCAATCGGTTTCGTTCGTAGCTTAATGGCGCGGAAAAATTGGCCAACGCGCCGGGCTAAATATCGCAGGTAATGACTTGGTCAGAGTTTCTTAATTACAGAGCGATGGAATAAAATGACTAATTTACTGGTAAGGCATTTCTGCGGAGGTGGCGGATCCTCTGTCAGGAAATAAGCGAGAAACCTCCTCTCGGCGAAGCCTCAGGGGCTCGAGAGGAACTGCGAATGGCTAGACTAAACGAAGACCCCGCGCGGACATTCGCTCGATTAATTTCGCTTCCGAGGTCCTACAAGCTCGGCGTCGATAAACGATCCTGGAAATCCGCAGACTCGGTAGCCGCGGTTCTTCCGTTCTTTCGTTATCGCATTCGGGTCTTCGTCGCGGCACCTGAACCTCCGTCCGAGTGCGTTGCCCTCGTGAAGAGATCGCGCCGCATCTGGTCCACGTCTCGGATTCTGTTTAACGTCTCTTCATTCCAGGACGCTTACGGATGTATTTTAAATACCCAGAGTACATTGAGAGGTTTAAAGAGTATTCATAGGTGCAGTGGTGTTATCTGGGTTTGGACCACTGCGTCGCAAAGGCGTGGGATCTTCTCGGAAGGACGGGCCCGCGCGGAGGCGAGACTCCGTTTCCGGATTTCCGGAATATCCTCAATTTCGCGGTTATAATTTGTTAATAATTGGGCGGCCGTCGCGCCGTCCGGCTACGGGCTCCTCGCTGGCCAACTGGCCCCAGGTGTGTGCACGGGGAGCGTGGCCGACGCGTGCTTCTCCCCTCCCCAGGCCGGGGACGCGCCGCCGCGCGCGCAGCGACCTCTCGCGCCTGTCTCCCGAGTTATATCCCCCATAACCTATATCGCGAGTCGGGCAGGTGCGCGACATGCTCAAAGGGGGGGACGCGCGAACAATTCGGGGACCGTACGACCGTAAACTCGACGCGGAGATTCCCGATTGGACTCCCGAAAGAATGCTCGCTCGAATGACGAAACGAAGAACGAGAGTCGCCGATAAGCCGGCGCTACCGGAACCGGGACCACTAGATCCGATTGGAAGGTAACGAGACTTTGACAAATTCAAATCTGCCCCTTCGAAGGGATCTTCGGAGAGAAACGACTCGCTTCGATTCCGATCTCGATCGTTGGATCTTGAGAATTTAATTTCCGAAGGAGTCCCAAGATGGCGTCGCCGTCTAGCGGCGGTGGGCTCGTTAGAGGAGTCCGCTAATTGCGAGACTCGACGTAATTATTGAAATGAAATTGGTAGCTTTGGGGGGGCGGCCTGGTCGGGCCGTTTCGGAGCAATTAACGAGACTTTGTCAGTCGCGCGAGGGCAAGGTCGAGAACGCCGCCCGGACGGGAAATTGATACGCCCGGCGCAGGGATAATCGGCCAGCGCCGGAATGGCGGGATTTGCATTTGTGGAAAGGTGGTATTTAGTTGTAGTGGGATAATGCAATTATCAAATTAGCCCTCACACCCCCACGCGTAATCGGCTCGGGACCTCGCGGTTTAAGTGGATAATTATTGGGAACCCGAGGGTCAAGCGGTCAGGATTCGGCAACGTCAGAATGTGGGGCGCCATTTCGGTGGTACCGTGTAATTTATGCGCACACGCACCCTCCATGGAGATGGACTTTTTAATGGACATCGAGACTCCCGCCGATCGAACCGAGGAGCTCGGCTTACCGGACTCGGTCGGCGTTTTATCCCGGATTTTATTTTCAACGTTGTTACCTCGATTATTTACAAAATTCTCGCCTTTTCGTCAACGGTAAACGCGTCCACATTGATTCGAGAAATTAATTCAGCGAACAATTATTTCACTCGAATGACCTGCGAATTAATTGAATGCCGTTATAAAATTACGCATCTCTTAACAACTCAAGATTTGCGCGTTAATTCCTTTTTATCATACTTGGGGAAATTCGAAGCAACGAGGAACACGAAACGTCGAATTCTCGAGCTCGGCCTCGAACTGTACAATACACTCATCCCTCCGTGTCCTTCCCGCAGGAGAAATGCATCCGGATCCCGAAGTGAGGAAATTTCAAAGAAAGCCGCCATCGAAGCTGCTCCACGGGGATGCTCCATTAAGGATTCCTGCGAGGAACCGTCATAACTAAACGGTACTAATTAAAAGAGGCAGACACCTCGTTATGATATAGCTCCTTATGCATAAAGTACTCGGTCATCTCGAGGGGAAAAATGAAAACCCGGGCACTAATAAGAACCAACTTTTCCGGGGTTCGGCGTTACGCGATCGTGGTGGAAATCGAGAGGCGGTTTTCATCGACGCGCGGAAAGGTCGATTTAAAATTTATCTATTTTCCAAGTCGAGGAATCGATTTTTTAAGCCCGTCAGCGTAGAGCGGGGCCGGCAATTAATAGGATTGGCTATTGACAGTGAACGAGGCTTGAAGGCTCTTTGGACTTTGAGGGCCGTTTGGTCACACAGAGGGGGTGCTGTATTGTGTTTTACGCCGTATACTTGTAGCCACTTCCCCTGTAATCCACCCGAAACCCCCATTGTGTCGAGGGTTTCGGTAGTTCGATTGTTTTCCGAGGAAGTGCGCGATTGTTTCACCCTGGCCCTGCCAATGTTTGCCAAATTGGCAGGCACGGCACTGTCAGTCGGCGAACGTTACACGAACGGGCAATTCTTTAACGAACGTTTATCCACTTTTCCTTGACGGTTCATTTTTTTCTCCGCTATCGGTACGAGGTGATAAATCGGATGTACATGATAAATTTCTTGTACATTTGTGGACAATCGAGAAGTTATTGTTTCACCCTGGCCCTGCCAATATTTGCCAAAACGCCATAAGACATTCATAATCCCACGAGGGAAAAAATTTTATTCGGGGGCTTGGATTATTACATTAATCTATTAGTTATTCACTTGTTAATTCTCTCGCCTCGAACCGGTCGCTCTTCTTCCGAGTTACTTTTTAGTTTTTTTTTATTTAAGAAAGTTTCCCGTTCTTTTAGTTTTTGCTTCCACGAGGCTTTGAAAGGAGGGTGAAATTAATTTTTCAAAAATTATAGGGAACGATCGGAACCATTGATTGGGCGGATAGCTGAGAATAAAGGAAATCTGGGCCTCCACTTTTTATGTCCCGGGATTTTCTTCAAATTGAGGGTAAGTGAGAATCAATCAGCTCGAAGTCTATTCATTGTGCTCGATCGTCGCGTGGCCAATTTGTAAGTGGTCGATCGCCAATAGTTCGATCGTTATACCGAAGCTTTTTTCAAACATCGCTTGCCGGAAGCTTTCTGCGATGGGGAAAGAGATACAATGCGCCGGATGTCCGAAAAAAAGAAAATTAAA